ACACAAAAGTGGAAAACAATAAGCTTCGTGCGAAAACTAAACTTAATCACAGTCTCAACAAATTCCTTGAGCTATTTGCTAGCTAAAACATCAAAATTAATTTCAGTTTGGTTGTGGCAGCATCTGACGGGCCAAATTGAATTACAAAACGGGTTGGATTTGGCCGGCGGTCCGCAGTTTGCCCATGCCAGCTCTAGTCTAATGCTACAGCGTAGTTACACCAACAAGCTAAGCCATCGAACCCAAATTTCTCCGTCAATCTATGCTACGCTAGGCCTCCGTAATTTTAGTTTTCAAGAAATCTTGAATTATTCACAAAGGCGTAAATATAAACAGTTTATGCGAGAAATTCCGAGTATGCCAATACCAGGTGTTATTATTGAAGTTTTATCTCGAGAACTTCAAACACAGATAAAAGGGTGATCAGGACTGTGAAAAAATCGCAAAATTCATGCAAATTTTAATGTAATGGGTATTTTTGGATACGAAGTGAATCTAAGTATCGTTTTATTATTATTAATATGTTGTTGTTGTTGTTGTTGTTGTTATGAAAAAATTGCTTTTTCATTCACTAATGGACTAATAGCTTTAAAATTGACAATGGTTAAAGATTTTATTTGTCGCCAGAAAGCTACTTCATAAAATAAATCGCTACACTGGGTAACCTACTGCTTTATTTTTGCCCCGCTATTTATTTTCTGATCATTCTGTCTTTCTTACGCTTAAACAGAGAAAACGATAGTCTAACTGAACTCATCATCCGAAACCTAAATTTCAGCTGTTGGCCAACAACAAGATAATGCCCGTATTTTATCTTTACAAAAAGTTTTACAAGCATATTTATAACAATGAAGAATAATGGCAAACCGACCAAAGTCATTTTATACAATATTTTGAATGAATAGAGTTGGATCTGCGTCTCATTTTAAGCGACACAAATATACCAATGCATATATCTTAAATAAACTTAATTCTTGGCTTTCCTCGTATACTAATACTAATTCCAAAACTACTTTCTATTCTTTTAAAAATGGCTATGAGTGTTGTTTGTGAAAAGGTTTTGCCATTTTATCATGTTTCTAGCACAATTTAACAAATAATTTTCATTTCGATTTCATTTCTAACTAATTATATATATACAACTTCTCAGTCCGCATATTACAATCACTCGACAATTTCAGTTAAATTTTATTTTTATTTAGAACATACTTTCAAGCAATCGAAGCTTCGTGAACCGTAGCTTTAGAAGTGTGATAATATTTTAAGCACCCGGCAGCGATCAGATGCCGCATACTTTGCCAACTAAAATATTTTGTTTAAAAAATTTGGCACTACCTGAGAATGTTGATATTGGTTTTGTTATATTTACATAATGGGTACTTGATAAATAAATCAGTTTTCTTTGTAATGGGTAAATTGGCATGGTACAAAAAAGCTGTACAGGATTATTACGATTCTCTGTTTTACTGTTTAGAAAAATTTATATGAGAATTCTAGAATTTTTTGCATTGGATAAATCGGTATAACACCAAAAAGACTGCTGAGGAAATTGTATGTATGTATGTATGTATGTATGTATGTGTGTGTGTGTGTGTGTATGTGTGTATGTGTATGTTGGATAAATCGGTATACCACCAAAAAGACTGCTGAGGAAATTGTATGTATGTATGTGTGTGTGTGTGTGTGTGTGTGTGTGTGTGTGTGTGTGTGTATGTGTGTATGTGTGGATGTGTATGTTGGATAAATCGGTATAACACCAAAAAGACTGCTGAGGAAATTGTATGTATGTATGTGTGTGTGTGTGTGTGTATGTATGTTTATTTGCCTCAAAAATGTAACAGTATTTGCATAATAGTTAAACGGTATGAAAGAGATGAATAAATATGTTTATGTATTGCGTTGCTTCATAAAAATAATTTTTCGGATGCTTGTAAATTGTGTCAAATTTTACGCATATTATTTTAATCCAAAAACGATCAATTTTTATGGATACCGTGAAATATTATAGTACGGATAATGAAGGTTGAAGTTATTCTGAATATAAAATAAATTCCAACACGCATATCTCCCACAGTGTCCCATTATTTGAAAATCTCCTTTTATTCCTGGGAGTTTGCTTTGCAATCAGTACAACCCCGAGAAAATCTTAGGAATGGATATTCTGGATATATTTATCGTGCTCTTGGTTCAAAAATCAAATATTGGAATTATTTTATTATATCAACCAACTCCATTTGATTGCAATAAGGACGTGATGAATCCAATAGAACAAAGGTGTTATGGTTCAACCAATTTCCATGTTCTGTACGACGCTGTTGAGACACTTATTCGCATCGCAGGAGCGTCATTATTTTTTAATTCAATTTTATTTATTTACATACTATATTTCATCTCCATATAGCAATTTATATATTCAATGTTCAAATAAAAAAAAATTCTATGGATATTTCCAACAGAGCCCCAGTATCCGTATCAAAACGGTATTTCATTTCAGTGCTTCTTAAAAACCAGGGTTTATCAAAAACCATCTCAAACGATTTGGCATAATTTTGGTTTACTTTTCGGCGTCCGATAGAGTGTTTTATTTGCGTAGCTAAGATGCGTCCATTACGTAACGAGGGTATGGCATAATTGGGTTATATTTCGAAAATAGCACGTACTGGTATGAATCACTAAACAGTAGTGAAGGTACAAAGAAAATTGAGCAACATATCCCTTTCCTGCTTTACTATGAGAGCATTGTACCAGTGGTTGGCATTGCAAATTACTCATTTCGGGTTCTTGTCCCTTATCTCGTCAAGGGTGTAATAAATTGTGTATCACTTTCAAACCGGATAGATTCCGGTACTTTCAGATGATAGTACCTGCTTATATATCGCCAGATAACAGTTGCTACCTATATTGTTTGGAGCGAAAGCCGCAAATAAACGTCACATATAAAATACCAATATTCAGTAGTTCTAAAAAACAGGGCACCTAAAACGCTATATCAGCGCTCATAAGATTAACCTAGTCGCCCTGCTTGGACCAAGCGATCATATGTCGCTTTCACTCACAAAATATATATCAGCTCTGTTCGATAAATGGTCGGGTCTGGTTCTTTTAAAAGCATACTAGATGTTTAAGTTATGATCTCGTCTAGAGTCTTGCGGAGAAAAGATGTGAAAGCTCTAATGAGAATGATGGACATCTTCAGGAAACCAGTTAAAAAGTTAATAATACAAGATGTGCATAAAGTCTTGTCACAATTTCAAAATTTTGGTATGAAGTCATTTCAGATTGTTTCACTGTAATCAGTATCTATTTAATTTTTTTACTTCACGCAATACATCTTCACATGTTCACCATTAGTTGCTCGGAGCACATCAAAGTTCTATTAGCTAATTTAACACATGAGTCACACGAAGATATTTCGTCTATATAAAAATTTACAACAGCTTTTATGGCTCTCCCCCGTTTGAATTAGATAAATTCAGACAAAACAAGGTATAATTATATTTACATTGTGTCATCCATCTGCACGTTCTATTTACTTTCAATTCGTTTGACTTTGGGTAAACAAGAAATCTCTTGATAATTGCCCGATGTCGCGACCCGCGTTTTTTAATTAAAACGCAAACATGGAGGTTTTACTGTCGTCTTACTTTTTGTTAAAAGCATCCTACGTAATGATATTACCAGAAGCGTAGCTAGGAGAAGAGGGTTGGAAACCTCAATTTGAAATGTAAAAAATATATATATATATATTCTGTATTATACATAGCAGTTTTTTCGCAGCTTGGAACGGTTTTTAGACCTGCGAGGCTCCTGAAACCCACGTTTGTAGTAATTTCTGGGCTAGTTCGATAATGTTCTCGCCGACTCGACCAATTTCCTCTCACATTTTTGTTTTGAATCTGTGTCATTGTAATAGTGTTACAGCAACCCATCTACAATTTCTTTAAATTTAAAAATATAGGAAACGTATGAAAAGGATGTTTGAAAACTATTCGGTACGGTTTGACGTGATATCATTTAGGTATAGCAGCATGTCCAGCTTCTGCTGCTGATCAAAAAACAACAGTTGCGAAGCATTTCATACAAAACCAACGGTTATACTCAACCCGTAGAAAATAAAACGCTGAAATGTCTTTTATCAGTACCAGTGGACCCCAGAGCAGTTGAGGGGGACCACAATGTTAATTTTCTATTGCCAGAAAACTCCCCGTTTTTCCTAGTTTTATTGCTTAATGAGGTTATTTCTCGAGGTATTTTCACTTTGCCGAGCATGAACATGTTTGAACATAAAGGCATTTGGAAAGTACTCATCAAAATTACATTATAAATATCATTAGAATGATGAACAGAAGGGTCATGAGTGCTAAAGTCTTCGAAAGGGGCCAGGCGTCATGGAGAATTGCCAATCATTGTCTTATATAATCCAGTATCTAAGCCAAGGTTGCCCGCTCCGCGGGCCACAAATTTATTTTTTCATTGTTCGCAGGCCACAATAGTGCCAAGAATAGGTGGACAGTGCAATATAAAACAAACGCTTCTATTGTGAAAACACATAGTTATCAGACATAGCCACCCCAGGCTAGTAAAATCCGCATTCAAATTTTAGTTTTGTATGAATCCTATACTGTTAGCATATATTCCCGATCAAAAAGATAGAAAGCCAGATAATAATTTAGACTGCCAAGCACATCATTTAACTTCGCTATTTGCCTCGGCTAGCCATTACACTCGTCAATTAAGTGACATTAGAGATGTAACAATATGTCAAAAGATTTTTCTGATTAATTTTTTCACGAAACAACACGAAACGCGATTTATTGTTTACTCTCCGAATGTGACGCGGGCCACAGATAATGAAACGGCGTGCCACATGTTCTAAGCATTGCAAGCATTTAGAAGATGCAATTCCATTGAAAACAGCACTCTATCCAGGATATAACTACCCTTATGAAAGAAATGAATACCGCGTTGCGCTATATGTGATAAAATCACAAATCACTTACGGATTTTCACAGCCTTGTGATCCAATGAATCAGCTTGTATTTGAAGTTTCTGAATTCTCTGTGAAGCCTTGCGACAACGTCTAAAGAAAGTTACATGTCATTTTATTCATAATGAGCATGGTACTTCCATAGTATGTGTGCTAGGTTAAAGCTAGGCCAGAACTATATACCTAATTTCCTTATTTTAGTTCTATTACGAGTTCGGGGACTGTCTGTTAGCCGAGTGAATATACCCCCTGCCCATAGATTTCAGTCCGTTTCTACAACTTGATGTAAAGTAGGCAAACAAAATTCCTCCATACTGGTACACATACTTCTGAAACGCCCAAATAACACCTACAACTACAATTAATCCATCCATCGGTCAAATACGTTTATTTAAACGTCCGAATTAAGACTGTACAACAGTAAAATATTGTTATATTTCCTACTTGTTGACGGTCAGACATTCTTTGTTTAATTCTCCGAATATTTCTTCGGCATGTCGGCATAGGTTTGCGAGTTGCATTACTGCTCCTGCCATTGTGTAGTTGTTAACCTGAAATAAGAATAAGATTTGAACGCCAGATAATAGAACAATTATCCGGGGATTGTATGAATGCTGAATTTGATGACATGTTTTGAGGAGTGTCTCAAAAATATCGTGTCCCACTCGTCACCGTGTTTTAAGTATGGAAATGTAAATATGTTCAGGATAGGGGCGCAGCCAAGCAGTTTCAAAGAAGAGATTTCTAGAAGAATTTCTAGTTTCCACGTTAGACTGTATCAGCTAGCGGGCCCGTGAGTCTTGAGGGACAAAGGGAATTTTTTTTTCACATTCTAAAAGGGTGGTCGGTCCTCAACTAGAGCTGGGCATTTCGATTCGAATCGAATCGAATAGTAAATTATTCGAATCGGTTCAGAGCTAAATTTCGAATCGCCGCCATCTTGTTTTTATCTTTCCGCTAATGGTCGACGTGAATTCCCCAATTTTTTTTTTCATTGGATTCAAATTTTTTCAACGCAATTCTAACATATGACTATTTTCTGTAGTGAGTTATTGTTAAAACGTGTTTGTTATTCTGTGTGAACGCTCAGTAATCTATCTGAGTGATTTATTCTATGTCTTCAGTAATTCCTTTGTTGAGAGAACCAATTACTATAATAAAGTCGCTTACAATTATATATTTTCAAGTATTCGAGATTCGATTTGATTCTAAAATCACAAGGTATTCGAAAATGCCCAGCCCTATCCTCGACACCTCCTTTATGCGCCCCTGGTTCAGACCAAGGTACGGATATGTATAAAACTTAGGGAAATGATTAGTGTGAGCATAAGAAGTACAAATTGTAAAGGAAATGATGAATGTAAATAATTTTCAAACCATCATAGTAAGCGTACGAAGAGGGGGGGGGGGGGGGGGGGGGGATTTAACGCATATGGTAAATAAACGTGGTAAATCTCCCACAGTCGTTTGATACCATACTAAACTTCGTCTGTAAAAAAGGCGCTTCGGAAATATTCTTACCAAGATGACGCACAACCTGAACAACCCTAACCTCGTACACACACTATGTTCAGGTTGTGCGCCATCTTGTTACGAATACCTCAGGAACCCCAAAAAAACTACTCCGTTTTCATAACTAGTCACTTGACTATAACGTAATACCACTTTCGCTCATCAAAATTTATTTAATAATTTTACAAGTAAGCTTCGCCCGTGAATTTTACTTTCTCATATTCATGTATACTGTTTATGAATTTATTCTTCTCAGTATGATTGCCGTGATGTGTTTTTTTCAATTGTGCGAGTGTGGGTGAATGGAACGCTGGTTTCAGCGTTCGCTACCTTTCTCTAGGTTTTGCCCATTTTCATGTCTTTCCGTCGCCCATGTCTCTGTTTTTTTATTTATTTATTCGTGTTCTGTGTGGTAGGCGAATGGTCGAAATAAAATTGTATTATATATTAACATAACGTCATCAGTGATAAACCGAATTCCAATGTCAAAACTTTTGACTCGAGAGACAAAACAAACTTATTAGGGAGTATGGCGTCAATTCATAATATTATTTCACAAATCACATGAAAATTGGAAGCTACAACTAATAACAGTTATTATCGGGACAATATGACATGGCAAAAATCCTGGACTTTCCAAATTTCCAAAAATATTATAATGACAGAGATAGAGACATGACGAATAACATTCCAAGTAAACTGGTATTACTGTATTTTGTTGTTAAACAATTCATTAAATATTCATTTCTTTGGGTTGCTTTCTGTCCGTTATCATAATTTGCAGTAGAAATTTCTAATTGTCAAGTTAGACCGTAGTATCTAACGTGCCCGGCCGGAAAAATTAGGTTTCCAATGGTCTTTAGAGTCTAAAAAGCATTATAAACTACGAAAAATTGATATGTATGATATGCTTTGTTACTTATTCAAATGTTTTTCTGTTTTTTTATTTTCTCAAGAACGTTGTCTTAAATGAATATTTAAAAATGGAATAGTAAACGAATTATTGAAATAGAAAAAATAATACTTCCGACTCCATAGCCAATCACAAATCACAAAATTGTAACCCAACTAACAGTTGATTTTTTGTACAAATTTATCGCCAGAAAACATATCCGTCACTGTTCGAAACGAGAAAATTAATAATTACTAATTATCCAGTTATGGTTTGGGTTAGAAATGCAGATTGCGCTTGACATTCAGATTTTCGAATCATTCTTAACCTAACCTTCAACTAGATCGTATTAGTTTTCTGAAAACGTGCCGTGGTGTTTTTTTCAAATCTAATATTTTCGCATTAGTAACGGGGTCTTTGTACTAAAGATTCTATATTACATCCGACTTATAGCCATTAACGAAAATGAAATTTAAACTCTAACGCACAGAGTAGACAACAAAAAATTGACTCCTCTAAAATATCAAAATTTTAATGTCGGAAAACCGGCCTTTCCTTCCAAGACCCCGTCATAAAAAAACACGGCGCTCACGCTCAAATTGAAAAAAATAGTAATTATCCAGTCACCGCAAGTACATAATTACTAAGTTGTTATTTCAAAACATTGCGGGAGTGTTTTTCTCAAATCACACATTTTTGCATTAGTTGCGGGAATCCCAAAATTGTTACGTCGAAAACCCTTATAAAGCTGCAGTAAAACTTCTTTATATTCCAGAGTCTTACTCCGGACTCCTCTTTCTGACACAGACGCCACCGATCTCACAGTAAATGGAACCTTCCATTTTATTGTTTACAAACATTTCAGATAACTTACCTCATTAAAATCTTCGAATAACGATCTGTTGCTCTTTTTATCATGTTTCTTCAAATAAACTGGCTTTACCATTCGCTGAATAAAAGGCATCTTGGGCAGTCTGCGACAACAATTTATTCGGCAAACAACGAAGCAATAAAATTTTTGATTATTCCAGAGATTTTTCGAAGTTGTAGTGTTGTTTTCTCTCAATCCATTTACAAATGTAATTCTATGTGATAATCAAATTTGAGTAGTAGCAAGTATTCTGTAAGGAAACGCATGAACATGGTGAAGAATTAAAAGTTAATTTTTGAGGGGGCGTGAAATAAAAATAAAAATATTTGTTAGATTTGATTTTTTCCGCCTTATTTGGGATATTTACATTTTCTTCATTTTGTATATTTACGTTCCATCCACGTATTTTTGAATAAAACATACTTTCATCTTACTATCTGTTATGTGTAGCTTGTTATTTTGAAGTGGGGCGCGAGAAATTCTAAAAAGGAAGCGCGTCTTTAAAAGTGAGAACCACCGGAGTATATGGTATTGATTCGTATGGAGAGCCCCAACCCAAGTATCCAACTAAAGACCCAACATCCCCCACTACAAAATAGATATTTTCGGTTTTTGTTTAGACTTTTATGAATGGTGGCAAAATTAGACTTCTAAATAGTATTTGTACAAATTGGACTGTAACAAGCCTAAACGTTTTTTCTTCAACAAAAAGAGACAAAATTGGCTGAAATGTCACTAACAATATCTTTTCACTGGAGTATGTTTACTTCATTTTGCTGAAATATTCTCGAAATTTGTTTTTAAACTCTCTGCTATTCTTTCCTTAATTTACCTGACTCACCTAAGAAAAATGCAATGAATATTTAATAGCATATCGTGAGCTCCCCTGAATAATGCAAATCTAACGCAACTGTATTCACAAAAAAGATTTTATCTGCTTCTAGGTTACACATAACCCGCAGAATATATAGCAGCTAATACAAAGGTTTCAACAACATTTCTAATTGAAATTTGTTTTTACAATTCAGTGGTTCTCAAACGCTGCAGCGCACCCACAAAGAGGGCGTGAACAATTTTTTTTTTTGGGGGGGGGGGAGGTGAAGCTATTTAAAAATAAAAAAATATTTGTTATATTTGATCTCGCCAGCCTTATTTTCGATATTAACATTTCTTTATTGTTCACATGTCTTTATTATGTCCACGTATTTTCAACGTGTTTTATTTTTTGAAACAAACATACTTTCGTCTTACTATCTGTTTTTTTGTAACTTATTGTTAGCTAATTATTCTTCGAGGTGGGGCGCGAGACTTGACAAATTCTGAAAAGGGGCGTGGCTTAAAAAGTTTGAGAACCACTGTGTTACATTGAGTGCCAGATTTGTCAAACGTTATTTACTAATTCACATATATGTTTGAATGTAAAGCTATATATATATATATAGCAGACCTGCACAAGGCACAGGATACTTCTGTGCGGCCCGTGGGTGATTTGGAAACACGCCACTTCTCTTGTCTAACAATCAAAGCCGGCATTGTTACCTATGCAAGCGGGCCGCAACTCCGATCATATTCGAAATCCTGAGATTTATGTTTTGCACTAGTTTCAATAAATATCGAACTCTGTGTGAAAATTGGAGCAGATTTTGTAGAAAATGTAATTTAACAGTCAAAAAGTACAACACAGGAAGACATATTGCTACTAAACGGATTGATTGTCTAGCCTACAATGGAAATATCCAATTATGGTAGATATGACTAAATAAATTGTCATACATATATTTGGGACGATTTTACAAAACTGAACCTGAGTAAAACATTTTCCTGCAGTCAGTTTATACTGCAACACGCAATACCTAATTCTAATAAAAGAGAAATATTGAAAATGAAGGGTGGGTTTTCAAGGTAGATGAAGCACGAAGTACATATTTGCCATGCCATATGCAAAAATACTGTACCTCGTTTTTACTCAAGAAAATAAGATTCTTCATACTCCCCAGTAATGAAAGTGTTTTATTAAATTTAACTGTTTCACAATATTAGTTTGATTTGTGGTTCATCTTGTGAAATATGTATTTGGCAAACCTTCAGATTTATGCTTGAGGCCCTCGTGATAATTTGAGTTGTGCAGGCCTGATATATAGAGATAGATAGATAGATTCAGTACAACAATAGCGCGTGCGACTTTGATAGAAGCTAATTACAAAACCTGACAAAATATACAAAAATTTACACAAATTAAACTGAATTTTTTTTACTCTTACACATAGTATTCATACAATGCGAGCAATAACCCAACAAATATTAAACTAATACGAGACTTACATTTTTTTTACCTAAATAACAGATAATTGTCAGTAATATTATATGTATTCGAGGTTGGTGCGAGACCATAACGGTTCAAGTTGAAACTATTAGAAAACAACTACGTGTTAGCAGCCTATTATACAATAAAGAATACCTTGACAAAGCATACTCAAATTCACACGAATATAACCAAATTCGTTTCATTTTTCTCTAGTATTAGTATAATGCGAATGGTTCCGCTAAATAACAATTATATTATATTATATGTATTCGAGATTGGTGGCGGAGATTATATCGGTTGAATTCAAAACTTTTGGAAAACAACTGAGCGATACTAGCTAACTAATATGAAATAAACCTTGACAAAATATACTCAAATTTATACGAATTCTATCTATTTTTCGTTTATCTTTCTCATAGTAATAGTACTTTGTGGATAATAATCCTGCTATATTATAAGTTAATGATTTGGTTTCCTCATCAAAATGAATAAAAATATAAATTAATAATCTCTTCCAAGGCATCGGTACAATGTGAATAATAGTCCCGCTAAAAAAGTTCCACAAGATGTAAGTTGGACACTAAATCGATGTGTTTGCTGTGTGGACACAAGTGTTGATAACTAAACTATACAATAAAACTGGTCAAAACGTACGAAAATTCTTACAATGACAGAATGACAAGAAAACTCTCAACTACACAATTAAACATACACGAATTTTCATAAATACAACTAATTCATCAATTGCGATTACGCGATACGATCTATCCTTCCAACTACACCAAAATCCTCATCAAAATATAAGAGAATTTGCACAGACATAAATGAATAATCTCTCTCAGTATCAGTACAATGTGGATAATAATCCCGCTAAATAAGTTCACAACATGTAAGTGGGGCACTAGATCAATAATCCGTGACCGTCGAATTAAATGGTACTTCAATCCACTTTAACACCAAATACACACAAGTAGCATTTAAAAAATCGTAAATTTACTGAAAATCCTTTGTGATTCAACAAGAACAGAGGCGTGCAACATTTAATACAGGAGGGCCAGGTACAAATAACTGGGTGAAACCGCGGGCCGCAACTTTGGTTAGGCTTTCTATTTACAGGCACAAAAATTTGACATTGCGTTGTCTGCTTCGCACAAAATCGGGTATAGGCTTTGCAACGCAATGAGATCCGAATTATTCGCACGTCCTAATTACAATTTAATTTAAAAAAAAACTCGTCTCGCGGGCTGCACATTATTCAAAATTGGTACTTTTTTACGGGGCGAACAACATTTCCTTGTAAACCACATTTGGCCCACAAGCCCCATATTGCACACCCCTGGGTCCTAAAAAATTAGCTGGTCCACTGTTATGAACTGGTCACCAGCCATGATGCGTGCGCTCATAGGCGTAGCCAAGGGGTGGTTTTAGTGGTCGGAACCCCCTTTTTGAAATGTAAAAAAAATAAAATCATCCTTCTGTATCATACATATCAATTTTTCGTAGGTTTAAACGCTTTTTATACCGTCAAGACTCATGAAAACACACGTTTTCCGGCGTTTAGTCGGGTCCGCTAGGTGTTACGATCAAACTTGACAAATAGAAATTTCAGAACTAATTGGGGCACCCAGATCTTTTGTTTAAAGCCCTCGCCGAACAACACCTCCGCCAACGCCCAAAATGGAAAAATTAGTAAATATTCAGTCAGGGTAAGGAATGCAGATTGACGTGGATAAGTTGCTAAATGTTCGATGAAAATAGGTTATCTGCTCCACGTAATCTGAGGTAGTTTAGAACACTAAGAGACATAATTATCAATTCCCCCATTAAAGTAATCGGGAAACTGTCTTTCAATCTACGTCAATGATAGCTTGTTTACAATCCATACCGTGTTTCCCCGAAATTAATACAGGGTCTTGTTTCAAATTTCTTTCGAAAAATAACACTAGTGCTTATTTTGGGGGGATGCCCTTTATTTTCATTTATCAAAAACAAAATTACGAAGTAGAGAATTGAGAGATTTTCAAATATACAAAAAATGAAATACGATATCCATTTACTAAACAGATTATTAATCATTTAAAACGTGTAGAATAGATTTCTTGCTATCGACTAGTTCAAATAAAATGCTTTCGATAGGTCTTGGAAAGGGCTTTTAAATCATTTCTAGGCTAGGTCTTATTTTCGAAGGAAACACGGTATATACAGTATATCAAGTAAATGTCTCTTAGGAAGAAAACAATATTAGTTTTGCAGGAATTACGTTACCGTTGTTTATTATACAGACGCACTTCCTAACGACAAATACATTCGAAACACGACAAATGTCTTATCGCGCATTTAAATACTAGGTAGGCATAAACTTACTATAATCAAGCGTGGTGGTAATCACTCGCTAATCAAAACATATGTCGCGAAAGACAATTTGTTTACCTCAACTTTTGTTTTGTCTATTGTGGCACAGTAACGTAAACATACGAATTATTGTTATCCATTATGGTAAAGACAGTGTTGCTTTTTGAGCATCTAACTATTGCATTGTTATGTCCGGCTAGACCTGTGTTGTTCAAAAAAATTGCTTTCAGTCAGGCGCCCATAATCCTGGTAATCAAAAGAGCCATAACCTATAATTTTAAAAACAATAATATTATCATCTTTTCCACTTTAACTAAGGGCTAAAAACTTGAAAAAGCGCACTAAAGTCTATAACAGGTCAGCATGGAATTACTCACAGTACTACCCCTACCCAATGTTCGTCTGGCTGTGCTTCGACGAATTGTAAGTATTTGATATGGTGACCGTACATTTGAACCATGTGTATATCCGCGGGATTAATCTATATGCGGGTGCTAAAACCCACGGGTTAGGGTTAGTATGGGTTCAAATATCCGAAAAACAAAAAAAAATTCCATAGATGCAATAGTAGGCAGATGCAATTGTCGTGGGTTCAAATGTACGTGGGTTCAAATGTAATGGGACACCATTTGAATTGAATGCGATACCTATAAAAGCAGAATATTTTGTTTCCTGCCAGTATTGAACTCATATTGTGGCCCACACTTCTGTTCCCCGTTTTCAATAATTCGCATTCTCAAATTTATTTCATCTCAGACAAACTACGAAACTGAGGCCCTATAGCTGTTTATATGAGAAAAGGTGATTACTATCTGATTGTTTGTGCAATACAGTAGAAAGGCGAGGCTCTAATCCCATTTACAGACGTAGATTTAAATCAGTTCCTCATCACTGTGGGTTTCACCCCCCCCTAAAAGTCACCTCCAATTGGGGCGTTCCGTTTGCCCAATCTTCCGTGATTACACTGAGAACCAATAATAAAGTATGGTATAGGGCGTGCGTTTACCTAATGTATGGTATGCATGTTTATATTGTCTCGAAATTGTTAACAGTATCTGCCATAATAAATTATCAGCGTAAAAGAGACGGAGATACATGTTCAAGGTTTTACGTAGGCCTAACCGAGACGTGACATGTGCGGACATGCCATGTTTTAGGACTGGCTTGCGTTATATTGGGACAATAGACATGAACTAGGCTATACAAATAAAACTGAAGTGCAATACAATGCTCATGCTATAAGCCTTCTAACTATCCTCCGACTTAGAGTTACTGGTATTTATTTGGCTATCATTGAAAGTCTATCAGCAAACTGTATACAAAGCTATTCAAGCTATACATCTAACGCGTCTCCTCGGCGTCATTCTAAACAAAGAACAGCACAACGAGCCTCTATTAAGAGTCGACACTCCGATCTGCGGCCGATTCGCCGCGTCTCTCAACAAATACAGAAAGACTGTGACTTGTTTTTGTTATAATTATGACCTTTATCGCCAACTAGCGACTAAAGAATTTTTTGATTGGAAGTCTGAATTTTATCTGGTGCTATCTTGTTATTGGACACGAAATGGGCCTACGTTATGTTACTGTAAGTATTCTTCTCTTCTTGTTGTTTTGAAAAAATTGCCTTACTCTTTAACTAATGCATCCATTGCTTTGAATTTTCAGTGGTTAAAAATTGTTTTTGTCGCCAGAAGACTATTACTTTCATTCATTCAAGAATATCTGTGGGATCCGACTGCATTCTGGTGGTGAGGAACAGGTTTTGAAATAACAAGATTATACTGTTCTTTTTGTCACGAGGTGTTGTGATATTATTTAATAAGAGTCCTAAGGATGCTAAGCATGACTATTTACAAGTATTAACCGATTCCTAAATTTTCGACTTCGATTCTCAATTCCTCGACATATCTTACCGAGAAAACATAACCACTTAAACGATATTATATGAAATCGAACAAGAGAGCTATGTTCAAGTATATGCAAACGAAGACCAAAACTAAGTAGTATGGGTATTCAATCTGTAACAGTAGACTTGTCACAAAACGTTGTACTTTATTTGTAATCCAAGTTTTAATTCCGAGAGTCGATTCCATGGCATCGGAATCGGTTCTAGTCGAATTCACGAAGAATCCGGAGTCGAGTCCGCCATCCCTAACTAAGACTAGGCGAAATTTCTATGAAAATGAATTTTTTTTCTCTTGTGTTTATTTTCCTGTTAAATGGAATAAAAATGCATATACTTTTGATAATACAAATATAGATCTGGACAGTGGTTCTTCGAAGAGAAGTAAAGCATATATATAAATAAAAACAATATATATTTGCTATATAATACCTTGAAGTTACTGAATAAAATTCAAAACAGATAGGGTGGCCCAAAAATCAAAGTCATTTGGAACATATTCTAAAGAAAAAACAACTTTCTTGTGCAAGCGTCCTAGATTACAGAAATATTTGGGTAAGATCATACAAAAACATAAGTAGATTTGAGTAATTGTAGTACAGAGAGAAGTAAACAATATATATATAAATAAAAACAATACTCATATTTTCTATATAATACATCAAAAGTCACTAAACTGAATTTGGTTCATGACCTTAAAGACAGACCCAGGTCATTTGGAACATATTCTAGAGATAATATAACTTTTGTGCAAAGCGTACTTTTGAGTACAACTGAAACTTTTGAGTACAATCACGCGCAAACAGCAGTAGATTTGAACAGTGATATTTCAAAGAAAAATAAAGAACATATAAAAATAAAAACAATGTATATATTTGCTATATAATACAGGGTGTCCATAAAGTCTTAAAATAATTTAAAATACAAATGGAATTTTTCGATTTGATGATTTCGATTTTTCGACTCTCACAGATGTATCGAATGAAGTAGAACTACTTAGACAATTACTGATTATAATAAAAACAACAAACCTGGTTAAGATATATTGAAAACTGACTTCGTAAAACAATTAAAATTGTGAAGGGACTTTATGGACACCATGTACTACAAAACTTATGCATACGCATCTAAATTTCAAACATATACGGTGACTTATAAAGATAGACCCAGATCATTCGGAACATATTCTAGAAATCAAAATTTTTGTGCAACGTGTCTTATATTACTAAAACATTTGAATACTGTCATATACAGACAAAAGATGTTGAATGTTAAATAAGTATTTTTCATTTTCCTGAATGTGATTAAAAAATGTATGGGTTACGTTTTTTGAGGCAGAAGGGGGCTCTATAATATAAGTTTCAGTAATCAAACGTCTTTACAGTATATAATTTAAAACAAGTAAACAATATAAAACAAGCTTATAGATACCATTTAATACTACTATGTGTATAATGATGAATAAGCAGATGTTATGTAGGGTGTTCTTAAAAGCTTAAAGAATGCAATGGAAATTTATTTATTTTGTAGTATTGTCCCGTACAAGTGCATTAAAAAGTTTTCATCGTCTTTTTTTTAATTTTTCAAACACCTTTCACTAAACTTAGCGAAGAGAAAAGATGACATGGGCCATGAGGTACATGCACCCATGTAGTAATTTTATGTCTCATATTATGAATCTAATTGGAATTCTTCGCCACTTTCCAGAATCCATCTTGTTTTTAGTAAATTTTTAAGGTGTCATGGTGGAGTTTTATCGTAGATAAATTATTTAATCTTGCGGTATTCTACACGAGACCACATCGAGAAAGAAGCATTTGCGACGAGAAAATATTACGTTAAAATCATGAGGTGCATGTACTCCGCCTTCAACTCCTTCGTGGAACGATGGAAGCGGGTTTTCTGGGTCCGGTAATATCTTGAACCATTGTACAATTCCTGTGATAAAGATGAACAATTCTGCTTTTGCAAGCCTTTTTCCGAGACAGTATCGAGGTCCAAGGGAAAAAGGAATAACTTGCGGACTTGGAACGAACTTTCCATCTTCTCCAATGAATCTTTCAGGCAGAAATTCACGAGGGTTTTTGAAATATTGTGGATCGAAATGAACCGACCAAGGGTGTGCAATGATCTGAAATAGGAAATCGTAGTTTGTAAATAAATTGTAAGCTTAGTCACAAAGAACAATAAATTTATTAATATTATATTCTGGATAGGTATACTTACAGTAGCGGGATTCGGGGGGTCGGCACGGGCGAACCTGTTCTAGGGAATATCATGATGATAAGCGGACCCGGTTTTGTATTTAGACAACCGCAGCAAATAGGTCACATGCACCACAGCTAGCGACTGGCTTTATATTTGGCTTTTCGAATTTGTTTATTATGAGATTATGTAAAGCGTGCCATGTTACTCAGAAAACAACGTTTACTGAAGTATGACTCGGTGATTAGTACCATCGCTAAATTTATGAACACGACAGTACCTCTAATTTCTATACGTGTGTTTTCGTGCATGCTGGAATGCCAGAAAGCACCCAGAAAACATCTACGCATTATCTTTCTTGGGGTTTTATAGATGCTATTGAAACTCAGGCGAAGCAGCTTGGGATAGAACACCGTGAAAATCAAAATCAAGCTCTCAAACATTAAGCCGGCCATCTGAAAGACCATCACGATTTTGTTACAAGGTACACGGTCACGAACCTGGTTCATTGGTTGTGTTTACGTTGTAATAGACACAAATATGTTGCCAAACTTTATTTAGCTTTAAGACTTTGCAGAATTCAAGAGTTAAAACTTAATACTTACTGGAGTATTCTTTGGGATATAGAATCCTTTGAACATGACACTCGCAGTTGTTTTGTGCGGAACAAAAATGTTCAATACGATCCTATGTCTCGTGATTTCATGAATGAAAGCGCATGTGTATGGCATCAAATCTTTGTCTTTAAGACTTGGTGCTCGTTTTATGCCTGGAATATAAATTCAAATACATTTAGAATTAATAATAGGTGCGAATATAAGACCCCAAGAGCCATTTGAATAACATCCTCTGTAAAACCGTGGCTGATGTATTGAAAGCAGGTTAGGAATAAGCATATGGGCTCAATCTCCTATTGTATAGCCTCCTCTTTGCGGGCTATTGAGCTGCCATAGACTGCAGGTTGGAAATAGAGATAGATATATGAACCCAATTGCTATTTGAATGGCCGGTACTCCTGAAGTATGCGCACCAAGATGTCGCACAGCCTGAAACCTAACCTGGTAAACAATCTGAGTTCAGGTTGTGCGCCATCTTGGTGTGCATACTTCAGGAGGTCCGAATGGCCTTCTTTGTGAAGTGATATTAGGGTTGTTATAGAGAGAGCAGATAGGCGATAGAGACGAATTTATAGCCCAATTATTAGAATGGCTTGTTCCGTATATGGCTAATGTGCTACCATGTGAACAGCGAGTTTAGTAATTAGGACCGCTAGGGGGTTAAATTTCGCTTGAGTAAATTATTAGACCTGAGTTATGGACCCGCTAACCAGAGGCGTAGTCAGAAATTTTCAAAGGGGGTTCTGAAATTTTTATTTGCCAAGTTAGATCGAAACAGCTAGCGGGTCCGATCGAACGCTGGAATACGCGTGTTTTTAGTAGTCTTGGGGTCTAAAAAGCATTTCAAGCTGCGGAAAATCGCTATCTATGATACAGAAAAATGATTTCATTTTTTTTACATTTTAAAAGGGGAGGTTTCGACCCGCAAAACCACCCCCCCTGGATACGCCACTGCCGCTAACTTCAATTACAAATTTCAGGCCCCCCTTAAAAATTACTGGTTCGCCCCTGGCTAGAGGTACCCCTGTTCTGGTGCAGAAATATATTATTGTTAAACATATACGCGCCATGTGTTGATTTAACTTCAACAGAAAACTCTTGTTTCATGGTACTACACTCACCAATTACGCTCTGTATCTCATGAAACAATTTTTCTTGAATTTCTGGGTAGGTTGCAAGACATAACATACACCAACGCAAAGTGCTTGAGGTTGTTTCAGTCCCAGCTACGAACAAGTCGCTCACGTAATGAACCAATTGCTCATCCTGTATAAAAAATGAAAATCTCTTTTAATGTTTGTCCAGCGGACAAAGATAAATAGAAAAATCAGATATAGTTAAAGAGTAATGTTGTGTTCATAAGCCTTCTTATCTTCGTAAGGAATATACACGTATACACGTTGTAGCGACTTCCTTCATGGGCCAACTAAAACCACGAATTAGTCGGAAACTCCGGACGATATGTGTTAATCATATTACATGAGTAATCCTGTGATTTATGACGAAATAAATACATCACAAGTAAGAAGAGCATTCAACTATAGAAAAGATTTTCATAAGTGTCGGGGAGTCTCAAGTCATAATAAAACAAAGACTCGGAGTGATTTGACTCACTTGATGAATCATACTCATCTAACTGCCAGTGAGACTCAGATTAGTGACTCGGGGTTTTAGAAACATTTACCCAACACTGAGTACTGACGTGACGTAATTTATGTCGTTGATTTTTTGGGTTAGATTTGAAATCTTTAACCATAATGCCAAAATAATCAGAACCCAGTGCGTTAATTATTACTTTATCTGTGAAATACAATATATTTTGTACAGCTCACGTGAATTTTAATGTCTATATATAATACGCTCTTATTTAGTTAGATTTCGATCAGTGTGCGATTTGGAGATAAATTCTATTTTCTTGACACCCTATAACAGGGCTACTCAAGTGGCGGACCGCGGTCCGAATCCGGACCTTTCGAGTATTTGATTCGGATCGCACATCAATCTTTATTTTGGATCATTAGCCTCACTTTTGAAGTTACCTTTTATAAAAATGACTTCTATAACTTTAAATATATATGGAAAGAACTACGTATAACACCATAATAAACAATCTTGATTAGCTAATAATTATTAGCCGGTCGAGGAAGTGTGCGTTTAAGAGTTGCCGAAATATAATTTTTGGAAACACCGGACCCAAATAATTTTGAAGTTTTGTATGCGGACCTTCGGTAAAAATAGTTGAGTAGCCCTATCATATAATATCCATATTGCTTGGTATTCCGTGAAAAGAGAATGCAATTTTTATTCATCACTGAAATAAGTAATTACTCAGCAAAGTCCAGTACCGTGAAATTCGAATTCTCGTCATTTTGTGTTTTCATTTCTTTGATGAATTCATCGATGAAATCTCGAATATTGTTTTCATCGTAAGTTTGTTTGTGTTCGTCAACAACAGCTTGCAGAGCATCTGTGACATAATAAGAAATAAGGAATGAGATGCTGCATATATAAAAAGACAGCGATGTTCAAATATATTCACACGAACGGCAAAACGAAGCAGTACGGGTATGTCATTTGTCACAGCAAACTACTGGTACTACAGTCAGTCACAAATTGGTTTGGACGATGTCATCGCACACAAAAAACGAATCCCACAGACCCCATAGAAATTTGTAGGTGATAACTTTCTAGCGGAAAATAACCACTGAGGAAAGCGCAAGAAGAAGAAAAAAAAAAGTAGTAACAGGAACAACATAATAACAAAACAGTATTCCGTGAATTAAAATAAAACAACGAAATTTTGAAAAATGAAAAAATCAAACATCAAAGGTTGAGCGTTTGTTTTATCCGTTACTGGTAACCAGGTTGTGGCTTACAACAGTATTAAACTGCTCTGTGATTGTTTTATCACCATGGATGGCCATTGTTTGGGTTTCATATATTATGATGCTAGGTGATCCCCCTTGCTAGATCGTGCATTCTTTTAATCTTGTTTTAAGTTGGTTAGGCAATTGTTTGTCTGTTTTAGGCGTCAAATCACGAAATAGTTTGCAATATATATCGTTGCATCGGATATTCGATGTCTCAAGATTATGCCGATCATCCAACACATACATCAGGTAGCAATAGTAACATCCTTATGATGTATCAAGGCGCTATCTTGGTATCTCGACAAGCGTCGGCCACTCCGATTTCTCAATAGAGATGCATTGTAGACGTAACACGATTCCGGGATCGGATTCGTTTTAGGTGGACAGGAGCGGGCGAGGGCGATCTATAAAGACAAGGACTGGTAACGCTATAAACCTGTTCAGCGAATACATTCAGTATGTAAGATAAAAAGAAATCGTTTCCGCCATATTTTAGCCAACTCAAAAGTTACTTGTTGCAATAATTTGAAGCTGCTCGCGTACCACTTAAAAAGCTCCCGTGTACCACTAGTGAGTGGTACGTGTACCACTGGTTGAGAACCACTGTTATAGAAGAAGGAAGTCTTTGATATATTGTGACTGAAGTCGAGGCAATTACTCGAGCCTCCCCAACAATACAATTACCTCCATCATTCTGTGAAATTTGCACATGTCTACTTGCACCCGAGTAAAGCAAACAGACAATTACCAATTTTTCAAAAATCTAACCCGCCATAATTGAAAAATGGGTAACTGTCTGTCAGCTTAACCCTGGTTCTATTTACCCAATAGAACTTTCCTCGATTTCCCCAATCGGTTGTAACAACTCCAGAATACCGGTAGAAATCTCGTAAACGGAGCCAGAACCATGATTCTGTACAGTTTCCCATCCAGTGCGGCGGAAAAGCTGAAAATGAATGAAGGTTTTAGTCAGGACTGTGTTTAAGAATAAATTCATTTGGAAATGCCGTTTGATATTGTGATGAAATTGAATTCGCGCTACCTCATGTGGGCAAGGTGGCACCATCGCCGAGCAATCTGAAGATGTTAACAGTCGCGTGACAGAGCGAGGGTTACATTTGGTTAGCGTGCGTGAAAATTGCTACATCTTGTAAATTGTTCTTTTTCTTGTTTTAGTATAGCAGTAATGTTTAAGGTAATAAAAGCCTAGAATACGGTTTAAATGAGTTTTCTCTCTAAGAGTTCCATAACATGTGGCATTGCATGTAATATAGACTATATTATTGCCTGACAGAAGTGAATTAATTTTGGAAGCAACATATTACTACTTCCGACACAATTTTTTATATTGTATCGTATTAATCCCCAAAATATATGTAGTTTTTAAAGCTCTTGGCTTTCCAGTGTTCACCGGCACCTTTGCTCAATGAAGCGTTATGAGTAAGTGCGTGTGTCCGTTTTTTCACAAAAGTATTCGGAGCTCCAGAAGTATGTGCGCCAAGATGGCAAACAACCTAAACATAGTATGTGTACCGCAGGGGTCGGCAACCTACGCCCGCGGGCCGGATCCGGCCCGCGGAGTAACATAATCCGGCCCGCTACGCTTCACTGAATTATAGTAACAAAAGCTATAGCTATACAATAGCTATTTTGACGATTATATTTTTCACGTTACACACTCATTGTGAGACGCGTGTAGACTAAATTATATTATAAGTATAAAATTCACAATTAGTCGTTTAATGAGCCTACAATTTAATTATAATCAGACAAATGGGAACAAAACGCAGAAAAGTTGATGCTAAGTGCGAAGGGTTCAATTGCGCCGAAAATGCGATGCAACGAGGAAATAAATCTATATTCTGTTTAAGAGATGTATCACTGCTTCATGTTTATTATAAAAAGTATCATCCGTTCAGTTTTCAACTTTCTAAAAATATGTGCGGCCCGCCAATGACTTGCACCCTTTATTTTGGCCCGCGGGCGACAAAAGGTTGCCGACCCCTGGTGTACCAGATTAGAATTCAGATTGTGCGACATCTTGATGCACATACTACGGGAGCGCCAAATATTCTATACGAACCTTTCGTTCATCAATCTCAGCATCTCATTGAAATCTTTATCTCCATATGGGAATCGTTTGCTCATTGTCATTCTGCAGACGATGTTAGCTACGGCGTTGGAAATTAAACTCTGAAAAGGCAAATTGAGTTTTTTAGAAAACATTTTCTTCACACTTATAAGTGATTTGCGTATGAGGAAGTCTGATCTGGGTCAGATGAAATGTTAGAGAAATATATTCGTGTTAGTGTGCCGGGGGGTATTAAGACCTGATTTCCACTCCATATTTAATCAACAAAGTTCACAACTTCTATTCTAGATAACTATCCTAAGCGATTCAAGAGTCTTACTGCATACCAACACAAATGTATTTCTGTGACGATTCGTAACTTCTTCAGATAAACATTTAGCAAACTGACAGTCAGAGGAAACGTTACAGAAATATATACGTGTTAGTGTGCAGCAAGACACTTGAATCACTTAGAAGGTTATCTTCACTATTGCTACAGTATCCTTGCATTATCCGCACCAATAGACTCTAAGGCATATAAAAAGAATTAGTGATGCGGTCACAACAAATGCGGTCTTTGATAGAATTAGATCTGAGTTTTTAAAAAATCCTACTTCGGTTCTGATGGACAGAAACTGAATCTACAAATCGGTTTCAAAATAGTTTTTAACAACGACCTGCTGTGTTTAAGAAAGTCACTATTCTCAAAAATAAAGCGTAAATCTGCTCAATCATCTTTGTTGAATCGTTGACATTGTTACCGTTAATATATTGGTAATACTTACATGACAGTTCAACGATTTACCGTTGTATGATTCAACTTCGTCGATAAGATATTGGACTTCTTCTGAAATGAAATCTTCCATATATACATTTCCGAATCCAAATCTAAATTATAGAATTTTAAAATTAATGTGTCACCAACGGTTAAAGACTTCGCAAAATAAGGGTGCATTTGTTATGAGATTTATTTTTTATATGATTCTTTGTGCTTCAGTGGCTACGGCAAATATTCCATCGCCATTCTTTCCATTTTAAGTTAATGTATGGGTATGTTGCTTTGTGTCATAACTAGTGATTTAAAAATGATACAACATTTATAGCTTGCGATGTCGTACTTCATTGATCAAACAAGTTGCGAAAATAAAAATGCCTTTTTTTACTACATAAACCTATAATTAGCTCTTTGCGCGTCAATAGTTGTGAGTACATCTTTGAATACTCTATCCACTTTGAGGTAATATATTTTAACTTTACTTTAACAGTATAATTGTCTTAAAGTATATGCAAAAATAAAACACATTAAAATAGCTTATCCATCACTTTGAGCTGAGGGCTTGCTTTGAACAAAAATTATTTTGTGAATCATGTGACATAGAAAATGTCTCGTAACAAACCTTTTTAAAGTATTCATTCCGAATTTTCTTTGTTCCTTCCAGAAAGGCCCATAGTCAACGAATCCGATCCCTAAACCCTTTGTAAAGGTTTTATATATGTGCACTTGCGGACGGCCTGAGAATACTTCCCCGTGCTTCACCAGTGCCTAAATCGTATGGAAAAATATATTTCAGATAGGATAGGATTTTTAAATTCATCCCGGCGGATAGAAAAGTCAATAGGAAAAAAAAAATTTTTGCTAAGCAAAATTAGGATGGTTTGAAACAGGACGGTCTGACCTATTGCAGGGTCCGTATGCAAAACGCATTGCTTGGGGCTTGTCAATGTAAATGTAATGATAATAATTTAAAATTAAGATTTTGTAATCAAAAATGAATTATAATACATTTTATCTAAGTACAAAATCGCGATAAAAGTTACTTCACTTCGCGAGTCTTGCGTATACAGAGTAAACACACCGATCTATGAGTGCCTGTTTATGATATTTCAATTTAATAATCCACATCTAGAATTAGCGCGGGGCCCGATGTAATAGCATTGGTGGTATTGATCTAGGGCCAACAAGAATTTAAAAAATATGTTGTTTTATGGCGCCTGGTCCTTTGCGCCATTGATCAATTCGAATTAAAAATCCTATACTGACATATTATACAATATTTACCAATAAATAATTATACAATTAAATCCCTTTCAAGAAGTAACTAATTTTTTAATAATAATCTGTAAAATATCAAATTACCGTATGTTCTTCTTACCTCATGAAGAATGTCATATGTATTCAATACAACCCAAGTTTGATCACCCATTTTAAGAGAGAAAATAGGTCCATAGTTATCCGCAATTTTCATCATTTTTTCCGAAGCTTTATCTCCAAGAAACGGGGCATATCCTAGCAAAGGTATTCCCATAGGTCCAGGCGGGAATCGCTTCCATTTGTATTCACGCAGATAGAAGTAATATGCAACCAATAACGAAACAACAGATATTATAATAGTGTTAATGCTATCTCCGAACAACATTTTTCATCTGTTAATGTAAACCAGCATATAATATGTGTATAATGCCAGTTAATATAAGTAATACTTTATACGAATATATTCGTATTTTCATTTGCGACTTTAGCTCTAAACAAGGCTATGTACAAGGAATATTCACTAATAGATGGATGTATCCAGAAATTTAAGAAGGGGGGGGGAAGGGGGTGGTTCTGAAAATTTCTAATTGCCAAGTTATACCGTAACAGCTTTTCAATATATATTTTCTTATAGATGAAGTAACTGTTTAAAACAGCGTTGCGCTCTCAAAAACCTGGCTATCGTGTCTCTCTTGTAACTTTTGGGAAAACTACATACGATAACTAACAATCATGACATGAATAGCATACTATATTTTTATTTTTACTGATCAATTAAAGTTTCATATCTACCCTAACCCAGAGTATATAATTAGATTTTACTTACCTACAATAACTTTGCTTCAAACTAACTATTCGCACAAAATATTTTTACCACTACTACGTTTCAAAGCCGAGTGAGATAACCACAATCGATATCGGCGTGTCATATCCCACTCATGCAACAGACATGTGAACAGGAAATAGTACTTTTGCGAGAACAGCTGATTTGAAGCATAGCACTTCTAGTTGAATGGGATTTTAGATGCTGTTCTGATTTAAGATGTAACGTACAGCTTACGGCGCTCCAGAAGTATGCGTACTAATATGGAGGTGACTAATTATGTTCGCCTACTTTACATCACGTTGTGTAAATGTACTAAAACCTATGGACAGGGGGTATATTCACTTGGCTAACACAGGCAGTCCCGAACTCATAACAGAACTAAAATAAGTAAAATCGAAATGAAATTATAGCTTAACCCTAACACGGTACACACACTACGGGAGTACCCAGCTTGCAGTAGCGTACGGTTTGCCGTACCGAGGTACAGTCCGAGATCAGCCGCGTTGGGGTAAGGGGCACGAATGAAAGGGGAATCATTAGGAATTGAATATGTAGCGTTAGATTTCACGCTACAGTACTAGCTTAAGTAGGCTTACCATATATCTGAAGCAAACACCGGGACAGTGCGGATTGGACAAGTCAACCTTGGTTCGATTCCAGAGGTTTAGTAATAGTTTAAACGTTTTCCATGCCATTGATTACAGGCATCAAAATTGGCCTTAAATTCTATTAAAATTTCCTCTATTGGTCTTTGCTTCAAATCATGAAAATCGTTTAACTCATTAGAAAACTTGCACTTCATAATTTCAGGTTCAAATACTACGGGAATCACTTGCCTCGTCCCGAACTCGTAATAGAACTGAAATAAGGAAAATTGAAATAAAATTATGGCCTAACCCTAACCTAGTACACATACCAGGTTCCGGTCTCCGCCATCTTGGTTCACATACCCAACTAAGACCCTCTCTGAATGTAACCTGAAGATCTACTCAGAGCGTAACACAAAACGCCTACTAATAACTCATAACGCAAACCTCTTCCCTTATGGCATACGGGATATTGCTCTTCGAGGCTTGACTGACGCCATACACAATTTCCTGTATATACTCTCTATTGTTCACACACGGTTATCGATTGATAAAAAAATTCTGGTCGCATAATGAAAGGTCATAACATGGCGCTCCAGAAGTGTGTGTACCAATATGGAGGTAACTAATTTTGTTCGCCTACTTTGCATCAAATTGTGTAAAGGGACTGAAACTTATGGGCAGGGGGTTCTATCCACTTGGCCAACACAGACAATCCCCGAACTCGTAGCACAGCTAAAATAAGGAAAATCGGAATAAAATTATGACCTGACCTTAACCTGATACACACTACGGGAGTATCCACAATATTACATCAATTTACTCTATGTGCTTTCTGCTCTTGTTTATGGAATAATTCGTAATGCTTAATAAGGTTATGACAGCAAATACCTGTGAGGGCGTAGAATTCAAAATAACGTATTTTATATATTGTATTCCGTGGTATTCAACACTTTTTTATGTGGACTAATTTTTTCGTTTTGAGAAAGTCGAATGGAAAGTTTTGTTACATCTTTGATCCATACGAGTCTTTAAATAAGTAATCTCTGATATGTAAGGAGCAGGGATTTCCCTACACCTCCCTATAGTGATGAACACTAACCCTGAAATTTCAAACAATAAATTCCAATTATAGCAGTGATACAAAAAAATTCTATAAATCCAACATTACATATAAATATTATGCCAAATGGGTTTTTGTCTATATATCAAACGATCATACATTACGTTCATTTCAACTAAACAAATTAAATACCTTCAACAAGGTTTTAATGTGGGTAAATTTAAAATTCCCAACGAAATTGTTGGGTCTTGAAATCTTGTCCATTTTACTATTTGGGCCTCAATTAAAAACAATGTCGATTACTGTCCTACACGCACTAATACTTATAACGCAGTATCTTTCCTGTTCATGAGGCCTGCTTGTCACCACCACAAGTAATTTCCTGCACCCTATTATACTCACACAGTTAACGGAAGAAATATCGTTTTTGGTCGCTTAATTACATAGCGAAGCACCATAGAATACTGAAACTTTTGGGTACATTCATGCACAAATAGAACTTCTTAAATATAAATTTCCGTAAAAATAATCGAGAAATTTATTTTAATTTTCAGAGGTCATTCTGTTATAAGAAAAAGTAGTACCTAAATGAATTATTTTATCTTGCATTATTCTACAAGATACCACATCGACACAGAAGCAAAAAGGGCTTTTTACAGCATTTAGCGGCGAGAAAAGATGACGTTAAAATCATGAGGTGCATGGACTCCTCCTTCAACTCCGTCATGGAACGATGGAAGCGGGTTTTCTGGATCCGGTAATACCTTGAACCATTGAACAATTCCTGTGATAAAGATGAACAATTCAGCTCTTGCGAGCTTTTCTCCAAGACAGTATCGAGGTCCAAGGGAAAAAGGAATAACTTGCGGACTTGGAACGAACTTTCCATCTTCTCCAATAAATCTTTCAGGCAAAAATTCATGAGGGTTTTCGAAATACTTTGGGTCGAAATGAACCGACCATGGGTGTGCAATGATCTGAAATATAAAAATTTGTAAGAAATTGTAGACGGTTTACAAATCACAGTATAATTAATTATATTTTGGGTAGGTTACTACAGTGGCGGGAAATGCGGGGGTTCGCTCGACCGAACGTGTTCATGAAATGTCGTGATAATCAGGCGTTAGTTAAAGTCGTTCGACGACCGCAGCAAATGGGTTACGTGCATTACAGCTGACTGACTGGCTTCGAATGTGCGTATTAGATTATGTGAAGCGTGTCATGTTAATGCAGCCCACATATAAAACAACGTTTGTCGAAGTATGAATCGGTGATTAGTAGCCTACCCCTCGCTAAGCTCATGAATGCGTTTTCCGCACCACCTCTGAGTATCGCGTGAACTCACGGACTTTAATCATATCGTGATGTGAGAGAGCATTTAGTAAACATCTGAGGCATGATCCTCTTTGAGGGTTATGTTGTTTTCAGCCGATTTTAGTGATTCAAGACAGTATGCTCCCCAGCTTTTTATCTTGAGGCTGGGGGTCAATGTTCCTCTAATTTTTCGTAGTATGTGTGCGCAGAAATTTTGGTGTGTGCGCACTTTTTTGGAAATGACCAATATTTGTGCAAAAACCAATGAAGAAATTTTGGCGTTCTAACCTTTCTTTGGCGTTTGGCAGGGAACACTGGTGGAGGTGTTTCCAAATTTAGCGGGTGTTAGATATTTTGGTATTAGTGATAAACTTATAAAAATGTGTTATGTATCAACTGATCATCTTCACCGGCATATGGGACACTTTCTGAATATTTAAATACATTTTTATTTACCTTAAGAAATAGGGTGTCACACCTGAAAATTAGTTCGGGTGTTTGAAGTTTTAGGGGGCGGGTGTTCACCCCCTATGGGGGGTCACCGATTCAAGAGAAGACTCTCCACCACTTATCGCAGTGGTTGGATAAATACAGCATTCTCAGGTGTCAAGCCTATGAATACAAAGAAGTATTTATGGACACGTCAGTGGACATAACGATCGTTTCAATATTATGTTGTTCTAGTTCTTTGACACGTTTTTAAAAAGTCGCTTTTCTCTTTGATTACTGGACCAATTGCTTCGAAATTTTCATTAGTTAAAGATGGAATTCTTTTCTAGAATGCTATTACTTTTATTAATTTCAAATATACCTGTGAGCTTTATGGGATTCGTTTTTATTTTGAGCGATGACGTCATCAGAATTTGCCACCATGTGGCGATTCCGCAAACATATATTGATCACGTGATCAGCGAACAGGTTCCGTGGTCAAGCCTGCTGGTAAGTTACCGTACCGTACTTCAGTGAATTTCAGCGTAACGCGTCCATATATTTGAGCATAGCTCTCTTGTAACTACTTAGTACTTACCGGAGTATTCTTTGGGATATAGAATCCTTTGAACATGACACTCGCAGTTGTTTTGTGTGGAACAAAAATGTTCATCACGATTCTATGTCTTGTGATTTCATGAATGAAAGCACAAGTATATGGCATCAAATCTTTGTCTTTAAGACTTGGTGCTCTATTTGCGCCTGAAATAAATGTAAATTGTATTAAACTTACCGTTGAGACAATAAGAATGAATGTAAGGGGCCCTAAACTCCATTACCATGCCCCACCCCTCTTCTTTATAAAAAGCTGTTTGGTTGCTATACAGGCGCAAACAGGTTAGGCATTGCGTGGAATACGAAGTCCCGATCGGTAGGCAAATTACGGCCGGATATGGCCCACACTAGTGTTTCATTCGACCCAGTCGTGTTTGCTGAAAGTACGACTATAATTTTAATGAATATAAATTTCCGTTGAAAATATCGATGAAAATAACGTCATAATGACCTCGATTGTTACATTGTGTTTCTTATTATATAAAATTTTTGCTGAGCTGTTAGAAATATACTGTTTTTGTTCATAGTTTCATATCGAGTTTTGAGCCTCCGGCACAGTAACCAAGTCTATTATCTGTACCTGGCCCACTCAAAAAAGTAATTGCACACCCCAATGTTTGAATTTTCTTTTCTATACACAGCAGACTATCAACAGAGCTCCACTTAAATGTCTTCTTCTATAAAATATTATTAGACTGGCATAGAGACACCAGGTCTCCTTTATAAGAGAAATTTGGCTGCTATACAGACAGCAGGCTAGAAATATATCTATGTCCCCAAATCTCATTTGTATGACCTCCTCCGCAGATGGGGCGGTATTGGCTTACATATATTAGGAGTTTGTAATATTGACAGCAAATTAGGAATAAAGATATACTTTCAATTGATATTTCAATAGCTAAATTCACATGGTATAGTCAGCAAGTTAGAATTGGATGTATGGTCCCAATCGTCATTTGAATGACCTATTTTGTGGAGGGATAATGGAGTTGCCATATATTAAGCAGGTTAGAGTTAATTAAGGGTGAATTTATGCTCCAATCATAAGAATGGCTTGCTGCGTAGATGACTATTGTGCTGCCATGTTGTGAGCAGCATGTTTATTTTTATGACGGCTACATCATTTAAAATGAAAAATCAAAGTATTTAAATCATACAAGCGTGGATGTATAATATTAGTTCATCTTAGTGGGTTTGGCATTGCTACCAAAATCAGAGAACAGAAGTTATGTTTGAAACTATATTCTAAGCGCAGTTATCGGGTTATCGTCACAAGGGGGAAATTTTGTCATTGGGGCCAAATTATTTGACCTGAATTGTACAATTTGCAAGCAACAAAGAAAATACAAGACCAATTGTGGCAGTTGGCCAAATGGTAGATTACAACGATGTTGAGATTGCAACGTCTTATGTTGCGCACTAAATGGTATTGTGCTTATTCCGCTACAGAGAGGCTGTCTTACTTGACGCCACTTTTTTCATATCCCATTGAGAGAACAATCAATAGACAATCAAGGGGCTATTTTTGGGGGCTCCCGAAGTATGCGAACCAAGATGGCGGACATCGGAATGTAATATGTGTACTAGGTTAGGGTTAGGCCATAATTTTAGTTATAAATACTACGGGAGGCTCTTGGCTAGTCTTCGAACTGATAATAGGACTGAAATAAGGAAAATTGGAAAAAAAATTATCGCCTAACCCTAACCTGTTACCCATGTTACGTTCCGATGTCCGCCATCTTGGTTCGCATACTTCGGGAGCACCCATTTTTTTTATCATTTAATATCGTCATCATTTTTCGATTTTATTGAAACTCTTTTAGGCCCTCAAGACTCTTTTGAAAATCAATGCTTTCGGCCGAACCCGCTAGTCGTTACAGTCTAACTTGGCAATATATATATATATATATATTGTAAAACATATACGCGCGATGTGTTAGTTTAACTTCAACACACAACTATATTTGTGTGATACCACACTCACCAATAACGCTTTGGATCTCATGAAACAATTTTGCTTGAATTTCTGGGTAGGTTGCAAGACACAACATACACCAACGCAAAGTGCTTGATGTTGTTTCAGTTCCAGCTACGAACAAATCGCTCACGTAATGAACCAATTGCTGATCCTGCAGAGTAAGTATAAAGTTATTCAATATTCTGACTCACTGTTGGGAAGAACCGCGTTAATAACTCGACTCGGACATCGGTCACCATTCATCTTAGATTCAAAGTGGAGGAGGTTATCTAAATAAAAGGACGGGGAATCGTCATCATCTAACCTAGTGATTCCCAGCTGGGGCCATGGACCCCAAGGGAGGGCCACTGAGCTCTTGGTGTCTAAAGACTTTTAGCTAATACTAAATAGTATTACTGTGACTAATTGCATATTTGTTAGGATAATTCTGAAATTTTTATACCATGAAGCAAAAAAAACAGATATTAAAGCGTGAAAATTTAATTCTTCGGTGAGATTCAGTATGTTTAGTACAGTTTCTGAAACCTTGCATGTCTGTGTTTATCACACCCCACATTTGTTAGAGGAGAACTAAGTTTTATACATGCACTGTGCGATTTTGAAAACATTTCGACCTTTTGCCTCCATAAAGTATTTATGGGGCGAAGTCCATTACCGTGAAATTCGAGTTTTTGTCATTTTGAGTTTTCATTTCTTTGATAAATTCATCGATGAAATCCCGAATTTTGTTTTCATCGTAGGTTTGTTTATGCTCGTCAACAACAGCTTGCAGAGTATCTGTGAAATAACAAGCTAGAAATGAGAGACTACATATATAAAAACAAGACAGCACTGCTCAAATATATAGACACGGGGGCAAACCAAGGTGTTATAGGTGTACAATCTGTCACAGCAGACAACCGATAGGTTGAGCGTTTGTTCTATCCGTACTGGTGTCGAGGTTGTGGATTATCACAGTACAGTAGTACTAAACTGCTCTGTGATTGTTCTATCACCATGGATAGGCATTGTTTGGTTTTCATCAATTATGACGCTAGGGGATTCCCCTGGTTTGATCGTACAATCTTCCAATCTTGTTTTGTGTTTGCGAGACAGTTGCCTGTCTGTTTTAAGCGTCAGTTTACCGTATAATTGGCAATGTATTTCGTTGCATCGAATATTCCCTGTCTCAGTCATATAAGGACATAAAAGGTAAATTAATGCATTTTTTATATCATTAGCAGTGTTGCACAGAAGGCCCTCAATTGCTGTTTACGGGTCACTCGATTGAATCAGTGAGAAAAGTCTGGCGGTTGGTTGAGCGCCAGTCTGAGACATATCATATACATGACTGGAGCATTTGATATATTGTGAGCCCAGTCGAGGCAATATCTCGAGCATCCTCAGCACTTCTTATTTGTACCAATACCATTACGCTCCATCCAGTGGTGGGATTCAAATTTTTTGTCAGCCTGATCCATCACAAAAGTCATATTTTTCAGCCAGTTCTGTTACAAAAAGTCTTTGACAGTAAGCAGTAATGCTAACCCATTCGCTAATCTCATAAAATTCCTTGAGACGGTTCTATAGAACCGGTGCGAACCGGCTGAATCCCACCACTGGCTTCATCATTCTGTTAAATTTGCACAAGTATACTTACACGGGTCTTACTACTTACTGAATACAGTGCGAAAGAGCGCAAAACAGAGGGAAACAGCGCATAACAGAGGAAAACAGAAGGAAACCAGCGCAAAACAGGAGACGCAGTGATTAGCTCGCAGCTCCTCCTCTCGCCATGGTTTTATGGCGCTATTACCGGTATATTCACAAGGTTATGTACCGGATTTTAGGTCATAATGCGAAATTTTATCTACTTTTTTCTTTATCTAACCCTAAGGCCAAATCAATGAAAACTGTATCCATATGGAAAATGTTCTAAATTACGGTACCCAAAATGTGTCACCTGCAGGGGAAGACCCGCCATTACAGCCTACATGCCTTGGTTTGTGTTTTTTATTTGCTGCCGTGGTACCCAACTCAAAAAAAAGATGCTCCAACACATTGCAGAATTTTTTCTGCTTTTCGCTGTTTCCCTCTGTTCCGCGCTGTTTACGGTGTTTTGCGTTGTATTCAGTAAGTAGTAAGGCCGTACTTACACCTGGGTAAAGCGAACATACAGTTACCCATTTTTTTTTTAAATCTAACCCGCCATGTTTGGAAAATGGGTTACCATCTGCCGGAACTGTCCATTAGCTTAACGCAGCTTACCCAATAGAACTTTCCTTGATTTCGCCAATCGGTTGTAACAACTCCAGAATACCGGTAGAAATCTCGTAAACGGAGCCAGAACCATGATTTTATACAGTTTCCCATCTAGGGCGGCGGATAAGCTGAAAATGAATGCATTTTCTAGTCTATGCTGTGTCTAATGGAAAGCATTTAAAAATGCCGTATTATGTGGCATTGCATGTAATATAGCTTATATTATTACCTGATAGAAATGAATTAATTTTGGAAGCAGAATATTTCTACTTCCGACACAAGTTTTTATATTGCGTATTAATCACCAAAATCTATGTAATTTTTGAAGCTCTTGGTTTCCCAGTGTTCGCTGGCACCTTTGCTCAGAGTAGCGTTGCGAGTAAGTGCGCGTGTCCGTTTTTTCACAAAACTATTCGGAGCTTCAGAAGTATGTGCACCAAGATGGTGCTCAACCTAAACATAGTATGTGTACCGGGTTAAGATTCAGGTTGTGCGACATCTTGATGCACATACTACGGGAGCACCAAATATTCTATACGAACCTTTTGTTCATCAATCTCAGCATCTCCTTGAAATCTTTATCTCCGTATGGGAATCGTTTGCTCATTGTCATTCTGCAGATGATGTTAGCAACAGCATTGGAAATTAAACCCTGGAAAAGTGATTTGAGTTTATTTGGAAACATTTTTTTTGCAAATGAGAAATTCAGACCCTAGTCAGACAAACATTTACAGAAATATATTTGGGTTGATGTGCAGCAAGATTCTTGAAACACTTAGGGTAGTTATCTTCATTGTGACTACAACACCCTTGCATTATTCGCATCAATAAATGCAAAGACACAGGAGAAGAATACGTAGTTATGTTATGTATATGTATTAGTAAAACTCACTTTGCAGTTGAACGGTTTGCCGTTGTATTATTTGATTTCGTCAGTAAAGTTTATGAAATAGCTACATTGCTTATCGCTGTCGATTATATATTAGGAGCGTAATACTTACATGACAGTTGAACGGTTTGCCGTGGTATGATTCAAGTTCGTCAATAAGATGTTGAACTTCTTTCGAAACAAAATCTTCCATGTATACATTTCCGAATCCAAATCTAAATTATAGAATTTCAAAATTAATGGGTCACCGACAGTGGCGCATTTTAAATAGTGCATGATTGCCACCAGGTAAACTCATGTTGATAATAAATGAAGCCCAACCGGTGTTAGCAAAACGATGTAATTTGCCGACGTTTTTCTGTATAGAAATTCGAAACGTCGGCAAATTACATCTTTTTGCTAACACCGGTTATGCTTCATTTATTATCAACAGTGGCGCATTTTGCTATTAAATAAATTGTTATATAATTCTTTGCAATTAGGTGGCTACTGGTAAATGTTCTATCAACATTCTCCCCATTTTAGTTAATGGATGGGTATGTTGCTTTGTTTCATAACTGGTAATTTAAAAAATGATCCAACATCCATACACTGTCGTACCCCAGTGATCAAAGGCCATACGAAGATAAAAAGACATTTTCTTCTTTATACATAAACTTATGAAAAGCTCTTAGCGCATGCGTCAATGGTTGTGAGTACATCTATGACTACTCTATCTACTTTTGGTTTAAAGCTCTTGACCTTACTATAACAAATTAATATAATAAAATTGTCTTAGAGCAGTGATCGGAAACCTGTGGGCCGCAGCCGAATAATCATAGACCGGCGAGCATTCTCTAGCGGGTCTCCATTAAATTTCAATTATATAAACCTGACATTACATTTAGATTTTTTGCCAAATGTTTTTTTTTATGTATATTCAAACGGTCATGCGTCACGTTCATTTCAACTATAGTACCGTGTTAAATCGTATTAGTCATCACTTTTAATTAATAGTTCTTCATTACTTAAATGATCTCGATAAGTATGTTGATGGGTATTTGTCTGTTTGTTTGTCTGTTAGACACTTTCGTATACGATATCTCACGAAAGCGAGGTTGAATCTGCTCCAAATTTTGCATGTGCATTTATCATATTTCGGACCAGGAGCCCATTGATTTTGGATGAATTATGTCGTATAATTAGTGAGTTATTAATTAATTAGTGATGAGACACTCGGTGTCGCTATTGAGTCAAAGCGAATTTTTTTTTATGTTTCACGAGTAAAATATTGAACATGCGGAAGATCGATAAGTCGGCGGTCTACGATTGCTATCTAGTTTTAATTTTGTTCATTCGTTGTTTACAACGAACATTCATATGCCGTGGCAAAATATCCGATAACAAACCTTTTTAAAGTCTTCATTCCGAATTTTCTTTGCTCTTTCCAGAAAGGGCCGTAGTCAACGAATCCGATCCCTAAACCCTTTGTAAACGTTTTATATATGTGCACTTGCGGACGCCCTGAGAATATTTCTCCGTGCTTCACCAGTGCCTGAATTGTATGAAAAAATATTTGAGATAGGATAGGATTTTATATTTATCCGGAGGACAGGAAAGCCGATAGGGCGGCTTGCGTACCACGAGTCTCGTCAGGTTACCACGTGTTGTGTATTGATATAAAATTTGCACTCAATTCCGCAACGGTTAGGTCCAATGGGGTGACCACTCGCTTCTAAGCCAAAATGAGTGAATTGAAACAGGACGGCCTTGCATATTGCAAAACTCATTGCGAGGGGCCTGTTTGTGTAAAGCCAATGATAACTAGAGCTGCGTGCAGCTTTAACAGGCTTCCCGCGTAAAAAAAAAATGAAGACGCGTTTTGCTCACTGGAGCGTGAAAGCGTGGTCAGTCATGCATAAATTTTGCAGTTTATGATGGGGAATTCATTATCTGCATGTGATGTAAATTTGAAGTCTCGAAGTAGTGTCGTTCTCGAGAAGAAGATGAAAATGTAAAATCCTATACCGCTCACTGGAGCGTATCGCCGAGGTCTCTCATGCGTATCCTTGACATATTGTATCCGGAACATGTCCATTAATCATTGTTATGAATTTCAACCCAATACCATGTATCAATTTTGAGAAATCGCAAAAAAACTGAAGACGCGTTTTGCTCACTGGAGCGTGAAAGCGTGGTCAGTCATGCATAAAATTTGCAATTTATGATGGGGGACTTATTATCTGCATGTGATGTGAATTTCGAGTCTCTAAGTAGTGTCGATCTCGAGAAGAAGATGAAAATGTAAAATCCTGTATTGCTCACTGGAGCGTATCGCCGAGGTCACTCATGCGTATCCTTGACATATTGTATCCGGAACATGTCCATTAATCATTGTTATGAATTTCAACCCAATACCATGTATCAATTTTGAGAAATTGCAAAAAAACTGAAAACGCGTTTTGCTCACTGGAGCGTGAGAGCGTGGTCAGTCATGCATAAAATTTGCATTTTATTGCTAGCTGAGAACTTCTGCACATTTGAGGTGAATTTAAAGTTTGTAGGACCAATTTGAAAAAAAAATAATAATAATAATAATAATAACAATAATAACTAGAGCTGCGTGCAGCTTTAACAGGCTTCCCGCGTAAAAAAAAAACCGAAGACGCGTTTTGCTCACTGGAGCGTGAACGCGTGGTCAGTCATGCATAAAATTTGCAATTTATGATGGGCGACTTATTATCTGCATGTGATGTAAATTTCAAGTCTCTAAGTAGTGTCGTTGTCGAGAAGAAGATGAAAATCCTATATTGCTCACTGGAGCGTATCGCCGAGGTCACTCATGCGTATCCTTGACATGTCGTATCCGGAACATGTCCATTAATCATTGTTATGAATTTCAACCCAATAGCATGTATCAATCTTGAGAAATCGTAAAAAAACTGAAGACGCGTTTTGCTCACTGGAGCGTGAAAGCGTGGTTAGTCATGCATAAAATTTGCAATTTATGATGGGGGACTTATTATCTGCGTGAGATGTAAATTTCAAGTCTCTAAGTAGTGTCGTTCTCTAGAAGAAGATGAAAATGTAAAATCCTATATTGCTCACTGGAGCGTATCGCCGAGGTCACTCATGCGTATCCTTGACATATCGTATCCGGAACATGTCCATCAATCAGTGTTATGAAATTCAACCCAATACCATGTATCAATTTTGAGAAATCGCAAAAAAACTGAAAACGCGTTTTGCTCACTGGAGCGTGAAAGCGTGGTCAGTCATGCATAAAATTTGCAAATTATGATGGGGGACTTATTGTCTGCATGTGATGTAAATTTCAAGTCTCTAAGTAGTGTCGTTCTCGAGAAGAAGATGAAAATGTAAAATCCTATATTGCTCACTGGAGCGTATCGACGAGGTCACTCATGCGTATCCTTGACATATTGTATCCGGAACATGTCCATTAATCATTGTTATGAATTTCAACCCAATACCATGTATCAATTTTGAGGAATCGCAAAAAAACTGAATACGCGTTTTGCTCACTGGAGCGTGAAAGCGTGGTCAGTCATGCATAAAATTTGCATTTTATTGCTAGCTGAGAACTTCTTCACATTTGAGGTGAATTTCAAGTTTGTAGGACCAATTTGAAAAAAAAATAATAATAATAATAAATAACTAGAGCTGCGTGCAGCTTTAACAGGCTTCCCGCGTAAAAAAAAATGAAGACGCGTTTTGCTCACTGGAGCGTGAAAGCGTGGTCAGTCATGCATAAAATTTGCAATTTATGATGGGGGACTTATTATCTGCATGTGATTTAAATTTCAAGTCTCTAAGTAGTGTCGTTCTCGAGAAGAAGATGAAAATGTAAAATCCTATATTGATCACTGGAGCGTATCGCCGAGGTCACTCATGCGTATCCTTGACATATCGTATCCGGAACATGTCCATTAATCATTGTTATGAATTTCAACCCAATAGCATGTATCAATTTTGAGAAATCGCGAATAAACCTAAAACGCGTTTTGCTCACTGGAGCGTGAAAGCGTGGTCAGTCATGCACAAAATTTGCAATTTATTATGGGGGACTTATTATCTGCATGTGATGTAAATTTCAAGTCCGTGAGTAGTGTCGTTCTCGAGAAGAAGATGAAAATGTAAAATCTTATATTGCTCACTAGAGCGTATCACCAAAGTCACTCATGCGTATCCTTGACATATCGTATCCGGAACATGTCCATTAATCATTGTTATGAATTTCAACCCAATAGCATGTATCAATTTTGAGAAATTGCAAAAAAACTGAATACGCGTTTTGCTCACTGGAGCGTGAAAGCGTGGTCAGTCATGCATAAAATTTGCAAATTATGATGGGGGACTTATTGTCTGCATGTGATGTAAATTTCGAGTCTCTAAGTAGTGTCGTTCTCGAGAAGAAGATGAAAATGTAAAATCCTATATTGCTCACTGGAGCGTATCGCCGAGGTCAATCATGCGTATCCTTGACATATTGTATCCGGAACATGTCCATTAATCATTGTTATGAATTTCAACCCAATACCATGTATCAATTTTGGAAATCGCAAAAAACTGAATACGCGTTTTGCTCATTGGAGCGTGAAAGCGTGGTCAGTCATGCATAAAATTTGCATTTTATTGCTAGCTGAGAACTTCTGCACATTTGAGGTAAATTTCAAGTTTGTAGGACCAATTGGAAAAAAAAAATAATAATAATAAACTAGAGCTGCGTGCAGCTTTAACAGGCTTCCCCGCGTAAAAAAAGCTGAAGACGCGTCTTGCTCACTGGAGCGTGAAAGCGTGGTCAGTCATGTATAAAATTTGCAGTTTATGATGGGGGACTTATTATCTGCATGTGATATAAATTTCAAGTCTCTAAGTAGTGTCGTTCTCGAGGAGAAGATGAAAATGTAAAATCCCATATTGCTCACTGGAGCGTATCGCCGAGGTCACTCATGCGTATCCTTGTCATATCGTATCCGGAACATGTCCATTAATCATTGTTATGAATTTCAACCCAATAGCATGTATCAATTTTGAGAAATCGCAAAAAAACTGAAAACGCGTTTTGCTCACTGGAGCGTGAAAGCGTGGTCAGTCATGCATAAAATTTACAATTTATGATGGGGGACTTATTATCTGCATGTGATGTAAATTTCCAGTCTATAAGTTGTGTCGTTCTCGAGAAGAAGATGAAAATGTAAAATCCTATATTGCTCACTGGAGCGTATCGCCGAGATCACTCATGCGTATCCTTGACATATTGTATCCGGAACATGTCCATTAATCATTGTTATGAATTTCAACCCAATACCATGTATCAATTTTGAGAAATCGCAAAAAAACTGAAGACGCGTTTTGCTCACTGGAGCGTGAAAGCGTGATCAGTCATGCATAAAAATTTGCATTTTATTGCTAGCTGAGAACTTCTGCACATTTGAGGTGAATTTCAAGTTTGTAGGACCAATTTAAAAAAAAAATATTAAAAATAAATAATAATAAATAAATAATAATAAATAATAATAATAATAAAACACAGGAATACAATAGGTTCCCTGCTGACAAGCAGCGGGAAGCCTAATAATAATAAATAATAATAATAAAACACAGGAATACAATAGGTTCCCTGCTGACAAGCAGCGGGAAGCCTAATAAATAATAATAATAAAACACAGGAATACAATAGGTTCCCTGCTGACAAGCAGCGTGAAGCCTAATAATAACTAGAGCTGCGTGCAGCTTTAAAAGGCTTCCCGCGTAAAAAAAACTGAACACGCGTTTTGCTCACTGGAGCGTGAAAGCGTGGTCAGTCATGCATAAAATTTGCAATTTATGATGGTGGACTTATTATCTGCATGTGATGTAAATTTCTAGTCTCTAAGTAGTGTCGTTCTCGAGAAGAAAATGAAAATGTAAAATCCTATATTGCTCACTGGAGCGTATCGCCGAGGTCACTCATGCGTATCCTTGACATATCGTATCCGGAACATGTTCATCAATCATTGTTATGAATTTCAACACAATAGCATGTATCAATTTTGAGAAATCGCTAAAAAACCGAAAACGCGTTTTGCTCACTGGAGCGTGAAAGCGTGGTCAGTCATGCATAGAATTTGCAAATTATGATGGGGGACTTATTGTCTGCATGTGATGTATATTTCAAGTCTCTAAGTAGTGTCGTTCTCGAGAAGAAGATGAAAATGTAAAATCCTATATTGCTCACTGGAGCGTATCGCCGAGGTCACTCATGCGTATCCTTGACATATTGTTTCCGGAACATGTCCATTAATCATTGTTATGAATTTCAACCCAATACCATGTATCAATTTTGAGAAATCGCAAAAAAACTGAAGACGCGTTTTGCTCACTGGAGCGTGAAAGCGTGGTCAGTCATGCATAAAATTTACATTTTATTGCTAGCTGAGAACTTCTGCACATTTGAGGTGAATTTCAAGTTTGTAGGACCAATTTGAAAAAAAAATAATAATAATAATAAATAATAATAATAATAAATAAATAATAATAACTAGAGCTGCGTGCAGCTTTAACAGGCTTCCCGCGTAAAAAAAAACTGAAGACGCGTTTTGCTCACTGGAGCGTGAAAACGTGGTCAGTCATGCATAAAATTTGCAATTTTTGATGAGGGACTTATTATCTGCATGTGATGTAAATTTGAAGTCTCTTAGTAGTGTCGTTCTCGAGCAGAAGATGAAAATGTAAAATCAAATATTGCTTACTGGAGCGTATCGCCGAAGTCACTAATGCGTATCCTTGACATATCGTATCCGGAACATGTCCATTAATCATTGTTATGAATTTCAACCCAATAGCATGTATCAATTTTGAGAAATCGCAAAAAAACTGAAGACGCGTTTTGCTCACTGGAGCGTGAAAGCGTGGTCAGTCATGCATAAAATTTGCAATTTATGATGGGGGACTTATTATCTGCATGTGATTCAAATTTCAAGTCTCTAAGTGGTTGCGTTCTCGAGAAAAAGATGAAAATGTGAAATCCTATATTGCTCACTGGAGCGTATTGCCGAGTTCACTCATGCGTATCCTTGACATATCCTATCCGGAACATGTCCATCAATCATTGTTATGAATTTCAACCCAATAGCATGTATCAATTTTGGAAAATCGCAAAAAAACTGAAAACGCGTTTTGCTCTCTGGAGCGTGAAAGCGTGGTCAGTCATGCATAAAATTTGCAAATTATGATTGTGGACTTATTGTCTGCATGTGATGTAAATTTCAAGACTCTAAGTAGTGTCGTTCTCGAGAAGAAGATGAAAATGTAAAATCCTATATTGCTCACTGGAGCGTATCGCCGAGGTCACTCATGCGTATCCTTGACATGTTGTATCCGGAACATGTCCATTAATGATTGTTATGAATTTCAACCCAATACCATGTATCAATTTTGAGAAATCGTAAAAAAACTGAATACGCGTTTTGCTCACTTGAGCGTGAAAGCGTGGTCAGTCATGCATAAAATTTGCATTTTATTGCTAGATGAGAACTTCTGCACATTTGAGGTGAATTTCAAGTTTGTAGGACCAATTTGAAAAAAAAATAATAATAATAATAAATAATAATAAATAACTAGAGCTGCGTGCAGCTTCAACAGGCTTCCCGCGTAGAAAAAACTGAAGACGCGTTTTGCTCACTGGAGCGTGAAAGCGTGGTCAGTCATGCATAAAATTTGCAAATTATGATGGGGGACTTATGTGATGTAAATTTCAAGTCTCTAAGTAGTGTCGTTCTCGAGAAGAAGATGAAAGTGTAAAATCCTATATTGCTCACTGGAGCGTATCGCCGAGGTCACTCATGCGTATCCTTGACATATCGTATCCGGAACATGTCCATTAATGATTGTTATGAATTTCAACCCAATAGCATGTATCAATTTTGAAAAATCGCAAAAAAACTGAAGACGCGTTTTGCTCACTGGAGCGTGAAAGCGTGGTCAGTCATGCATAAAATTTGCAAATTATGATGGGGGACTTATTGTCTGCATGTGATGTAAATTTCAAGTCTCTAAGTAGTGTCGTTCTCGAGAAGAAGATGAAAATGTAAAATCCTATATTGCTCACTGGAGCGTATCGCCGAGGTCACTCATGCGTATCCTTGACATATTGTATCGGGAACATGTCCATTAATCATTGTTATGAATTTCAACCCAATACCATGTATCAATTTTGAGGAATCGCAAAAAAACTGTCTACGCATTTTGCTCACTGGAGCGTGGAAGCGTGGTCAGTCATGCATAAAATTTGCATTTTATTGCTAGCTGAGAACTTCTGCACATTTGAGGTGAATTTCAAGTTTGTAGGACCAATTTGAAAAAAAAATAATAATAATAATAAATAATAATAATAAATAATAATAATAAAACACAGGAATACAATAGGTTCCCTGCTGACAAGCAGCGGGAAGCCTAATAATAAATAATAATAATAAAACACAGGAATACAATAGGTTCCCTGCTGACAAGCAGCGGGAAGCCTAATAATAAAACACAGGAATACAATAGGTTCCCTGCTGACAAGCAGCGGGAAGCCTAATAATAATAATAATAATAAATAATAATAATAAAACACAGGAATACAATAGTTTCCCTGCTGACAAGCAGCGGGAAGCCTAATAATCATAGATTATCATTTTGTAATCAAAATAAATTATGTTACATTTACCTAAGTACAAAATCGCGATCAAAATAACTTTATTTTACGAGTCTTGCGAATACAGAGTGGACACGCTGATCTTTGCATGCTTTTCAGGTTCTCCCTTAGTATTCGTACCAAGATGGTGCACAACCTGAACATAGTATGTGTACCGGGTTAGGGTTGTTAAGGTTGTGCGTCATCTTGGTACGAACACCTCAGGTACGCCCTTTTTTATAATGGTTAAATTTACTAGTTTACATTCAGAATTAGCGCGGGACCTGCGGAAGTGCGGGGCCCGCTGTGGTAGTATTGGAGGCAGTGGCCTAAAGCCGGCCAGGATTTGAAAAAAAATATGAAATTTCCGCCAGATCTTCTTACCTCATGGAGAATGTCATATGTATTCAATACAACCCAAGTTTGGTCTCCCATTTTGAGAGAGAAAATAGGTCCAAATTTATCCGCAATTTTCATCAAATTTTCTGAAACTTTTTTTCCAAGAAACGGGGTATATCCAAGCAAAGGTATACCCATAGGACCAGGCGGGAATCGCTTCCATTTGTATTCGCGCAGATAGAAGTAATATGCAACCAATAACGAAACAACAGACAATATTATAGTGTTAAAGCTATCTTCGAACATATTTGCACTTGTAAAGGTATATAATCTGTAGACAATGTGTAAAATGCCAGTTAATAAAGAGTAGTACTATTGTTTCTGCTGTGACGCCCCTCGATCGTCTTTAATTAATCATTGTAAAGAACTGAATATATGCCCGGTAAATATTATCCATTTACTTACAAATCCCATAATTATACATTTTGTTACAGAATACGTTCTCATAACCAGTAGAAACATTTAAACACCCAGTGCGCAATATTATGAGTTCGGGTGCACAAAATAATAAGTTATAAATAAAATAATAATGATGCGAATAAGTTTATATTTTTATAGGACGCGAATTTAGCTCTAAAGTAGGGTCGGTACAAGCATCAAATAATTCGGGGTTGTATTCAGAAAGATTGAATAGAATAGGGAGAGTTGTCATTTCTGAGTGCCTAGTTCGACAGTTACGGCCAGCGGGTCCGGTACAAATGCCTTTCTTAAATTTTGAAACTGGGGGGCGGGGTCCGATCGTCAAACCCCATCCCCCTCTGTTTCCTCTGTCTGCGCCCTTGCACTTAAACTATTCACTGAATAGACCAGAATCTTTCAGTTGCAGCAATGCCTACTCAATTAGTTATCTGTTGTACAATGAGTGAGGCTTATTATCCTGCATTACAGATGAGAGCAAAATATTTTGCTGGCGCTTTTGCGCAACAATGGCTGGTAACCCTCAATGTAAAACAATGAGTTTTTTTTTATATTCGCTGAACAGAAACGTGATGGCTTGAATTGCTTCCCATATCTTTTCAATCACGACTTTTTATTATAGATTAGGTTACTGTGTAAAACAACTTTGCTATCCACCCCATACGATAACTAACAATTTGACATGCGTTGTACACTATACAGCTATCATAACAAATCGATCAAAGTTTAATATCTACTCTAACTCAAAGTATATAATTAGATTATATTTAGCTACAGTTCCTTTGTTTTGAAGTAACTACTCGCACAAAATATTTTTACCACCACTACGGTTTCAAAGCCGAATGAACGAACCACAATCGATATTGGCGTCATATTGAACTTGGAAGACTCTTGGTGCAATAGGAAGTAGTACTTTCGCGAGAACAGCTGATTTGAAGCATATCACTTGAAGTCAAATGGGATTTTAGATTCTGTTCCTAGTTAAGATAGATGTAAACGTACAGGTTACGGTGCTCCCGTAGTATGTGAACCAAGATATCGGACATCGGAACGTATTATGTGTACCAGGTACGGGTTAGGCCATAATTTTATTCCAATTCTCCTTATTTTGATTCTATTACGAGTTCGGGTACTAACCAAGTGACTCCAGTAGTATTTATACCTGAAATTATGGTTTAACCCTAACCTGGTACACTTACTACGTTTCGGTGTCCGCCATCTTGGTTCACATACTTCGGGAGTACCAATTATTTAATGCAGGATTAAGAGGGGGGGGGGTGAATATGAGAAATCGTTTTGATGAAATAACAAATTTTTTATAATATATACAGGGTGTTCATAAAGCAACTTTACAATTTCAATTTTATTATGAAGTCAGTTCTCAATATATCTTAACCAGGTTTGTTGTTTGAATACATCTGTGAGGGTTAAAACAATATATGGCATTGATATATTTCCTTTGTCATCTAAAAAAAAATTATGACCTTATGGACACCCTATATATATATATCATTAAACTCTTTTCCTTGTGTATAGTCTTATTTGTTCGCTTTGAAAAAGTCGGATGGGTTGTTTTGTTACATCTTTGCCTCATGCTAGGCTCTAGATTCCAGATAAATATTCTATGATATGTAAGGAGTAGTGATTTTCCCATATTTCCTCTAAAATTTGAACCCTCTCGTCACTCCGCCCCCAGCTTTAAAGTGTAACACCATACTTCAATTCTGAACGTAAATAAAATTATGTTTGAAAATTCCTAACCGTGGCTCAATGGTGGGCAGCTGAGCATTTTATAGCCGACCTGCAATAAATGTTAGTTTATGGCAGTGGTACACAAAAAGGTTCTATAAATCCAATATTACATATAATTTTATTGGCAAATGGTTTTCGTTCATATATAAAACGATTATACGTTACGTTCAATTCATCTAAACAAATTCACCCGCAATACGGGGGTGTAGGGAAATCGCTATATACCATTCTTTTGAATGATATTGAAATTCTAGATGATCGCTGTTTTTTCATTGATGCTCAGTAAGACACGAACAACGCACTGGCGTAGTTGTCACGACTTCCGCTGCCTATTACTCATTTCTATCAGGTCAGTCGTAGTCATATGTTACACTAGTGCGCTGTAGCACGAATTTATTCCTTAAGTATAAAGCACAATCGCCTGTCTATGTAAAGCACACGTAATGCACAATCGACTGTCTATGCGCTCCAAACTGAAAATGAATACCTGTGTACGATATTATCGATTTGGAGAATGCTAAAAATAAATAACGTTTAAACAAAATAAATTTAAACAAAAACGTGTTGCCAAGAATCTTTCATATACAATTGCACGTTTATTTAAGCAAGTTTAGAAATAAATACTGAATAAGTTGTAAATAAATTAGTTAAATATAAACTATGGGATCAAAAGTAGGACTAAGAAAAAAATATTGTCCATGTCGACTCGTCTTATTGAAGCTGGACTGCGCTATTCCCGGAGATTGAATTACGGACTTTTGAGGGTCCAAAAGCGTTTCAAGCTAATAAAAATTGTTATGTATAATACGTAAAATGATTCTTTTTACATTTAAAAGGGGGGGGGGGGGGGATTCCGACACTCTTCAATGGTAATAAAAAAGTCAAAATTTTGTACAGAAACTCAAAAAGCAGTACGTTTACTGGGCGTTCTTAGTATTCTATCAGAGAGGTCTCGTAGTCGCTAAAATTTGAATTTTTTGGGATTGAGTCAAAGTCGAAATATTTTACAACACGCCAATATTTTCAACCGATTGTTGGAAGTTTATATATTTTTGTCTGGAAGTTGGAAGTCGACGGTTGGGATTTTTGCCCAAGTCAGAGTCAATAGTAAACTTTTCCCGGCTCCACAGACTTGTATTGAAGACATCAAGAATCAGAGATCATTTTCATGAAGTTCCATCGTCTTGATTGTTAGTTCTATTCCGATTTGTCCTTTTGTCAGCTACCCAGACTATGCTGTTATTACAAAACAGTTTATTTAGTGTCAGAGCCAATGCTGGATTAACCATTGAGCAAAATGTCGATGTCACTACCCTAATAGAATCCATCACTTAGAAAGTTTGCTGGAAGTTCACATATATATAATAAAAAACCTGTTTTATCAATATCTCACTTTTTTATTGTAAATATGTGGCTTCAAAAAAAATTGAGAAATTCACCCCAACTTTTGGCGAACAAACAAATACCAAAATGGCGGCAGTTCGAAATTTTCGTCCGAGCCTATTCGAATAATTTACTATTCCATTCGGAATGTCCTGTCCTACCATACCCATAGCTTCACAGCAGCTCACTTTCTTGAGTTAGAAATTGAAGAGTCCAGTCATGCCAATAATTCTGGTATGATAATGTCTACTCAAACGCGGTACCGACCCAATCTAAATTATCTCACCCTGATCCTTAAATAGCTTTCTCTAACTTATTTGCGTTCACTGGGCCACAATTTGTTTCTAGTAAATACTTTCAAATAACTGGTCGTTTCACGTATTCATAAACCAAATTTTCGTTTATATGTGTTTCCGACTTTTACTCTAGTACAGTGGTTCTCAAACTTTTCAAGTAGCGCCACCTTTTTAGAATTTTTCAAGTCTCGCGCCCCCTCGAGAATAACTAGATAACAATGAGCTACAAATGACAGACAATAAGGCGAAAGTATGTTTTATCAAAAAGACACGTTAAAAATTCGTGAATGGAACCTTAACATTCAAAAGTAAGAAATGGTAATATCCAAAATGAGCCGAGGCAAAATCAAATATATATTATAAATATTTTAATTAGCTGCACGCCCTCTAAAATTGTCTATACCTCATGGTGGGCGCGTCCCTACCGTTTCAGCATCACTGCTCTATTATGAAAACAAGACTTAATTTGAAGCAAGATTCAATCAACTCACCTCATAAGCAGGATCGGTACCGCAGTTATAATTGACGAAAAAATCCAAGTGAACCAATGAGATATATATTGCGTTGCTGGGTACATTTCCAAGTAACAAATTGTTGCGAGTAGGAAGGATAAAACCTCAAAACTTGACAGCATCGCGAACGCAGCTCCTATAATAAAACAGTATACACAAAAATTAAATTATTCTGGCAGGAAGTAGCATATTGTTGCGAGTATCAAGGATAAAACCTCAAAACTTGACAGCATTGCAAAGGCAGCTCATGTAGTAAAATAGCATCAACAAAAATTGAATTATTCTGGCATGGATAATCGAAAAGATAATTCTTTCAAGTTTTAGTTTTTCATGAACCGTGCGTTTTTTGTGTGTATTTGGTAATTTGATAAAGGAAACATAGAGGTTCTTCTTGGTGGACATCTGAAGAAACACTTGGTCGTTTTGCTTCAACTGTTATTGCAACAACTAATCGCTGTCGCGTCGGTCTCTCCAGAATTCTTTACTAAATGACTGCAGTACAGTCATGACTGAAGTACATATTTTTGTAATCTCCAAAGACCATAACTGTGATTTTTTCTACTTTCAATTTACATGTTTTACATTAGGGGCTTACATTTAAAACTATGCCGACCGACGAAATAGAAAGGAGTTTACGTTAACGTTAAGCACCCGTTTGGCGTACGCGTAACAAGTTGTAGCAATTATCCGCTAGCATTGTTAGCGGAAAACAACGAAACAAACAAAACCACGCATCCACATTTAGTAGGCAGGCTACCCGTACGCTACACAGCAACAACAGTTTCGAGAACATGACAATTGGTATTGTTCTTGTATTATGCTGACTGGCTGAACGCCAAATCGGGACTTTTGGCTGGCCAGTCGGAACGCCGGGACAAGACGTCAGAAAGTGGAACTGTCCCGCCGAAAACGGGACGTATGGTGAGCCTAATAAAACGCTTACCTTGTTCCGATTGGGAAGCCAATGATGAAATTTGAGCCTGAATGAATGGCTTAGCAATACTTCCAACAATCATTGCGATTGTCGCTGTAAATAAATCAAATGCAACATATAAATTTGTAAAGGAATTTCTTTAGAAAAAAGACGGAAGTGGGCCGAAATCCTATCTTATTAAATTTGCTAATAACTGCTGATACGACTGCAGCTGTGAAATACCTTCGTGGTATCAGTAAATTGCGACTGGGCAAGGATTGGTATAAAATATTTATATTTTTCGTCTTTGTGATATCAATAATAGTCTATTGTGCAATTACAAAAGAGTCTAATGAATTCGAAGCGGAGTAGAATTTTAAATACTCCGGGGTGGAGAGCATTTAGTCCGTTACAAGGTTTGATCTACTAAAATTGCTAAAGTATATTTCGATAACTGACTCTAGTCATAGTTTTGAGCACCCGGAGAAAGAAATCAGATCAGAACTGGATTTCGCAGTGTCGTGAAGATGAGTACTGGAACTTTTTTTGATTCTGAAGCAGTGTTCGGGAAGTTCCCACAAGACCTAAAGTGACAGACCCGGATCAGCTAAATAAAAGGACTCGCCAACTAATTACACATCATCCAACAGCTAGTGAGACTTAACTCAATGATCGAATCGAGTCCCAGATTACCCCAGACTCGACTCTCGTCTCGGCTTTGGGGATTTCTACCAAAAACCGCTTAGTTCCCAGTAATGTACAAGCATAAAGTCGTGTTGTTTATCTTCTGAAAATATATAAATAAAAATAAGCATTACCAAGAAATACAATCCAAGTTTCCGTAGCGATCGACATAGTGAACGGAAACATAAAAAATCCTAGCAATCCGACCAGAATTATTGTTTGGTTACTCAGATGTAACAACCGTTGAAAGAGATAAACGACCAATGGTGCAGCACACACAGATGTAAACCGGATCGCCTGTAAATTAAAGATAAAGAAGATGATCGCATTTTTTTTATGAGAGAGAGAATTGGTCAAAACGGGATCTCGAGCACTCACTCAAAAATAAACATTACTAAGCAAAGTTACTTGTGGCCACTGAAATAAAAAGAAATAAATTTATGTTTGTGCCTTACGACTTACGCACCGTCTCCACAAAATATAAGTTTGGAAAAGAAAGTCACGAAAGAGTCGCGTGCGGCCTAGAAAGGCTTTTACCTACAATTGATTCATGTTGGCAAGAAAAAGTTATGTGGACGCCCTCATCCGAACGACGCTCACAGAGAGAACGAGCCATTTCCTACTTCAGGGGTGTGCAACCTGTGGTCAGCGGGCGGCCCACAAGGAAAAGTTGTGCGGCCCGCGGAGAAGTGACAATTTTGAATGTCGCGAAACTAGTTTTTTAATTTACTTTATTATGGTATGTTCCAATAATTCTAATCCCTTAGCGTTGCAAAGCTGTACATCAATCCAATTTATAATCTATGCTGACATTACAATACCCTGACAGCTAGCTTTGCGAAGCAAACATCGCATGTCACAAAATCAATGAGCAAATTTTTTTACATGGAATTAATAGAAAGCCTATGTTAAATGAAGATGCGACCCGCGGTTTCTCCCAGTTATTTATATCTGGCCCTCCTGTATTAAAGGTTGCATACACCGGCCTAGATACTTCACTGTGACCACCTTACTTTTTATTCATTTTTTTTTTATCTGTGTCTCTTACCAGTTGTGCTCCAAGAAGCAAAGGGGTGAAGCAGAGCGGATACGAGAGAAAGAACATTGATTGAAACAAGAACACTCCAACGTTGACGAACATGTAAATAAAATATGACAGAAGATAGAGCCAGATCCGCCACACTTTGCCTCGTATGATACCACCACCATGCTTGCATCTATAGTCAGATGGAATCCGGTCTAAATACAGAATGCGTAATTTTTTGGTGACGTAGTCAGGTGGGGGTTAGGAATGACATATGTAAATATTGTTGAGCCAGGCCAACTAGAAGTACATGTGGTACTAAACTATACCAAACCATGATTTGCTTTATTAAACATATTTAATATTATAAAATTATGATATCAGATTGTTAATATATTACCGTATTAGGCGTATTATTAAACTTACCGATATTAGGGTCCGGTCCAAAGCATTCGTCACATGATGAATAGTCTGAGCTGTAAACTCGTAAAGCTGACTTGATCAAATCCAAAAATTTATATTTTTGGCAAAATTTCGATTCTTTGAAAGAGTTATTTCTTCCGGAAAGCAGGAGCGTTGATTCAGTTTGATTCTCATTATTTTCTTGTGCGTATTCATTACTATAAATGTCGTGTTGCTTTGCATGTGTTGTGTATCGGTGTTCAATCATGCCCCTCGTTCCAGGGATGACTTCATCAAATCCCTCCTTTCCGGAATCCCTCGTTTCATATACGTTTGGATGGGCATTTGTATGTGATGTGTATCGGTCTTGTGTTAAATCCCTCGTCCCAGGGTTCACATCATCGAATCCCTCTTTTCCGGGATTAGGAAGAAATGGCAAAATGCATAAAGCTATGAAGCTGAGGCCGACCGCTCCCCATGATATAGGAATAAAGCCCTGACTATTGATCCAATATCCTCCACCAAGACCTGCGAAACCTCCAGCAGCTCCGAGTATAGTTTCCAGTATCGTATATCTAAAAAGATTTAGACAAGTCGCTTATTGTTTTATTTGGCGTTTGCGCTCTAAATTTTTGGCGCTCCAGAAGTATATGTACCACCAATAGGAAGGTAATTAAATTGGTTCGCCTACTTTTTATCAAGTTGTGTAAAGCGTCTGAAATTTATGGGCAGGGATTTATTCATTTGGCTAACACAACTGTCCCTGAAAACGTAATAGAACTAACATATAGAAAATCGGAATAAAATTTTGTCTTAATCCTAACCTGGTTCACATACTACCGCCGAGTATCCGCCGATCGGCATATTAGGTGTTAGGCACTTGAAAAAAAATGGATAGTAATAAAACTTACCGTTTTCCTCTCCCGTCACTTAAAGTGACGTCACTCAAGTAGGCGTTACCCTGGATCAACATTGTCATGTAATATCCAGTTAGCCCGTTTACAGCTGCAGCAACGAATAAGACAGATACAGGCCATCTGGTATATAAATAAAACATATTAAGAACAAAGTATACCAAGTTGGAAACGATGGCTTAGCTGCCTTAGCAGTTGGAAAACTTTATGGATTACTGAAATAGTTATACACATTTCCGCCTATAACCAATCGTTGCAATAAACTTTAAGGCGCACCTACAACTCCTATTCCCGTATTTAGGAGTTTACACACATTTCAAATACCATGACTACCACCTTACCCAGAGTGTAATAAAGAGTTCACCGTAAAGATTAGGGATGCCACTTTCGGATTTACGAATCGGATCGATTCGAATCGCATCTTTTCCGAATCGATTCGAATCAGATTTACGCGATTCGGAAAAAGAGAGCGATTTAGCGAAAAAAAAACATTGAACGTTTGTTAAATCGTCGTTTTCGGCGGCTTTAAATCTGCCAGAGTGTGTTTATGCGGCACTCCAAATAACGCCAAATTACGGGACCGAAAAAAAAACATTGAACGTGTGTTAATCGTTGTTTTCGGCGGTGTTAAAACTACCGAATGCGTTTATGCAGCACTCCAAATAACACCAAATTACGGGACCGAAAGAAAAACATTGAATATTTGTTAATCGTTGTTTTCGGTGGCGTTTAAACTGCCGAATGCGTTTATGCGGCACTCCAAATAGCAACAAATTACGGGACGTAAATAAATGAAAATGAATTTTTCGTGATTGACTGTTTTACTTGTCTGCCGTCATTTGTTTCAAGTTCGACACAACACACTCTTTTACGCATCACTCGAGATGATGTGTGGCGTAATTACCAGCAAACTGCGAGTTCAGTTTTCCACTAAATAGCCGAAGTTTCCCATTATGCGCGAATTCAAATGGATCGTATACCTGAAAATTCGTGACAATTTTGATGAAAATTTTCAACAGCACACCTGCGCTGCCACTAAGTTCTTGTACGCCCTGGCATGATTGGATAAAGAATCGGCTACCGACGTCTAGATAATGTTTAATTTTGATTGAAATTTAATTTAAACTTTGTTCTGAGAGCAATATTTCGCGTACATTTGAAGAGAACTATTGCTGAATGAGTTCATCGGCCGGCAATGTTAATTTACAATCATGTATCTCATCCTAAAATATATTTTTATTTTGTTTGCGTTTGTCAGGCTTCCACTCGAGTGGCGGTAAACGAAATCAGGGGGACATAATGTAATAGTACACACACGTCTTTTTTCAGCTGTTACCAAAAAAAGTAGTATTTACTTTTAATTTTGTTAGCGCGATACAAGCGGATAAAACATTTCGGATTATTTCGAGCAAATGTCATAACGGACAGGTGGGAGTAAATAATACTTGAGGAATGGCAACTTGTACACGTGGGTTCGCAGGTTCGAATCCCATGCAGGGATGGTTATGTGCGAGAGGATTGCTGGACTCCTCGCCGTCGTTGGGTGGTTCACGTAACCGCTGGTCGGTTACGGCTTCCTCCACCACCAAGTCCATGCTTCCGAAAACAAACAATACAGTAAAACTAATCCCATACCCGACTTGGAATGGTAACCGGACGAGAGGCCGTGGTTCGCCATATGGATAAGCCGTCTTATCGGCTTTCCTCTCCCTCGGGATAAATAAGTAAATCCTATCCTATCCTATCCTACACTGTTTCACATCAACACGTGGCAGATTTCATACCAGACCGAGCATACGGTGCGAATGTCGTCTTACTTTAGCCCCAGCGACCATGTTTGATCGAGATAAAGCGTCAACCAATTATCGCTAGTCAGCGCGGCGTCCATTATGCACATTTGGACTTTCTGAATTACGAAATTAAACGTAGTCCACATTAATAATGAAGCCCGAGTTAGCCAATAACGCTGTTTGCCACAAATAATACTGTCTCTAATATTTATGGAAATTTTTGTTCGCAATCGTAGTCGGATGAACGATTGTTTTTATCGAAATTAATTTAATTTAATCGTGGTTAATTTATCGTCTTCAATCATATTCTTGTAAGCATTTCCCATTTATAGTAATTCAGATGCAATTAGAATGTTTTTGTCGTATTACTCTATGCTGCTAGCATAAATATAAAATATTGTACTAAGATTTTGAAGATAAAGAATCGGTAATAAGGCCGTCCCTAATTCAATATAACAAGAAGGGAAATACCACGGTCACATATACTGGTGTGGGACAAGGGAAAGCAGTGCTGTTACTGTGTTTACGACATAACAGTACAACTGTTCCCTGCTTATTTTCTCATATGAATTCCATCAAATTGCCTCAGCCCTGATACAAGTATAACACAATAACTCAGTATTGTAAGACTCACAGATAAGTTGCAACAGCAAGTTTTTCATCAATGCATTTATTAGTGATATCTATGACCTACATCTTTTTTATCATGATGAAAATAAGTGTGGCTTATTCACTGAAAAACCCTCATCACCCTTGCTATATAGCCTATTCCATTTTCAAATTTTTTTCTTCTAGATTTGAGCTTTTTTGTGAGTTTGGCCAAACATACGCATGTAATAAAAAAAAAAAAGCTTAATGGAATCAGATTCGGAAAGATTCGATTCGAAAAGTTTTGATTCGAGATTCGATTCGAAAAAAAATGTATCCAGAAGTGGCAACCCTAGTAAAGATGCCCCCACTGCCCCCAAGAGGCTCCGTACTCACGGAAGGTAATCGTAAGGTACAATAACATGCTTATTCCTAACGCTAAGAATAGTGCATGACTCCTAAAAATGGGGGTCGCGACACCGCAGAGGGCCTCACAACAAATTTTAGGGGTCGCAAAAGTTACACTAGTTTCACACAAAGAACTATATCTATAGTATTTTTAGACGTAATTTTCAAAACCAGTGCAAAACATAAATCTCACGATTTCGAAAGAATACGTACAATCAAGGAAGTGGCGTGCTTTTATTTAACTGTTCAGCATTTTAAACGGGGTAGCTAGCTAAAAATGTTTGAGAAGTCTCGAAATAGTGCACCAACCGTGGCGCTTTTAGAACGAATTAATTATTTTACATATCGACAACCTTGTAATGGATAAATCTTGAATATGAACTAGAACCACATTAAACCAGAATTTCAAAACAAATAAATGTCACACCACCTGTACAACATAACCAATGCTTGCATTATCCCACCGATGATCATTCCAATGATGGGAACGGACATCACTACTTTCCTCCCAACTCTGTCTCCCCAAGAAGTCAGCAATCCTCCGACCACAATGGCTGGTAGAAATAAAAACAGACTGTGACGGAAAGTCCATCTGTAACGGTAAGAAATTTAATGAATCTCTACGAAATGCATACTAATTATGAGAGCGATTCCGGAAAATACTCCTAAGGAAATTTCGTCGTAGGAAATTTCGCTGTAAAACAAGTATTTTTGATAAAAACAGTTAGGCTTATAGCAGTGGTTCTTAACCTGTGGTACGCATACCACTAGTGGTACGCGGGAGCTTTTCAAGTGGTACGCGAGCAGCTTTGAATTATTGCAACAATTAACCTTTTAGTTGGCTGAAATATGCCGGCAAAGCTTTATCTTCCCTAGTGTATGTATTCGCTGAACAGCGTTTATGGATGTTTTCCCAAGCATCAGTTTTCTTGTTTATTTCCGTAATTATTACCAATCAGCAATAAGTCAAAAATGACGTGACACGTAATAATTGCAAATCCTGCACCCGGGCCCCTTAAACAGATATTCAAGCATGGTTGCAAACATTTCCTCGTTGTTATAGTTTTGAGTGATACTTGTCAGTTTTCAGTAGTGTTTCAAGAAGAAAATAATTGGGAATTAATTAACTTAATTGTCATTGTGTCTTAGTTGCAGTAATTAAAAACGAATCTCGCAAATGCTGCGATGGACAAGGCTAAACTTAGTTATATCAGTACCTGCAAACGACACATGGTTGGTTAATTTCAATAAAAATATTAGTTTCAAACACGTAAACCAGTTTATAAGCGCCAACACATCAAAACACTCAGATAAGCATGAATTTTACAATAGTAAAGTAAAGAAATAATTTTGCCGGGGCAAATAGTCCAGGGGAAAACGTCCATAGCGCTGGTGCGCTACCAATCCCTGTCTTTAGAGATCACCCTCGCCCGCTTTCCCATTATTAAATGAAGCGTTATGGGCATGTTTTTGTCCGTTTTGCGTGTTACGCCATAAAGAATGTAGTGCCGCATTATAAAATACTCCCACGGCACGTTTCTTGTGTCCTTTTCCCTACGCCAGGGGAAGGGGCTTTGTCGGTGGTACGCAGCCGTAGTAAAAAGCAGTAAAGTGGTACGCGGTCAGCGAAAGGTTGAGAACCACTGATTTATAGGGTTAGCGTTTGCTCTTAAATAACGAATCTTTTTAAATAAAAAGATACTCGGGTACAGTGTTTCCTCTGAGGTGTGCGCGCGCACACAGCTTTCAGAAGCTGCGCACACGCATAGATTTACTGCGCACAGACGTATTTCGATGTAATGTAACAATGTGCTCGGTTGGCAGGTTGAGAAAGTTTGTTGTCGGCCCATCTTAAAACGCCAAAATTTCTTCATTGGTTTTTGCACAAATATTAGTCATTTCCAAAAAAGTGCGCACACACCAAAATTTCAGCGCACACATACTACAAAAATTAGAGGGAACATTGCTCGGGTAGTACCCACAATAATTAAGCCGACTCTGCCTGACCCACCATATCCGTTCATGTAACAGCTATAACGCAACCAGGCCCACCTTGATACTTCCTGTGCCACTATTTCGTCTTCCAACGTTTGATTAGTACTGTTGGAGCCGCAAAATGTTTGACCGGTCTTCGTGTAGTTGTGTTCTGCAGATATCACCTAAAGCGAAATAGATTCGTTTTTTTTTAGAAAAGATTGTTTGCAAGGTAGCGTTACTGGTTCGTTACTTTTCAATTTCCGTTCGTATCGTAGCAGGTATTCGTTTTTGAATTCAGTCTAGGAGGTTTTGTACGGTCTGAGGAGCATCAGGCCAAATATTACAGCAATAATCCGTGCATTGACGTTTGGAGATGAAGCACAGATGTGATTCCTAAGGTATAACTCAGTGGCTCATATTGAAAACATACCTTGTACAAACAGAATATTAAATAAAGTATCATATGTTACTTTTGTCTGCCCCGAGACTCAAATTAGTAAAAATTGCTTATTCGCAATAAATATGATGATTTATGAAGCCGAGTCGTTTGTGACTCTCAATGCTTCGATTCATAGGTTTTGACATGTAATGGTCAGAAAACGTCAGTTGTTACAACTAAATATAATACTTACAGGAGAGAATAGGTTGCAATCTAAGTAATTTACTGGCTAGCAGCGGGTACCCATAAGTGTGGAATTGTTACACACACTCTTTGCTAAATATCGTATCTTTTTATGCCGACAAGAGTTTTTCGAACCAAAGAAAGCTTAATTTTTACATTTCTAAGATAGAGATATTCTTACCTGGTAAACATACTGTGATGTCATAAGCGGTGTCAAGTACGCAGAACCGGAAGCAAGAAAAAGCACGAGATCCAGCGTGTAATATTTCAGCATAGTGTCGTACGTTGTGTGTGTATATAATGAAAGTAAATGAGCGTACACTGAAAAATAAACTGATATGATATAGATATTTTGAATGTAATTTGTGAACAATGAATCTTATTCGATGTACTATAATGTATTACGATATATGTATATATAAGAAAATGTGACCGTACATTTGAACCCACGTACATTTGAACCCATGCGTATATCCACCGGTTCAATCTATATGCGGGTGCTGAAAACCCATGGGTTAGGGCAGGGGTCACCAAACTACGGCCCGCATTTTATGTCATTTTATCCGGCCCGCAATAACACGCAAAAATGGCTGATTAATATAAAGGGAGATTTTCCCGAGCATCGTCTTCCTTGTTTATTTCGTAACATTGGCCGATCAGCACGTTGCAAAAAAAAGTGACGTGTTAATAGGCCTTTTCGCATCCGCTCAGACACTATTGTCATCTTGACAGATTTTCAGTCGTGGTTGTAAACAATATTTCGTTTTTGCGACTTTGAATGCTATTCGTTAGTTTTTAATTGTGTATCGGAAACTTAAGTATGAATCAAATAAGTCGATTATCATTTGCCTCCTTAGGGGTTGTAGTTTTAATAGTAGTAATGAAAAATTAGTCTAAAAATATAGCAGTGACAAAATAGGCTAAATTCTCTACCGGTACGCAACGTTTTCTGCGAAAGATGTATTTGTACACTCGTGACGCGTGCTTTCTACGAAACAGTTCACGTTTCTTGTGCTAAAATAAACGTCCAATGTGCATTTTGCGCTAACAGTACTGTAATTCCTCGCGTACTGCTCCAATTTAACAAGTCACACAAACTTTTGCTCTGTCTAAATGCGGATATTCATGTAGGTGTGTTTCCAAAATATTGAAGTTCATCCGATATAGTTGTCTAGATATAGAAATCTTGTATATTTGTTTTCCTGGGATGTTCTCGATCTATATTCTGCGATATAGATAGAATTTAATATTCAAGTATTCAAAAATGTAGAATATATATTATTGTTGAATAAATTGAATGGATTTCCCAACTTTTGTAAATTTATTGTATTGCATTGACAAAAATATTCATCCGGCCCGTTTCACCACAGTTTGAGTCATACCCGGCCCGCGATCCACAAAGTTTGGTGACCCCTAGGTTAGGGTTAGTATGGGTTTAACTATCCGTGAAACAAAAAATATTCCATAGGTGCAATAGCATACAGGTGCAATTGTCATGGGTTCAAATGTACGTGGGTTCAAATGTAAAGGAACCATAAGGAAAGTATAAGTATGCGTACACTAAAAAACAATCTGGTATTTAATAAGTATTTTGAACGTCATTTGTGAACAATGAATCATATAATTACTTTCCCAAAGTATATCAGGTGTAGTCGATTTTTATAAAGCGTTTTCATTCCTTCACTTCGAATAAGTATACGAATGGGCAGTTACTATTACTTGAAAAGCTATTTTTTATCATAGGACTGAAATTGCTGTACTCCGTAGTAAGGTAGCGGACACGTGTGGGTGAAACGAGATCTATAAGTTAACAAAGCTGGGCACATTGCTTTACACACTTACGTGAGTAAAATCCCCATCTACCCTCTGCGTGTCTCAACCCAAAAATTCAATTCTGACGGAGCCTAATTAGTTAATAATTTTATGGAGCTAGAGCCTTCTCAACACTGAGTACATAAATACATGATTATCTTATTGCACCTGCTCATTATAATTCCATTTAAATAATATAACGGCAGACGTTGCATTCAAACGCAGACAAATTGATTTTGTCTTTTTTTCCATTTCTTACTTCTATTGCGTTTTTAGCGGCTTTCGCTAATTGGGACTAAACAAATAATAACATGCTATAGCAAGACTTTTGCTATGCGAGACTAACGGTTCGTGTCCAGTCCCTCATCTCATCGCCGCATATTTCCCACTTGCCTGCATATATCGCTGCGTATGGACTGTACAGTAGCCTGTTGTACTGCTGTGTTAAATAATCAAACTATATGCTATATTACTGATAAAAGCAAGATTGAATACTGAATACCGTAAACAGACATCTATTTCCACTCCATGGCGTGACTAATCAATATAAGAACTTCCTTAGTTTTTTGTGTTAGCCCAAGCACGATAGAGCGATAACACTTTGCAAATTCAGTGCACGTTGTTATTCATAAGCATCTAGTAACGTTGTATACAGTTGCATACAATTCTATTTCGAGATATCTATATGAATATACAACGGATTATCCAGAAATTCTTGCAATTGCGCATATCGGAACGCAAACCCAATAAGATCTAGCGCAGTTGTTCCCAAACCTTTTTGAAACATGTATCCATTTTCTTATATTGGATGGATAAAAACTCCCGATTTGCCAGTATTACATTTGCTGTTGTATAAATTCATAGTTTATATAACTCAGATAATAAACTGCTATTCATAATAAAATCTTGGTACACACACTATCTTCCTTTTAAGCCAGAGATAAAGTCTGATCTGCCATTGCTATATTACTTGTGATTATCTATTTTATGGATAATAATATTTTGCCGCGGGGTGTTTGCTATGTGACCTAATTCCTTTCCAATTTGTAGATTTAATCGCTTCCGCTATTGTGTGCGAAACAAAAACGATTAACTCTTACGGCGGTTGGCGTATTGTGGTAAGCGTTGGGAATGCGCTCGTCGTCGCAGCTCGGATTACCCTGCGTGGGTTCGCACGTTCGAATCCAATGGGAGGTAAGTAATTTATGTGCGAGAGGATTGCTGGTATTCTCCTTGTCGAAGGGTGATTCATGTGACTGCTGGTAAATTACATCTTCCTCCACCATCAATTCCAAGCATCTGAAACAAATAACTGGCTAACTATTCTCATACCCGACATAGACTGATAACCGGGCGAGAGGATGTGGTACGCCATGTACTTTATCTTTGTTGTCGGTTATTCTCTCCCCCGAAATAAGGCCTATCCTACTGAAGATAAAGGGTCCCGCGGAAAAGTATAATTGTAGCGATAATAATAGGCAAATAAAATGTGGAGAATATTTATATAAATGACCTTCAATACAGAAGGGTCAGACACAAATAACTGGGCGAAACGGTGGGCGCATCTCCATTTAACATAGGATTTCTAGTAGTGAGTGGCAAGCACAAAAGTTTTCAAGCAGTTAGGGAGTTGAAAGGTCAAAGACATAAGGTATAAGCTTTGTATCGCTAAACGGATTGAAATTGCGCGTACCAGATTAAACTAAATACTAAATCAAAAACTTGTTTCGCAGTCAGAACACCATTCAAAATTGACAGCTCTCCGCGGGCCTCGCACTTTTTCCTTGTGGACCGCATTTGGCCCGCGGGCCGCAGGCTGCACACCGCTGATCTAGATAATAAAGATATCACGTATTTGTTGACATCTAAATTCTTTTATCATTGATAAGAAAAATTAGATAATTTACATTTTGGCGTCATACTGTGGTGGATTGTAGATAGGGCATCATTGTCGACTATATTAAAAAATGTGATGATAACCCTACCCCGCTACACATACTACGTTCAGGTTGTGCGCCATTTTGGTACACATAGTTCGGGAGCACACTATTTTTATTCATATTCATTTATCATTCAGACTTTATAACTCCGTCGCATTAGCCGAAGAATTGAACAGGCGGAAAACACCAATAACCGGAAAAGCTATGTCAAAATGTCAAAAGGAAAAGGTTCTAGTTAAAATAAAAACGAAATTGAAGAAAGTGGAATGCATTTCACTACGTAACAGACGACTGCTCGCACTTATGTGGCAAGACAAAAAGTTCATTTCAATTCTATCGACGTACTGCAATGACAACAATTTTATAGAAAAGCAATTGCAAGGAACATCTAAAACTGACATGAGCACACGACGGTCCGCGGACCAGATCTGGCCCGCTCGATATTTCAATCCGGCCCGCCTGATGCTACCACAGCCAAAATTAGAACCAAATTTTGATGTTTTAGTTAAAAATAGCTCAAGGAATTTGTTGATATTGCGATTAAATTCAGTTTGGCAATGAGATATTTTGTTTTCCACCTTTGCCTTGTAATACTGTAATATTGTTCTTAAAATGTAACTTTTGACTTCATACTTACATGGCCCACCAGTATAGATTGGCAAAATGTGTGGCCCCTGGTTCAAAAACCTTGCCCAAATCTCATCTAAAACCATCCTGAAGCCGTCACGCATTGAATGAACTTCATGATCGGTTTCGACTTAGCGGACCAAAATACTAATAACTTCTCAATGAAATCGGTGAAATGATGGAAAAAACCAAAATACTAATAACTTCTCAATGAAATCGGTGAAATGATGGAAAAAACCAAAATAGTAATAACTTCTCAATGAAATCGGTGAAATGATGGAAAAAACCAAAATAGTAATAACTTCTCAAATGAAATCGGTGAAATGATGGAAAAAACCAAAATAGTAATAACTTCTCAATGAAATCGATGAAATGATGGAAAAAAACATTTTTCTGGGTAATTGAGACAAGCGCTACCATCAGTTATATAATTTATAAGTTATCTCGTCCCGAAGGTAGATATGTATCACTCTTTGAGTACAGTCAAACGGTCATTAACCCTTTTATTTCTAAATAATATCCACTTTCAAATCCTCCCTTTTCTTGATACTTGACCTTGACTACTTCAAACCCATATAAAGTTCTAAATTTTTATTCAATCATCATCACTAATAATTCATTAAAAAGAAGAGCTAAAGCACTTTCAATTGTTATAAAGTTACAGACAGGATTTAAATAATTGTTATTTAAAATTCCAAGTTTATAAAAAAAACTTATTCGAAAAAAAAGTAAATATTTATCGAATTTTAGAATATTAAAAAAAAAGTCATTTTAGAAAAAGTTACTACATTTCTTTATAGTCAAATAGGTATAAATATTCAATATACAAAATATTATGTTCAATAAAAAAGCCATAGTTTGGCGTTAGCTTTTTAAAATGTCCTCACAAATTTCAACAACGTGTTTTCTAACAGTGTTCCAAAGGGCTTTGCCGTTACGCCCTATGTCCGAGTTAGCAGTATCAACTGCAATGACGTTCCGGAAGTATTCGTACCAAAACTAAGCGCAACCTGAACAACTCTAACCTGGTACACGTACTATGTTCAGATTATGCGCCATCTTGGTACGAATACTTCGGGAGCACCATTACAATGATAATCTTGAAGAGTGTGGTATAGACTGGAACAGGCTCTGGGATGTAACGACACATGTAATGCAAACATATGTAGTTTCTTTCTTTGTGTTTTAGTACTGCACACTTTACACCCAGGGGCGGACACTTTCCATATTTTTTTTTTGGGGGGGGGGGCGTCGCCTACCGAAAAACACCGCGCCGTGCATCGTCACCACGTAACTATAGTCGGAACTTCCCATTGCCGTCTGCAACAAGCACCGCGATTACGCGCTCGTTAAAAGAGCCGCCTATTTAAGCGTATATTGATTTTTCTGTCGGGTAAAATATTTAATCCATGACAGCCACGAGATTCTAAAATGTCCTTATATATTAATTTAATTATGTGCAACGTAACTCGCGGTTGCGACTTTTTACGTCAAAATAAAAATATTCCTAAACTAAAGTACCACGGCGATATATGGACATAAAAATATGAAATAAGCTGCCTGATGCAGTTAATTTTGATACATATTTTTGCAATCTTCCGAACTCGTTATCGCCGTTACAAAAATCTCGATATCTGATATAAAATCCCATATAGTACAATTTTACTTCATACAATGAAAATAGTTATAAAGTATACTAGTAAATTAAAAATACAAATTCTCCGCCTCGAAATCCACGCGGAACAGTCGCCGGATAATGCCACTTGTTAAAAGAGCCGACTTTTTCAACGAAAAATGATTTTTCACTTATGCAAAGTAATCAATCAAAGACCGATACGGGCATATTCAAAAGGCAAATCCCGCTCACAATTGACCGTGTTTCGATTTTAGTGACGAAATGTTTTTAAATGTCGAGCAAACACCATTTGTGAAATATTGCGATTTTCGATGCCTAGAAAAGTGTTTTTAGACTGTCGCGGGCATCAACAAAACTTACATTGTTTACAGTTTTATTTTTATTATTTTATATTTCCGCTTTTCAACTTATGGATACTTATTAGAATTCTCGCCGGGTTCAGAAGTCGGGGTTTGTACGAAAATAAAATATTTATCATAGTCATTGTGTCACAAATTTGTGGAAAGTTTTTGATTTAGAGAGGATAAACGCCAACGTAAAGATGTTGACGGCGAATTTCGAGTTGCTTTTTCACGTATTGATCCTAATATAGAACGATTGTGCTCATTAAAACAAACACAAATCTCTCATTGAAATATGAACATAAAACAAAGTTACACTTTGTTTTTTTCGTTTGTTCTGGTTTGCCGTCGAATTTGGCAAGTTTTATAAGTGTGCCGCGAGTTAAAAAAAAGGTTGCGGAGCACTGGTCTAGAATCAGGATTCGAAACACCTCATGCTTTTACACAAACACGCTTTAAAGGCATTCAGCGGTATCGGTAAATTAATCGTCTCATACAAGTGATAAGTAGCTAAACCCAAACTGTATTCCATAAGAAGGGTATATACGGCATGTAGGATTTATTTACTTTATAGGCTTGTTCAACTGTGGGCCATAGATACAGTAAGTTGGGGTGTAAATTAAGCCGCATTTGCGGCTAACGAATATTCGAGAATACAAGAGCATATGGTTGTTCAACTGCGGAAGTAGTAATTCAAAGTTTTAATTAAAATGCTAAGGTAAATATCAATTACTCTTAAACTCAATTTTCCTAAACATGCAAGAATCAATGCAAACAATACACAAAAAGTGTATAACGGAATTAAAAAAAAATAGAAAAAAATAACGTGAGTGATTCATTGCAATCGATGAGGGGTCGCGAAGGACTGTAACAGTCTTCGAATCAGCAACACCTGTTGACTGATTAATTCAGAGAGAAGAGACCAAAATATACTGATCCAATAATTCGAAAGTATCACAAGATGAAAATCACAAAATATCACTGTAGTAAGAAATGACGCAGCAGCGCCCTCGTGGGTTATGACAAAAATTGCTCAATAATATGAATAAGCAGAAAAGGAAATGCGACTCGATGCGATTGATAATAGAACGCTCAAGATAGAGTTTATAACTGCAGTAAGTTTGGATTCGGTTTAAAAATCAGTTTTTTGATTATCAATCATTCAATGGACAGAGTTATATATCATTTTCACAGATGGCTCCATGGGCTGTCCACTGAGGATAGATATTAAAAAACCCTTGTCTATCGTCCTCCGGGTTTTGCCTGACAGCAAAAATTACAGTTGAGCGTGATGTATCGATATTAGGGCGCCAAACCTCAGTCGGCAGCAGAATAGCTTGGCCCGTCGCTGAATTCAGCTGACCGTTCTGTTGAAATAGAATGAATATATGTCTTGAGAAATATAACAAATGATAGTTTAAGAATATAGTTGAGTATGGCTAAACAAATAATCCTTGTCACATTATCTGACAGAGCAAAACAAATTATTTGGTCCTCGTTTAGAAACTGAATGAAGCGTGACATCATCACGTGTTTATACTTCACAGTCACACTTCAGTGATTATCGTAGGTGGAAAGGAATTGCATGAAATAGACGCAGACAAATTAGTTTGGATTAGTGTTCTCTGATTCAGTATCAGAGCTGTAAAGTTGAAGCGGTTCACTGGTGTTAAAGTCAAATTTTTAATTTGGCGGAAACTTTACACGGAGATTGAAGTTTCTGGTTGGTTTTTGTGATAGAAACTGGAAAATCCTGAAAGCGAATTTTTTAAATCCGATAGAGAAGTAAAATTTAATATCAGCTTGTAGTAGTTACTGCTATAAATGGCTCGATTTGAACCTTTCTCGTATGCTACATCTATATACGTTTGATTTCAAGATAAAATCTAATAAATAGCACATTGAGTGCGAAAAAAATTATCGGCCACATCTTATAATGAGTTCACGTATGGCGGCATAAGTAACGATATTCGATACTCATGTAGTATGCGAAGCAAGATGGCAGACACTGGGACGTAGTATGTGTACCTGATTAGAGTTAGGCCATAATTTTATTCCAATTTTTCTCATTATAGTTCCATTAAATAGCCAAATGACTCCCGTAGTATTTGTACCTGAAATTATGGCCTAACCCTGACCTGGTATACATACTACGTTCCGGTGTCCGCCATCTTAGTTCGCATACCACGGCATGATTCAGACTCGCTTTACCTTGTAATTCATTCCGGTACGAACATTAATCTCTGACTCTCCATCAGGAATCATTGATCGTAAGTATTCTAGAATCAGGTTGTAGTGTGTGAAGTCATAAATGTTGGCAAGGTTTTTCCGGCAAATAGAGTTAGCGACTTTGTTTGAGACGTTCTTCACGTCATAAACTATCGCTTGAAAACATTTCGAATTATAGGCAACGCCACATTCTGAAAGACAAATTACAGTTAAGAGTTCGAAGTCAGATAATTATGAAATACAATTACTAGGATTAAATATTTATCCCGAGGAGAGGAAAGTCGATAAGACTGCCTAATCATATTGCGGACCACGGCCCCTCGTTCGGTTACCATTCCATGTTGGGAATGGGATTGGTTAGCCAGTTATTTTTTTCGGAAGCACGGACTTGATGGTGGAGGAATCCATAACCGACCAGCGATTACGTGAACCGCCCTACGGCAGCGAGGACTCCGCCAATCCTCTCGCACATAGCTATCCCCGCATGGTATTCGAACCTGCGAACCCACGCATTGTAATCAGAGGTGCGATGACGAGCGTATCCCTAATGCCTAATACATCCACGGCTATCAGGCTTTTATACAAACAGCAGGTTAAAAATGGGAATTATTGAATGTCAATAATCCCCAAAAACATAAATCACCTGCAGAGGTGCACACTGGTGTTGTCGACCATGAACCGTCAGGTTTGCATGTTGCGGTTTGTCCCGTTTTCAAAGTGGAACCATTGCTGCAAGAGTAACTGACCTCCTGATTCACACTGTACAAGTCTTGCTCAGGAGAAATTTTTACGTTGTCAAGATTTCGCTTTGCACATGGTGTAGCTGCAAAATAAACAAATGATAAAAAAGTTTAACTTAATTTGCAGAGTATTTGTTTGTTATTATTTTTTAAACTTGTGAAATTTTTCTCCACTTCAAACAGCAGCCACTCTTACAACATCATTGTCATCAACCTGACAGAAATGAACCTCAGTGGATCGGACAGAATATTCAAATAATCTACAACGTGCCATTGTCTAAATACATCTTGATACACTTACCCAGACCATAACATTCGGAGAAGTTCAAAGTTGTTATGTTGTCTAACTCTACATTCCCGGATGCCTCAAGCTCAAGCTGTACCTGAATGAATGAAAAATAAATTGAAGTTTGAGCAGGACAGCGAGGCAGAGACCAAAACGCTTTTATTAAAAAGTCGGAATCAAACTTTCTAAATACGAAGTCAGCGACCTGAATTCCAGATTTCTAAATGTAATTATTGAAAACATATTTTAGACAGATCGCGAAACGAATTGATTTTACCAAGCATTCTCAACAGGCTTGAATGTGCTGATGTTTTCGTCACAAAAAAGTCAGTCCTTGAATGGATCAGAATTGCGAGTGGATTCTCACATAGTCAAAAGATCTACAATTGAGATTTACACATGTGGAGTGAAAAAATGATAAAACGGTTGAGTTTGTAAAGGGATTCTAGAGAAACTCCAATCATGCAAGGACATAATTACAACCCTCTGCGTGCAGATGAAACTGAACTACGCCCTACCCAAATCTTAGAAAACTTTTACGTAATGTGAAATGGGATTTACATCCAAAGCGATTCCGATTTGAAAAGATTTTCGCTAACAAATGTGTTGCAAACCTTGGTATCTGTGGAGTTTACTTTCGTTAAAGTGAATTTCTCGGTTGTCCAGTTAGTCGAGGCCGAAAACGGCCAGATTGCTTTCCTGAAAATTACAAAACATATTATTGCTGTCTTAAGCTGCTGTCCTAACACAAATGTATTTCTGTAACGTTTCGTCTGACCAAAATCAGACCTCCTCAGACAAGCAGTTCTTATCGATCTTGATCGGTAAGTATGTTGATAGGTATTTGTCTGTTAGACACTTTTGTATGTTACGCGATATCTCACGAAAGCGGGTTGAATCTGCTCCAAATTTTGCATGTGCATTCAAAGTATCTCGGACCAGAAGCCTATTGATTTTGGATGAATTATTCCGTATAATAGGAGTTATTAATTAATTAATGAATTAATTTTTATTTTTTTTCATGATTAGCGAGTTATTAAATAATAAATTAGATTTTTTTTTTGCGGAAGATCAATAAGTCGGCTGTCACCGATCGTTATCTCGTTTATTCATTGTTTGGTCACAATTAAATTCGAACAAACTTATTTATCGCCGTATTTAAACCGCATGGTTTTTTTTTGTCATTGTTGTAAACTGCTTGTCTGAGGAAGTCTGATTTAAGTCATACCAATTGTTACAGAAATACGTTTGTGTTAGTGTGCAGCAGGACTCTTGAATTGCACATATATTATTTTTATTCCTGCTACAGCATCCTTGCATTATACGCATACGGATCCACGAGCGCTAAGGCATTGAGGAAGGAATGTGAGTTAGTCTCGCGCAACCTCTACTGATAGTCATATATTCAATGATCTTAAATCTCGAAATGCAGGTCGTTTAGAACAATTATTTACACTCTATTCTTTGTAAAACCTCAATTGCTCAAACCAATAATTGTCCGTGGTAATCTCCAAGCAAATAATTCTTTACTGTACATTGACTGCTTCACCAATTCTGCTTTAGAATGAAAGCGACAAATAAACGGGTAATAAAATGAATGCAGTTTTAGCTACTCACGTTACATTTCCGTTGTGTGCCTTGGCCATCAGCTCTCCATCAGATGTTCCTTTTATGTCGACACTCATGCATAGTGACTCATTGCCAGCCAAAGCCTTGGGTAAAGATCTGATTGTACCATTACCAGCAAGAACATAATCTAAAATGAATTGGAATAAAATATCTGATATGAGAATCGTGATAAAACTAAGTATTAGTTAAAACTAAGTATTAGAGTTCTTTCAACTCTTGAAAAGTCTAAAATCTGAACGCGCCATAACACGTTGTTGTTGTTGGCGCAATGTGCTAATTATTAGAAATGCGCGTGCAATTGTACCTCTAATTACTCTAAGTGGGTTTGCTGGCTTGCATTATATATATATTAACTTAGAGCGAGAGGATTCTCCTCACCGGCGTGGGGGTGGTTCATGCAATAACTGGTCTGTTACGAATTTTTCCACCATCAAGTTCATGCATCTGAAACAAATATCGGGCTAACTAAACCCATACCCAACATAGACCGGTAACCGGGCAAGAGCCGTGGTTCACCATATTATTAAGTCTTCTTGTCGACCCCTCTTTACCCCCTGCAAATAAAAATAGTGTCACAGTTTCCAATAGATGTTGCTAATGTGGGTGTGAATGAATCAGAAGATTCAAGGGTTCCGGACTGGTTGTTTATTGTACGGCAACTCCAATATCAAACTTAAAACAGCATAACAGATTACATCACTAAAAACCCAAAAATACGATCGACTTCCAGTCCAACAGCCGGAGAAAAGAGAGCGAAAGACATAGCTTTTCTCTCACGTGTAGTAAGTGGTCGGAGTCCAGTTCCGACAAAACAGCATTAACAAGAGTCAACATAACAGTCTATAAACATAAAATTATATATACACACAATATAAACGAGGACGCTATGGTCCGCGACAATAGAATACGATTCGATATTCCAAATTTGATTCTAAATATTCTAGAAAAGTAATAATTCTAAATTTACTATCCTTAGTCAGAAGTTATAACACTCACTCAGAAGTGAGAGAGAGTTATGTTGGAAAAGTTACCAGTCATCCCTCAGAAGTGAAGTAAAAAATGCTCATTACTAGCCAAAGTTACATGCACTCACTCAGAAGTAAAAAAAGACCAATTTCTGATGCAAAGTTACGATAACTCACTCAAAAGTAAATGTGACTCATTTGTAAACGTTTCATATAAAAAAAAATACCTGTAGCGTCATTATCTCTGTATTCTCTCTGAAATGTCCCATCAACTTTCGTGTAACCGCATGTAGGGTTGATTGACTCAAAATCACATGCAAGATCGACTGAAAAACACAAAAGAACCTATTCTAAATCACAGCCTTGTATTGTGGCCTATATATTTTCATTACTTATCGATCGCTAAGTATGTTATTTGTAAGGTATTTGTCTGTATGTTTGTCTGTTAGACACACGCGATATCTCACGGAAGTGAGGTTGAATCTGCTCCAAATTTTGCATGTGCATTCATCATATCTCAGACCAGAAACCTATTAATATTGGATGAATTATGTCATATAATTAGCGAGTTATCAATTAATTAGTGATGGGACACGCGGTGTCGCTATTCAGAGCGAATGATACACGCCGCCAGATCGATGAGTCGGCGGCCTCCAAACGTTGTCTCGTTTTATTCGTAACAGGGTCGACATCGGATTAAAACAATTTCAACTCCGACTTATCTTTGAAGTCCAAAGATAATCAAATGTCGGAATGTTAAACTTTCAATTGTGACAAGTTAAAATTAAAAGTTCTTACCAGATTATTTAAGAAGGCTTGCATAAATTGAACTTTGAAAATGCAAATTCCTCGTCAGAAATCAATTAGTAGTTTGATCAGCTTTTAAGATAGGATTTTAGGTTATCACGCGGTAGAAGGAACCCAATCAGACTGTTTATTCATATAGCGAACCCCACCAGTGGTCGCATTACCAGTCCATGTAGGATTTAGAAATATTTAATTTGGTATCTGTTTCAGAAACATGGACTTGATGGTGAGAAAGCCGTAGATGTCCAGCGGTTACGTGGACAACACCATGCATGATAGCGAGGAGTTCAGCAATCTTCTCGCACAGAACTATTCCTTATTAGAATTTGAACTAAACACTACACAAAGTGATTGGAAGTGCAATTACAAATATATATCTAAAACGATACTCCAGAAGTATGTGCACCAAGATGGCGAACACCGGATTGTAGTACGTGTACCAGGTCAGGGTTAGGCCATAATTTCAGGTACAAATACTACGGGTGTCACTTGGCTAGTCCCCGATTTCGTAATAGAGCTAAAATAGGGGAAATTGGAATAAAATTGTGGCCTAACCCTAACGTGGTACACATAGTACATTTTGGTGTCCGCAATCTTGGTGCACATACTTCTTGAGCGCTCCTAAAACTTAGCACGATGCACCAACCACCGAACACCTCGGAGATTAGAAAATGATCCCCAAATACACAGCGCTATGTCAACACTTACCTACGCAAGTGGGCACTTCCCCCCATGTTCCATTTTCTTGGCATTTTCCTATGTTTGATCCTTGAAGAACGTATCCAGCATTGCATGAATATTTGATAGTCTGACCAAACCCTAAGTCAGGTGCAATGTCTACAGTCCCGTTGTCCGGGGCTTTATGTGCTGGGCAGGAACGTACTGTAGAAAATATTGTTATAGGATACAGACCAGACTTTTTAATTAATTGATCAAATTCCATTTATCCCCTCCCTGAAGAATTTAGAGCTTGGATAGGCAAATTACAACCTTTCGTGTGGTCAATTGGCTCTTTGGGAAAGTTGTGAAAATTTTCTGCAACTACATACGAAAATTAGATCCCCCAAATCTGACCCTCATCTGACTACGTCATTTATAAATTACGTCACTGCGACGCAACGGTGACGTGATAAAACACACCAAAATATACGGACGGTCGTCCAAGACGCGCAGAAGATCAGCCGAAATCGAGCAAGCTGCGTCGTATAAAAAGTCATTCCCATCGTTGGATCATTACGTGGAGCACAAAATGCACAAAAAGCAGACAAGACAATTACTAATACATAAGGATCTACTTCTTTCAAAAACAGCGCAATTTTTCAGTTGCCAGCCTCAGGTGCTGATGAAAACCTACATAAGACACGCGTTTAGGGGGAAAATATTTTCCGAGTGAAAAACGAGAAAAAGAAGGCCACACCAACCTGTACTGTGTTCGACTTTTGAAGTTTCTTGGCGTACAGTAGAGAGAGAGGCTTCCTTAGGTGACCACGGAGAAGTAGCAGGGACGACTGAAGTACGGGCCAAAGAAGTTTTCTTGTCTTTGTATCCTGTTGGAAAAAGTGAGTTTATATTACAAGTTTAAAGCAAGATTTGTAGTTTTGGGTACTTTAAGGTAAGAATGAGATACTAAATGGCAATATGGATATATTCAAAAAGAAAATTTCAGCGTTTCTGCACAATCACCGTATTACCAATTACTCTGGCCGAAGAGAACTTTTTCTATACTAGTGCATGCGATACCAAAAAACATAGATTTTTATACCCTGGGGAGTGGTCGTTTCTTTTACACCTACAACAGAGGGCGGCACTAAATTCGTTGCTGATTCTTCCATCGTCTTATTTATTTGATAGAGCTTACTTTCCATCACGTCTAATTGTTTTGTTAAAGCTGCGAAACATAAATAAAAATGGAGATTATATTGAGCCGTTTTACAATCAGTATTCAGTGAATTTTTTGTTAGTAGTTATGTAGCCCACTCTCTCTGGTTAAAAATAAGAATGTGAGATGGGTATTGCAAAACTGCGCGTCATAATGTAATAGTGTGATATCTAAAAGGGGCGCAATGAAAACATAAAATGATTCAACTTTTTTAGCATTTTTGCGATCAGACCGTTTGACATATATGAAAAAATAGCAAACGTATTTTAAAGGAAATTATATTGCGCACACGAACCTTCCAAAGCTTTCTCTTTATCTTTAGTACACTGTCCCTTCTGAAATAGAACAAGAGAGAATTTTTTAAATATATAGACATGAAGGCTGCACATGCGTGCAGTAAGGCTCTAGTTGAGCGAGTGTTCCCATACGCCAGAAAAAAATGTTCCCATGGGTTAAAGCGAAAACATAAAATTTGGGATGAGGGATAGATTAAAATAAGTATCGTTATAGATGAAAGAAATCGCTAGAACGTTCAATTTTCTCATTTTTGTTTTCAGATTTTAAACAAAACAGTTTCATTTCTGTAAATAATACCACCAATAGTAAACTACTGCACTCACCGTATTAACGTCTCTCCAAGTAGGTTTCCCGTCACAAACCATAGGCAACCAGCATTTTTCACCTGTTAAGAGAAAATTTACAATTAAAATTTAGCAAATTGTATTTTTGTGAAAAGGTTTATAACAGATAAACGAAAATTATGTTACTGAACTTTATTTTATAACGAGACTAATTCAGTAGCTATTTCCTTATGTGCATTCGCTCATTCCATTTATAATTTTATACTGCTACCCAAGTCAGGCAAATTATTTTCCTCGATGATGATTGGTCGAATCAAATTAGAATTATTGGGCAAATTTGAAAATGTTTAACATTACTGCAAGCATGGTCAAAGATCTGATTGATACTCGCGATTCAGTTTTGAGAATATGAGAATCTTATCCTTGTTTTGTTGGCGAACAATAAACTCAAAAAAGTAAAATTCCCCTATAGTTAGCTGCTTTGAGCTTTTCACCCGGGTTCACATATTTCCGAGGGTATTCCCGCAGTATGTGAACCAAGATGGCGGACACTGGAACGTAGTGTGTGTACCAGGTTAAGGTCAAGCCATAATTTTATTTCAAGTTTCCCTCTTTTAGGTCTGTTGCGAGTTCGGGGACTAGCCAAGTGACCCTCGTAGTATTTGTACTTGACATTATGGCCTAACCCTAACCTGGTACACATACTACGTTCCGGTGTCGGCCATCTTTGTTCACATACTTCGGGCGTACCGTTCCGACAAGTACTTCTGTAATTCATCCAACATATTTCGATGACTTTTCCCGAACAAGACTCTGTGTGAACGTCCCCTGATACCTGATTATCTGTTATATTTAGGATGGGCAGCGTTGATTCGTCATTACAACACCCTGGGTGAGGTGATGGGTATAAAACTAAACCCAATATTTTACCCCGCGATGCCAAAATATCCGAGTTCAACGCTTTACCAATGGGCCACCACGCCCGCTAATCTACGATCGAATTTCCATCAGCGGAACGATATTTGAAAAAATATGGACCTTCAAAAATTGACAAATGATCAGGTTTTGCCAGATTTGTTGCAAACTCAAAAATTCGATGCCGAGTTAGGATATGATCCGCAAAAGATTGTGGTGGGGAACAAATGGGAATTATAAAATATAGAACTTCAAATGTGAGTTTTTTAAATTTGGGGCGAACTCGATTAATCGAGGCCGAATTCAAATATGTTACTCTAATTGCCGACATATTTTGACAATGAAGTCTTTTATAGGAACAGGTCGAGTGTGTAACACCAAAGTATGATAATCAGAAGAACAAATAAATATGGACCTTCAAAAATTCGCGAAAAAAACAGATTTTGTTATATTCGGTGCGAACTCGTCAAAAGGTAAACACATAAAAAACGAATCTCTTGAAGTCCACAGAAATGTTTTAAATAAGTAAAAGTAATCGTCTTCTGGCAAAAAAATCAATCTCAAACCACTTAAAATTTCAAATCAATTGATCCATTATTCAAAGAGAAAAGTGAATTTATCATGACGAAGGAGAAGAAAAACAATAACCACAACATAATATTGAAACGATCGTTATGTCCACTGACGTGTCCAATGAAGTGATCCTCTTGTCAACAAACAAACCAAAGCATTAAATCGCATATATCTATATATAACTATATATATATATATATATATATATATATATATATGTATCTGTACTATGATAAAGGAACGACCATTCATTCAGCACGATCTACGGTACGACAACGGCAACGTATTAAATACGAACAGTCATCCTTTATTTTTGTATCAAAGACGGTCTCCACTTTTGAAAGGCAACGAAGTTCTAGTTAGATTTTCTCCCGTACCTAGTCCAATCTTCAACAAGAGATCGAAGTTTTTCATATCAGTACACTGGCCTCCCCTACGCCGGAATAAATAGAAATTCCCCTGATACGATTATGTAATCCGAGGAGAAAAAAACGGGTGTTTAATTTCACGAAAAAACAAAACTCTGACGAGCAAGCAAAACCAACAGGAAATACACGGTTATACTGACCTTTAATCAATGGAAATGCCTTGATAAACATAAGGAGAATGTATTTAATCGGAATCTTCATTTCGAATCCAAGAATTTCGTCAACTTTGCTTCAATGAAAGTCGATTCCCGAACAGTGTAGGTTAGAATGAAGCTTCAATCTATTCGCATCGGAATATATCCTATGCAAGCCCACTCACTACTCTGGAGCTCAAAGAGAAGTTGTTTTCGCTCTTTCAAATATTAGGGTACGTGTTGCGTCACAAAAAAGAGAGTTTGGTAAGTGCTGCTCTTTCTATCTTTATGAAACGATGACGACGACGTCACTACAACATCCGTGAGAGTAATATTTGGATGAATTTGTCGGCAATGCTTGAAATGTGCAAAATCTGATGCCAGGGTTATGCTAGTTTAAAACGACAAATGTTTAAAACGCTCATTTCCTGAAATCAAACAGGTCAAAAAAGTGAAAAACAAGTTGAACAGGTTAAATTATTATTTATATCGATTACTCACAGTTGAACCGGAAATATCAGTGATTATTTTTGTGTTATGCAACGTGGCCTTTTTCTTGCTCATGTCCAATCGCTGGGACTGTTTTCTGCATGGCCATTTTGTTTGCCCTCTATACCATTGTTTTTCAACCAGAGTGCCGCGGCACACCGGTGTGCCGTAAACTAACGTCAGGGGTGCCGTGGGAAATTTTTCAATTTGTATGTTCATGCGGTGTAGCGTCCGGCAGAGTAATCATGTAGTACTGTTCTATACCAGAAGGTGACAGCAGCAGATGGCGATTTGCCGCTTTGTTTGTTTTTATTTGATTACTATTCAAGATGTCCAATTCAACATCTTTCTTCAATGTTTCTTCAAGAAAGTTCATATTAACAATTTAACACTTATATTGTGAACATCAGGTCTTCTCTCCGCATTTTCAGCTGGTGGTGTGTAGAGCAAAGTAACACAGAATATCACAATAAAGTACCTGATTATGTTAACCAAACCACATTCCAGATTTCTCTGAAAAATGAAACAACACACATGATAATGCAAGGGGTAGCCAATTACTTTACTAAGTGGGCCAGTTCCAGATAATAGACTTGCTTACTGGGCCGAAGGCTCAATATGAAACCATGAATAAAAAACAGTTTATTCACAAAATATCAGCCTAACAGATAATGTACAACAAACGGTGCTCCCCGAAGTATTCGTACCAAGATGGCGCACAATCTGATCATAGTATGTGTACCAGGTTAGGGTTGTTCAGGTTGTGCGTCATCTTGGTACGAATACTTCCGGAGCGCCCAACAAACAACTAGTGTACCAAGTGGCACAATGATTAATGGGGATTATGTAGCCTACTGAACGCGTCTAATAGCTTATTCAAATCAGGATACTTGAGCTGAATCTTTATACTGTTCGTAGTTTTGCATACGTCAGAGACTGTTTTTGAATTTGAGGTATATCGGGTTCGTTTTGCACATTATATCCAGGTGCATACAGTGCGTAATGAATTACGGCAGCTGTTCTCAAACTTTTTAAATGCTGCTTTTAAACAAAATGATATATATACTGAAAAATTACCCATGTTCACTAAACTCGATTCAGCAGATCTAAACTACAGCTCGCGAAGTTGCAGCAAGTAGTGTATATCTCTATTGTAACGATAGAGGCAGACACTACATAACGTAATGTAAACAACATAGAAAGACAAAATGAATTTATTGATTTATATACACAATTTTTAAAATAACAACAATTTTCGTAATAAATACAATATGTAAAATATTCCATCATATTTTAGTTATGTTTAGCACAATTCTGTTAATTTTTCCGGCGCTATCTGCAACTCTCCTCTCTTTTGCGGCGCGCACTTTTGAACCGCTGCTGAATTACAGTATTCATGTTAGTCGACGATACTATGTTCCGGTGTCCACCATCTTGGTTCACATACTACATACTACGGGAGCCCCGATAAATGTTAAAAAGTTACCATTACTGGAAATTTCCTCTATAAATTATTACACCCAGACAAAATTCAACCCAAACTGCATTACAAGGCTTTTTCAAGTAATTCTTTTTAATGTCAACTATAATAGCTAGCTTCAGCGCGATTAGATTCATGCTTGCATGAGCCGAATTGTTAGTGCGTATAGAGGTATGCGCAAACCGACCCCAGTTGGGTACTTTGTTTTGAGTTTTCAACTCGGCTTATATCCGAGGATATACGCTAAGTTACATTTCGAATGCTTGTTCAGCAAAAATATGCGAGTTTGCAAATTGTTTAAGCTTTTAAGATATTTACTTGAATTCGGTTGGAAACCGAAGACTTATCGATCGAAGGTTAGGGGATCCCCCACAACAGTGGTCTTACTCCATAGTGACACCGTGTGTCCCATCACTAATTATTTAATAACTCACTAATTATACGATATAATTCATCCAAAATCAATAGGCTTTTGATCCGAGCTATGATGAATGCACATGCAAAATTTGGAGCAGATTGAACCTCGCTTTAGTGAGATATCGCGTGCATCTAACAGACAAACAAACTAACAAACAAACGAATACCTATCAACATACTTACCGATCTTAAGATCGATAAGTAATTTCACAAGAACACAAACGAATGAGCAATGATAAAATTCAGGGACGCGAAAATTGAACATCGGTATTAGAAAGTCATGAGCTGCGCTCTGAGCTCAAAAGATTGACAAAAAGAGTACCAATATAAAGCTGTTCTTATACGCCATAAAAAGTGTTCCCATCGAGTTTACTCCAAAGATTGACAGACAAGAGTGACAGTATGAAATGTCTATACACTATAAAAAGTGATCCTATCGAATTCGCTCAAAAGAGTGACAGACCAGAGTAATAGTATAAAGGGTTCCTATACGCCATAAAAAGTGTTCCCATCAAGTTTATTCAAAAGATTGACTGAGAAGCATGACAGTATAAAGTGTTCCGATAAGTCATGAAAAGTGTTTCCATCGACTTTGCTCGAAAGATCGACAGATAAAGAAAAATGTTCCCATCGATTAAAATACTACGAAAAAATTGGGGTAAAATATCGGGTCACGTTGAACTCCAGGAAAATTTCATTCGAGCAATTTAATTTCCTCTTTGAAATCGATTAGCCCACAACAACCGCATTTTAAAAACGGCCGATAGGTAGGGCTGGGCATTTTTGAATACCTGATAATTTCAGAATTTTTTCGAATTGCTTAGAATATCGAATAATTGGTCGATATAAAATTATATGTAACTTTCTTATTGTATTAGGTCCTCCAGACACAAAATTTACTGAAAACATAGAATGCATCACTCAAGCAGAATGCTGAGAGTTCACACACACGAAAAAAATATTTCCATCAATACCTCACTGCAGAAAAGAGTCGCATGTCAGAATTGCGTTGAAAAAATATGATTTCAATAAAAAAAAATAGAGAAATTTACCCCGACCATTGGCGGAAAGAAAAAATCAAGATGGCGGCGATTCGAAACTTTGCTTTAAACCGATTCGAATAAATTACTATTCGTTTCAAAATGACCAGTCCTAACGATATGTCCACTCCGCAAAGCTTAGTAAGTTATATTTCAGATGTGAGCGTGAGCTACTGGGTTGAAAATATCGAACCGAAAAGATTCTATTTTATTCCGAATTGGTATTTTCATACAAATGGTTATACATACCAGTGGTTTGTTTCAAGTGATAGGCAGGAATAAACAAAGTAAAAACAGTTTTTCCAGAAAAAACAATTTTGGAAAAAAAATTAATATATATTGAATATTAAGTATTTGCATAGTTTCTCAAATGCTTTTTTCTTAGCAATTATTCATAAACTACCTAAAATAAATTACAATTAAACTTTAAAAAGAGCAAATCGAGTTTTGTTCAAGATTCTTTAGCATTTTTAGGACATCTTCACTTTGGAAAAGGCCATAGACAGCAAAATCTAATAAGAAAGCGATACTATTTTTAATGTCAATATAGGTAAATCTACAGCCCTAGCCCAGGAGTGTTAGCCCTTTATTACAGGAGGGTCAAATACAAATTTATTGAATACGCACTTTTATTTAGCACAGTTTTTTAATAGTTGCATGCACAACAATTTTGGTTATTGATCTTGTGACCTGCGTAGTTTGCACAAGCTGTTAGGGCATTGTAACGCCATAGACATAGATAATAAGTTAGACTCGGGTACAGGCTTCGCAACGCAAAGGGATTAGAATTACTCACATGCACCCAGTTGAATTTAAAACTCGTTTTGAGGGCCTCACCTCATTCAAAATTGGCACTTTTACGGGGACCGCACAATTTATTCTCAAGGGCCGCATTTGCCCGCGGTCCGCAGGTCGCACACCCCTGCTTTAGCCCATTGTTCACTTAGAAACTCTTTATTCTTCTCTCACTATGAATAAAAAACGGGCTTCCGTGTTATTTATCCAATCTTTGAGGGAACATTAGCTAGTGATCCATTTGCGTTCTGGCTTTTATACAGTTTTTATATATAGTTTTTGAAATGTTCATAAATATATACAGAGTAATATTTCTATATTTTCGACAAAATAACAAAATTCTTCTTCGGGGAAATTTCTACCCTGGTTGGTAAACGCTGCGCCAACAGTAGTCAAGTTATCACTTGATTGGGGTACTTCTGTCAACAAATTGATTATTGTGACTGGTTCGAGGGAGATGCTGTCAGATTGTCGACAGATTCTTCAGTTTCTGGGTCTGAATGGAAATAGAAAGGCATGTTACATCATGAATAAAAAGCTTTCTTCAAGATCAAACAATCTCAAAATTGGGCGGGAATCAATTATTTTTGAAATAGTAGATCTCCAAGATAGACAATTTCAACCCTGTGATTTGAGACATTGTCTCTGCAGTTTCCAAATGCTTGAAGATTTAAAAATCTTTTTTGACTCGAACTGCGAACTGCTTTTAGTACCTCGACACTCAGGATTTTTCGGCTGCGCTTAAGGGTCGAGGTTTCAGTGGTCGACATAACTTTTCTCAAAAATGAGTGGCCTTTCTAAGTGAGTGATTGCGACCTTGCTTTGAGCTCTTTAGATAAAAAAAAATTGTGGTTGTCGTTGTTCATGTTGATTGTATAGGGTGCCCATAGAGTCCTAAATAAAAAATTGTTAAAGGAATTTATCGATTTAATATGTTGTTTCGGCCCTCACAGATGTATTAAATTAAGTAATAATACTCAAACAATTACTGATTTAAAAACAACGCACCCGGTTAAGCTATAAAAACTGACTTCATAACAAAATTGAAATTGTAAAGGGACTTTATGCACACCCTGTATTATTGAGAAAAATTGATTGAATAGCTCCCACTATTCCAGCGGGCCCAGTGCCCATACCTTTGCTCAGATGTGTGTATCATTAACTTTCGGGTGATTGAGCGACCTTGACAGAAAATGTTATTGTAGTTCTCCCTTTGTAAAATTTCGGCAAATTAAACTGACTGATCAAACCATTGCTATAGAGCGCCATCATTTATCTAAGCACACTTAACATAACATCAATACCAGCCTCAAAAATTATAAAATTACGCTGCTCTCAATACAAAGAATTGTTGTTGTTATTAATGTTGCTTGTTGTTGTTGTTTTTATTGTTGTTGTTGTTATTATTGTTGTTGTTGTTATTTATGTTGCTTGTTGTCATTTTTGATGTTCCTGTTGTTGTTGTTGTTGTTATTTATGTTGCTTGTTGTTGTTGTTGTTATGCATGTCGTTCCTGTTGTGGTCGTTATTATTGTTGCTGTTTAATGTCGTTGTTATTATTGTTGTTGTTCTTATTCATGTTGCTCAATACCGTTGTTATTATTATATTGTTGTTGTTGTTGGTAAATAAATTTCTTTTTCAGAGGTTGTAAATGACTCACCTACAAAGGCAGTTCTCCAGTAGTTTGAATTGGTAGTTCCTGAAATGTCGCCCCCTAGTGGACAAAAGAGGTACAATAGACGGCAAATAATGATCCGATTGACGAGATGAAACCGTGGGATTTGACATATACCAATCAAAATAACACTCGGGATATCTCTGTCCTATTCTAACCGTTTGTAGTTTAATTGTAGTAATTGACGCAGAAAAAATATACTTAGAAATTCGGGACATAGAGTAAGCGCAATGGTCGCATTGCTCGTATTTTCTTAATAGTGATAGAGAGAGGGCACGAGTGCTAAAAGCTTGCGAAAGGGGGCGACGAGTCATTGTATAGATTGATGAAAAGGGCCAGAATCACCTAAATTTTGAGAATCGCCAATTTTGAAGAAAAGCTATTTTGCAAATACAACAACCACAACAACAATTTAGTAAAACACCCACAAGTTTCAATAAATCGGAATTTTCTTCTTACCTTGCCTATTTGCAGCATCTACTGCCTTCATTGTATTGTTGCTCCCCGTGGGAGAAATATCGTCATTTTCTTCTGCATCGTTTTCTGAGAAATAATTAGAAAATTACATAGCAGTTTGTTGATTTAAAATGAAAATAAAACAGAATAAGGGTATTTTAGAATGCAGGACCTCATTCATTTTTATAATAAAATTGCCAATTCCGTATTTAGGTATGAAAATTCCCTCCTCCAAAAACAAGAGTTGAAACTCATATCTCGGGATATTTTAAATAGACTCCAAACTCAGCAAAAATGTATATCTGTACATTACTTCGAAATTTATAGAAAATATGAAAGGGAGGGAAGCGAGAGTGAGAAAACATGTGATACAAACAGGAGTAGAGTCAGAGAGAGAGAGAGAGAGAGAGAAAATTTGAGGCAAAGATGCTTGATGAATTATGTCCACTACATATATATTTGATCTCAAAATTTATGGGTTAATATAAATTCAAAGCAAGTTTGTAAAACACTAATTATCAATAAATATTACCATCATTTAACGAAGGTGGTTGACCCATGGTTGATGCTTGAGACATTGATCTAACGCTTTGCCGAGACATAGTTCCGATGCGACTGCCTGTTTTGGACCCGACAACTTCAATTTCCTGTAAATTCAAACTGAAAAGTTAAGGCAAGCAATTTAGGAAATATCAATGATGGATAGGTTGGGTTTATTTTACTTCGCTATATTACCTTCTCACATTTGACTTCTAGTTACAAAAATAATTAATTAGCGACGTGATTAGAACATTAATATCGCACAGCAGGGTACACAATATGTCGTGAGCTTGCAATTAAAAATTGAAATTTGAGTAGCATCGTGATAAAATACCATATTTTGTATATTTACACAACGGAATATAAGCTGGCCTATTCATTTTATCACACCCTGAGTTGGGGTGGTGTGCTTAGAACTTAAGATTTTAATAGGCGATGCCAACAGAGCCAAGTACAACACTTTAACCACTAGTACCACCCGATATATATTTAAAATATTACATTTCCGTTCTGTCTCACAGAACTATCAATATCCGCTTGTATTGAGGTACCAACGCCCTTCTTCACTTTAACTTTGAATATATTGCAGGCTTCACGCGGAGCTTTTTTTATGAATTGCTGGACTTGATCAAGGGTTTCGTTTGAAAATTTGTTTTTTACTTCAACTTCTTTTGGACAGCATTTTGACAGCAATTTCAAATCCCCGAGCTCGATGCAGCACGTAATCCAATCCAATGTAATTTTGCTGTGGGTGTAAACGTAATTCTTGATTTCTTCTTGGTGTTTTGTAATGAATTTTTGCAGAAATTCGCATTTTGCTTTTATAATTTTATCTATATTCAGGGGCAAATATTTCTTCATGATAGTAATCGCTTTGCCTGAGGTCGTTTGGCGAAGAAGACCCGATATCATTTTCCCAATAGTGGAATTTGGTAGGTGAAGTGGGAAATGTTTTTCAAACTGTTTAACCTCTACGAAGTACGCTGCATGAAGAGCTTTAATGCACATTTCGTACAGTTTAAAACAATCCATTTGCTCTTTTTGTTGGGATTGTAAAGAGATACCACTTACTGACGGCATGTAGCTAGCAACTGAAGTACTTGTTGTATTTTGTTTCGTAGATCTCCTTCGACCTCCTTTATTGGGCTTGACTTCCTGAAACTCGACAGATACGCTTGCCTGTCTTTTAATATCGGCAGCTATTTTGCTCAATATGACCGTCTTTGCCTCCTCGGGATAGTGGGACAAATGGTGCTCCATGGCGTGAATAAAAACAGCCGCCGTTGAAGAAACATCGAATTGAATCGCTTGACTGATCATCTGTAAAATACTGTAGCAAAGACCTGGATTGCATAAGAATAACTTCGTTTGTTCTGGAATTGCGTCTGGGTCTTGTTTGTTCCCGAGTATATTTTTGATGATAGTTTGTTTACTGTCGTCACTAAATCCAAGTAACTGTATTGCTTTAGTGTGTTCAATTTTAGTATACAAGTCTCTGTGGTTAGTGGTGATTAGTGTTCGGCACTGCGGGATTTCTTTACGAATTAGGCACAAAAAGCTTTGAATGAGCGTTATTTGTGGCCCTCCGTTGCCTTCGTTGTTGACAGCAACATTGTCGAGGACAAGAGCTATTTTCCCAGAATTACTTTTCAGCCAACCCATGACAAAAGTCATTTCTCCAGGTGAAAGATCTTCCATGTAACGTTGAAAAAAGTTTTTTAGATTTTGTATTTTCGTGCTTGTGACTTTGTTAAAATCGAAATAAAGTCCAAGAATGTCTTTCTTGAGAGATTCCATGAAATTTCCACAGAAGACAGATTTTCCAGCAAAAGGGACACCGTGTATTACGTAAGTGTCTCTCGGTTTTACATCCAATTGGCCTAGGTTAACATCTTTCCTAGATTTTTGATCTTTGGCGTTAACGTGAAAACATTTTTCTTTTTCAATTACTTTTAAAGACTCTTGAAATTTCTTCTTTAGATATGTTAAAACTGAAAACAAGCAGAAATAAATCTGAAAAATTTTAGTGAACAATGTTTTTTTTGTTGGAATTAGCTTTCAAAAATACATATAAAAGAGATTTTAATGACGCATTTTTGTTGAACAAGGGTTGTTCATGGAGTTTTTTTTGCTCAATTATTGTTGTTTGAAAAAGTGTTCCCACATTTCACTTATGAAAGTGTTCCCAAATTTTACTTATAAAAGTGTTCCCAAATTTTATTTATAAAAGTGTTCCCAGAATTCACTCATAAAAGTGTTCCTAAATTTTACTTATAAAAGTGTTCCAATACTTCGCTAATAAAAGTGTTCCTATATTTTACTTATAAAAGTGTTCCATTACTTCGCTTATAAAAGTGTTCCCAAATTTCACTTATAAAAGTGTTCCAATACTTCACTTATAAAAGTATTCCTAAATTTTACTTATAAAAGTGTCCCAAATTTCACTTATAAAAGTGTTCCCAAATTTCACTTATACCAGTGCTCCTAAATTCCGATTATGACAGTGTTCCCATATTAATCACACACATATAAAATAACAGCTCTAACCTTGTTTGAATTTCAATTCTGCTGGATCACTGTTTCCCCCACTATTGATTGCAGAAACAGAAACTTTCCAATTCACAGCCATGCCTTTTATTTCGTAAGAAGGAGCAGTTGTTTCTTTCTTTTCTACTTTGTCATTCTCGTTCGTTATCACAACTTCGTATTTCGATGCTCCGTGACTCGGTTTCCATGTAACTTCTGACTCGTTTGTGCCCAAACATTGAAATGTTAAATTTTCAGGGCAGACGGGGGCTGCAACAATAAAAAGAAGGAAATAAAATAAAAATGAGCTAAATTAATGAAAATAACAATAAAAAGTAAAAAGCCAATCAATATACGCCATAAAAAATGATTATGTTCACCATAGATCTAAAGCAGTGGTTCTCTATCGAGAACCCTTGGCCCACCAAGGGGACTACCCTAAGTGCAGTTGAAGGGGGCTACCATGCTTGATTTTACTTTTACCAGAAAACTCCCCCTTCTTCCTAGTTATACTGCTCGATAAGGTTATTATTTCACAGGGTGTTTTCCCTTTGTAGAGCATGGATTGTTTGAACATAATCGAAATCTACCAATCAAAGTAACACTATAAATACCACTGAAATGATAAACAAGTGACCGGCTTGGCGTATATGTATGTACCTGAAGTATTGCACTCCGGGCAAGGCACATCGACCTTAATATAAAAACGCCAAATCTGTAATTAGCCCAGTTGTTTATTGAACTGTAATGCGAGGGGTGGCGGAAACGGAAATGATGGTGTGTATAGTTCTCTAAGGGGGGAGTGGGGACAATCTCGTAGCCATCCCTAATATTATTATTATTTTTTTTTGGGGGGGGGAGTGCAAATTTGTTTTGTATTAGGACATAATACGACGCTTAAAATTTGCAACTTCTAATAATGTTTTTTTGACTAATCAATTTTATTGATGTGTTCGCCACTTTCTGGATATTCGAATACAATTAATTATATCAAAGCTTGGAATTAAATTGTGGTGTCATACCTCAAAACATTTTTTTCCAAACTTTATGAAGGGCTGTTATTTCCTATGGGGAGTATGGGTATTCCCCATTGGGAAGTGATAACCAGAGATTTTAAAGGAACAATTACTGTTACCTGTCGTGAATGATTGGATGTCAGACCCTGTTCCTTCGCCCCGTGCACTGACAGGAAATACTTGGATTTCGTAAGTATTTCCACAGCTTAAGTTTTCCAATATTCGTTGAGTATCTTTGGTTGGGAATGGTTTTTTCTCGTTACTGTTCTTTATGTTGTGTTTCACTATATAGGACTCTGCAGCTTCGATTTGCTCCCATGTTACTTTGCAACTGGTTTTACTGACGGAAGAGATTTGAACATTTTGCAGCTTTGAAGTACCTGGTAAAAATAAACGATATATGATAATTATCTATATAATACTTATATCATTACTGATGTACCTGACACAAAATAAGATTAAATAATTTATTATTAGACAAGAAGTTGCCATCCAGAGCGCAGCCAGTCAAAAATGAGGAAAGAGCAAATTTTTTTGTGTGTATGTAATGACGTAGTACGACGCTTACTCGTGCCTTTTGTCAAACAAGGATAGATAAAGCGGCCACTGATATCATCTAACAATATCTTAAAGAATCTCTCTACAAACTCCAAGGTATACAATCTCAATGGCCCACAGAGCAGTTGCAGCGCGGCCGCAATGCTAGTCGAAGCTTTCCTTCCTCAAGAAAACTCGTCATTCATCCTAGTTTCACTGCTTGATAAAGTTCTTTACGGGATGTTTTAACTTTTTCGATCACAAATTGATTGAACATAATCGGATTTGGAATCTACCAATGGAATCTACTAATGAGCCGATAAGAAAACTTAAGCATATGGCAAACCACGGCTTGTCGCCCGGTTACCAGTCTAAATCGGGTAAGGAAATAGTTAATTAGTTTTTTTGTTTTGCTTCAGATGCATGGACTTGATAGTGGAGAGAGCCGAAACCAACAATCGGTTACGTGAAACAAGCCATAGACGGCGAGGAGTCCGGCAATCATATCGCTTATAATTATTCCCATTGGGTTCGAACCTGCGAATGTTGCTAACTCTTAGCACATGCCATATCAACTTAATTCAGCTTTGGTGCCTCGTGTTGATTTTATTTAAAGCCAAATATACATACCCGTCCATACTGTATTCGATGTTGTTACGTCGCTTCGTAATTCATCGTTTTCGTCATCTATACAGCAAACGTCTGCCTGATACTGCTGGCTGGGTATTAAATCTGGCACTGTTATGCATTTAGCTGCTGTAACTATCGGTTTTGAGTTGGCACCTCCGCTCAAATTTTTTAACAATATTTTGTATCTTCTTGTTCCCGGAGCAGTAACTTCAACATCAATTTTTGTTGCTGGGTTCAACTTATTTGCTGAAATTTTGACGCTAGATGGTGACCGAGGTGCTAAAAATAAAGAAAAAATGTGTTAAAACGAGTGAGCGATGGCCAAATATATAGACAAGAAGGCCCAAACAAAGTAGGGTACTCTTGTAGTATGCGGACACCGGCACGTAGTATGTGTACGAGGTTAAGGTTAGGTCATAATTTTATTGACTTTTGATGACTTCACATACTACCATATGAGAGTACAGAAAAATATTGAGATATGCAAACAAATACACCGAAGCTAATGCGTCCATAATTATATATTTACGCTATAACGGTGGTTCTCAAACAATGAGGCGCGCCCCGCAAGAGGGCTAAGACAATTTTTTGAGGGGTCGTGAAGATGATTAAAAATATTTGTTAAATTTGATCTTTTCCGCCATATTTTGAATATTTACGTTCCATCCATGTATTTGCAATGTATTTTATGAGTAAACGAACTTTCGCCTCACTATCTGTCATTTGTATTTCTTGTTAGCTAGTTATTTTTGAGGTGGGGCGCGAGAAATTCTAAAAACGGGGCGCGGCTTGGAAGTTTGAGAACCATGGGTCTAAAATATGTAGGTTACCTGTTTTGAACTTTTTTTGATCGGAGTATTTCCCACCATACGCTGATTTACTCTTTGCTCGTACTTGGATTGTATAAATCTCACCGGGCTCAAGCTTCTCCAATACTAAAGAGGCATTGCGAGCTTTTTCAATTTGTTCCGAACGTTTTCCACATTGGTATTTGACTTCGTAGCCATCAGATCCGAGTATTTCTTTCCATGTGATTTTGTATGAATTGGAATTTTGATACGAACACACAATGTCCTGAACTTGGCCTGGTGCTGGTTTAAAGTAATATTAAAATATTTAGAAATTATAATCGTATGTCAGAAAGTGGGAAAATATTTCTGATTAAATCTAAGTTGAACAACCTAACTGCAGTGCTGGTGAATCTCGATTCATATACTCTACTCTAGTTAAACTTGTTTCCCCATTATGCAGCAAAGATTAACGCAGTGGCGTAGCCAGAAAGAGGGGGGGGGGTGCCAGTTGGAGCTCTCTCGTTTGAAATTTTTGGAAGACGGAAAAAGTCGCTAATAACGTGTGCGATAGAATTTTGTTGAAATCGCCGATTGTTTTCGTCAGCGCGACGTACTATTCAGGCCGTAAACACCTTCGCGTTGGTGTTTATTCTCCCTGAATATTCACAAATTCGCTGGGTTGCTTTTGAAAATTTTACTGTTACCGGGAAAAATGAATCGAAACAAAATATAATCGGACACATTGCCACACATTCGTATGGCCGCGGCATTTTGGAGCAGTAATGCTTTTATATTTCAGATTTTTCTTTACCCCCCCCCCCCCCTCCTCTTTATTTGGAAAATCCAGGCTACGCTTCTGGACTAACGGTAAACCGAGTTATCTAAATCGAACTTGGACCTCCATTCATATAACCGATACCGAGCATGACTCTAATCGGATTCAAATCGAGACTCAGATGATCTCTGCTCCGATTTGTGTCATGAGTCTGGCTTTGCTGCAGCCAATCTTGGTTGGAAGGGGGGCAAAATTGTTTGTACAATGACGTAATACACTCCCTCGTGTCTTTTGCTCTGATCAATGCTAGATAAAAACATTTTTAGGAAGGAGGGGACATAGCCCGATCTCGGTCCTACCAATATCTGTTACGGCGCATCGTTCGTAACAAACAGCATGAATAGGTAGGAGCTGGTTAAAAAGTAGGAGAACAAACACTACGTGTTACCTGTTCATACAGGCCTTGACCTAACCATGTGACAAACTTTATTTCAAAATGTAAAAATTGTTTTCTCATCATGATAATACTTGCTTTCGTTTGGAATGTCCGCCCATACGCTCGCTACTCATTGCAATTAAACGTTCAAATTAACCGATATTTCGAATTGTTTCATCGCCTTACAGACGGCGTCGTGAACCTTCAGTATGGGAAAATAACTGCTCAAAAACGCCACGTTCAACGAGTTAAAAGCAACCAAACCACTATGTGCAAAAATGTTACCTGTCCATATAAGCGTTGACTTGACCATATCATGCAGACTTACATCGTCCCTTTCGCTACAATGTGCATAGAACACATACACTTTGCATGGATCCAACTTTTCCACTGTTGTGTGGGTCCCAGATACAATTATTTTCTGTTTAATTGCCCCTTTGTGTGTCGCCAGGAGGGTGTATTTATCCGTTTTGTGATCAGATTCGATTATCTCGACGTCTATTTCGGTTTCTGGGTTTGATTGGTTGCTGCATACCACTATATTTTCTGGTAGAGGTATGCGTGTATCTGTAATGTATAATAGGTATAAATTTATTACATATATGTGACGAGAATAATGAATTATCTTGCTTTGCATATGACCAAGTAGGAAGCGAGTGGACGCGTCGGCGGTGTGACACATCGCCCTACGCTCGTCACGCACCTTTGATTGCCCTGCGTGGGTTCGCAGGTTGGTATTTTAGTACATTTGGGAAAAGTCGCCATTTTGTTATTAGGGAACACTATTGACCGCGAATCTTTTCAGCAAACACGGCGCTTTGAAAACCGGCAGAACGCGATAAAGCCTTAGATGGGTTGCTGGAAACATCGGTGGACGAGAGTGACGGAATAAAAGTGTTCACATTTAATTAAAAAGTCATCAAGAAGTATGTGAACCAGGTTAGGTTAGGCCATGGGTCGCCAACCTACGACCCGCGGGATGAATTCCATGGTACTCTGTCAGCTGTTGTACCGATTATATTCTTTACGTAACAAAATTTATTGTGAGACACGTGTAGACTGAATCACGAGTATAACATTTTCAATTACTCGTTTAATGAGCCTATAATTTAATTATATTTAGACAAATGGCAACAAAACGCAGAAAAGTTTATGCTTAGTGTAAAAGGTTCAATGGCGCCGAAAATATTTAAATGGCATTTTTTGAGATGCAATGGAATGAGGAAATAAATCTTCATTCTATTCGAGAGATGTATCACTGCTTGATTTTTATTATAAAAAGTATCATCTATAAGGTTTTCACCTTTTAAAAATATGTGGCCGCCAATGACGTGCAACCTTTATATTTGGCCCGCAAGCGACAAAAGGTTGCCGACCCCTGGGTTAGGCCATAATTTCAGGTACAAATACAACAGGAGTCACTTGGCTAGTCCCGAACTCGTAAAAAAACTAAAATAAGAAAAATAGGAATAAAATTATGGCCTAACCCTAACCTGCTACACACATTACTTTCCGGTGCCCGCCATCTTGGTTCACATACTATGGGAGTAACAATTAAAACGAGAATATCGGTCGGAGACCAAATACTTATCGATCGAAAGCTAGCGAATCCCCCAACACAGAAACTGCAGTTTCGATTCATGCGCTCTTACTCCATAGCGACACCGTGTGTCCCATTACTAAATAATAACTCGCTAATTATATGACATAATTGATCCAAAATCAGTAGGATTCTGATCCGAAATATGATGAATGCACATTCAAAATTTGAAGCAGAATCAAACTCGTTTTTGTGGAATATTGAGTGAATATAACAGACAGAAAGACAGACAGACAGACAGACAGACAGACAGACAGACAGACAACTCAACATACTTACCGATCTTAAGATCGATAAGTAATAATACAGCAAACAATCCGGGTGAAATATTAGAAACTCATGAAAAATTTGAGTTAGTTACCTGTCCAGAGGCTTGATATTCTTGAGAACGGCCCTTTTCCCGAGTCATTTTGAGCTAAAACTCTGAATTCATATCGAGTATCATCCTTGAGATCTCGAAGATAGATTTCATTGATATTGCTTTCAATGGTTTTAAACGCTTCGTGCTCTTCGCGGTATTGAACGACGTACTTTTCGACACCGATCGTGTTTCGCCAATCAATGCGATAGGTTTTTGCTTTTATTTTTTCCGTCTTGATATCTTGTATTTCTCCCGGAACTGGAAAAATTATTTATTTTCACTCATTACTCATTCATAATTGTGTAGTCGACAGGGGCGTAGCCAGAATTTTGCAAAAGGGGGGTTCTGAAAGTTCCCATTTTCAAAAGCTACCCAGTGGTAGTCCAGGTGGGAGCGGGTAATTTGAAAGAGTATTTATTAGTCAATCACCGCCTTTCATATATTTTGAACCAGAAAGGCCGGGGATTCGTATTTTAATTTTGACATTTATTTATTCATAGTGAGATGAGGTCGAAGTCGATTTATTTTTTTCAGTAGCCGTAGTAGTCAATATTTTGGCCTACTCGGAGTTAGGAATCGATTCTGAAGTCGATTTCTGAATCATAATTTTGGTATTTCAAAGTCGAATTTTTTAAATTCGGAGTCCAAAATTTTGTTGAGTTGAGAATTGGAAGTAGAATCACTTTGCGAATATAAATATTTTTATTCCGGAATCGAGAGCTGGCACACATTTTTGGAATTTCGGGTCAAAGCCGACCCGGAGTTGAAAAAGCTAGAGTATATTTCCAAAATAAATTTTGTTTTTTCGAACTCGAAGTCAATTTTCAAACTCGGAGTATGAGGTCATATTGTCACTCTGGCTTTTACACAGTTCGGACAATCCTAATAACTAATAATACTAAATAACTAAACAACATGAGTGAATCGACACCAAATACTAAGTAATATTTTCGTGTCTGGCGATGATACGTTGAAGTATTTTGTACCTGTTAATAACGGATGTGCAAGGACACAAGGTGGGCTCGTCAGACCATTTCTTTTTGCAGTTACAGCAATTTGATACATTTCACATGGTTTGATACCCTGAATAATAGTCGCAGATCCCCGAATTGTTTTCTCCTGCTTGTCCTCTTCGCCTCTTATGTTAACTACGGTTATATGGTACACTGTTTGGTCTTGGGCGTCATCTGCCGGATCGAATTTTACTAGAATTGCTGGGTCAGAATATTGCAGAGTGTTTTCAGCTGTTATACGAACAGGAGCTTGAGGTGCTACAAGAAAAATATAGTTATTAACTTATGAAAAATGGAATTTAAAATTCTCCTTTTTTCGATATCCTTCATAGCAATTTTCCGTAGTTATAAACACTTTTTAGACTCTATACTCCTGAAAATTCCCTTTTTTTTGGCCAGACTGGCTATCTGATACAGTCTGACTTGGTAATTTTAAATTTTAAAATAAACCCATGTTAAAAATCAGCTACGCCCATGAAAACATTGTTACTTACCCGCATGTATAGTCACAGTTTCTGAATATTCGCCTTTGCTGTCTCTATTTGCTGCCGCAACTCTAGCTTCAATGCTTGATCTTATATCAGTGAAATAGTACATTGTATCAGTTATTTTTATCTGTTTTTTGTTTTCGCTTTTTTCAAGAGTCCACCATTCTAATATGTAATGTGTAGGGACAATATCCGGGGGTTTCCATTTCATTTTTGCAATTTTTCCATCGTTATCGACTTCTAATTCTCCAATTTTGTCGGGGTCTAATAAAAGGACAAATCAGTTTATTAATATTTTTCACAAACTTGACGCAGCCAGTCAAAAATTGGTGTAGAGCATTTTTTTCTGTGCAATGACGTAATACAACGTTTTTTTTGTGTCTTTTGCTCCGCTTATTATATTAAATCGTTCAAGAATGGATTAATTGGGAAAATGGTCTCGGAAAAACGTAAGGATTTATGTTTCACTACAAATGCCACAAACTTCATTTCAAAAATAACTGTTGAAACTCCCTGGTCATTTTAAAAATAACTGTTTAATCACCGTAAAAATACTTACAAGTATAGCATTGATCCATTAGCAGCCTACTTGACTCCCCATTCGTCTATTGAACGTGTCACAAAAACTAGTAACCTAACTCTAAAATCGAAAAAAAATTATGAATAATTTTATGAAATGCTTGATCGAGTTCTGGCTCTGTGAGGTTTTTGTGTCACTAAACAAATTAGGATTGATTATAATTATGCTGCATTCTCATTGTTACAAATTCTGCACAAAAACAGGGTTACCTTACGTTCATTACGCCTTTAACAGTGATTTTCAACTGCTGTTCCGCGCAACAATGGTGTCCCGCGACAAATTTCAACACAAAAAATATAAACCTTTCATTTGCTGTGCGTCAAAATTATTATGATAGAAAATATGTTCCGTGTGTTATAAAAGGTTGAAAATCTCGGGGCCCTAATCAGGGCTGGCCTTGGGCCATTGCCGTATATGCACTCGCTGCGTGCCCCGCATTTTCTTAGACCCGTGCTAATTTCAAAACTAAATTATTAGATTTAACATTATAAATTATATATTCAAATATGTCAAAGAATAGATACTGTATACATAGGCGCATCCAGGGAGAGGATGGGGTAGAGAAATCGTTTTCATAATTTTTTCAAATTCGCAGTGGGACATAATTCCTTACGGCTTTTCTAACATCATTTTCTTATATCCTTGAACGATTTACTGAAAATTAACTTCACCTGGCGATCATCCCCGCATGGGATTCGAACCTGCGAACCCAAGAACGGTAATCAGAGATGCGGTGGCGAGCGTATTCCTAACGCCTAGCACGATGCGCCACACCACCGAGCCGTGTTAATCACCCACTGCTTGAATACCCACTGGTCACAAAAGTAGTCAGGGAGGCTTGAGGGGCCGTGCAATTTTGCGGCATTTGAAGTAAGACATGAATTCTTACGTCTTTTTCAAACCAATTTACTCTATTCTCAAACGATTTACTGAAAACTAACTTCACCTGCCTTGCTATCAATAATTCTTTCACTAAATGAACCAACTGAGATAGATGAAAATGCGCTCTTGTATATCTTGGATAACTTCGACAGCGAAGTTCTGTCTGTAAAGCAATCACAGTGGCCGCTTTCATCTAGCCTTGTTCGGAACAATAGCTACGAATAAGTAGTATTACGTCATTAACCCCCAAAAAATTGCTCTCCCAATTGCTCTCTTGCATCTATGCACTCGCAGGCCCCGCACTTAAGCCCCGCGCTAATGTTAGGGGTAAATTCTCATATTGAAGCATTATAAATTATATTCGAATATATTTGTTAACGAATAAATACTGTATAGGTCCCGTAAAGCAAAAGTAGATCGATTGTGATTTCGTACTTCAATAAATCCAGAAAATGAATTCATTTTCTATTATAAATTCAAGTTATTTTAATATATATACTTCATTATATCGTTAAATCTTTCAACTTGTTAAATACTGAACCTAAGCAATAACCCTAACTGGCAACCAATACTAAGTAATGAAATGAATAATGGGTTATATATATATGAGAGAATAAATATTGCGTGTGTCCTACTTAACAAACAAAAAAAACGTACGCGCTCATACATTCTTGCGGAACTCAACTGTTGTCTGGTATACCAAGTTCCCAGTTAAAACTACAAGTGTTTTATGAGGCCGGCAATAATTTATACGTCGATCAATTTTGGCGAGTAGCTTATGGGGAAAGTAAATATTGTCGTGAGGCAAAGCTGTAAAAAATATTTAAAATCAAAATAAAAAACCAATAGAACTTGACAAACACCGTCAAACTTACATAACTTTTGTGGTGTGACACCAGGTTCCATTATATTTGAATCCACGTACATTTGAACGCACGACAATTGCACCTGCATACTATTCCACCACTATTGCACAAATTTTCAATTACGGATATTTAAACCCATACTAACCCATGAATTTTAGCACCCGTATATAGATTGAACCCGCGATGCAAATGTATGGGTTCAAATGTGCTGTCACCGTGACATCACGCTCAATTTCTAACTTGAATAAAATTGTATATATATATCAGTGCAGATGGTTAGTCAAATACATAACACATTTGTATAAGTTACAAATAGTTTTATTACTCATTGTCAAATATATACCACCCCCTAAATTTGGACCTCTTTCCATGAAACAAAATAAAATTGGGAAACATATTGCGCAAAACTAAATACCTTTCCTTGCTCTATGCCAGGGGTCGGCAACCGTTTGTCGCTCGCGGGCCAAAATAATAGTTGCAAGTCATTGGCGGGCCGCAAATATTTTTAGAAATTTGAAAACCGAACGGATGATACTTTTGATAATAAGAAGCAGTGATACATCTCTCGAATAGAATATAGGTTTATTTCCTCATTGCATTGCATTTTTAGCGCCATTGAACCCTTTGCATTTAGGATCAACGTTTCTACGCTTTGTTGCCATTTGTCTAACTATAATTAAATTATAGGTTCATTAAACGAGTGATTGTGAATTTTATACTTGTTAGATTATAATATAATTTAGTCTACAAGCGTCTCACAATGAATTGTGAAACGTGAAAAATATAATCGTCAAAACAGCTGTTTTGTTACAATAATTCAGGAAAGCGACGCGGGCCTGATTATATTACTCCGTAGGGCCGTAGGTTGCCGACCCCTGCTCTATGCCTTTGCGCCAGCTAAAAATATGATTATAGTAACCATAATTACAAATACTTTGCAATTTCAAAACTTCAATATTCCTGTGAGTTGGAGTTACGTATAACTAAAAAACTTCCAAGTTCTATGCCTTTGAGCAAGTGGATCCGTATAAAGCAAGGATGCTGTAGCAAGAGTGAAATGAATATTCTATTTCATTCAATATTCCGGCTGTAACATTTTGTCTGTTCTATGCCTTAGCACTGTTAGATCCGTGTGTATAAAACGCAAGGAGGCTGTAGCAAAGCTAAAAATTACTATATATACTATTTCATTCTAGAGTCTTGATGCCCTTAATAAAAAAATGGGGGCTCCCGAAGTATGCGAACCAAGATGGCGGACATCGGAATGTAATATGTGTACTAGGTTAGGGTTAGGCCATAATTTTAGGTATAAATACTACGGGAGGCTCTTGGCTAGTCTTCGAACTGATAATAGGACTAAAATAAGGAAAATTGGAAAAAAATTATCGCCTAACCCTAACCTGTTAGTCTGTTACCCATGTTACGTTCCGATGTCCGCCATCTTGGTTCGCATACTTCGGGAGCACCAAAAAATGCTTATCTGAAGGTGACGAAACGTTACATGCTCGTAAATACAACAGTATTTGTGTGTAGCAAGATTCTTGAACTAAATAGAATTTCTCAATTCCGATGTAACTTTTCCTCAGTGCATGATCGCTGACTCACTTTACAATAAAAATAACTTTTTTTGCAAGCCTGTTTCACAATGTCCTGGTACCTGAGCTAAAAGTGGAAAGGATAGGATAGGATTTACATATTTATCCCGGGGGAGAGGAAAGCCGATAAGACGGCTTATCCATATGGCGAACCACGGCCTCTCGTCCGGTTACCATTCCAAGTCGGGTATGGGATTAGTTTTACTGTATTGTTTGTTTTCGGAAGCATGGACTTGGTGGTGGAGGAAGCCATAACCGACCAGCGGTTACGTGAACCACCCAACGACGGCGAGGAGTCCAGTAATCCTCTCGCACATAACCATCCCTGCATGGGATTCGAACCCACGCAGAGTAATTAGAGGTGCGGTGGCGAGCGTATTCCTAACGCTTAGCCCGTTGAGCCACACCGCAGCGCCGCCCGCCGAAAGAAGTTATCCTATGCGATTTGATAGTCTTGCTACACACTAATACAAACGTATTTCTGTAATGTTCTGCATGATCAATTCACCCTACATTCTTTATCTTGGGACTATGTTCTAAGCGTTGCGATACTTCGTCATGATTGTTGAAACTCCCTTGTTGAATACAAAGTTCAATCGAGAACAATTAATGCGGAACATTCCGACACCGCTCTGGCTATCGTATCACGTGAGAGCAAACAACTATAGAATGCAAATTTGTTTTTGTGAAAGCACCTATCGTGCGAAAACTTAAGGCAAACCAACCGTATTGTCTCAATAAATTGAATTATTCAAAGTCGGGGTAGCGCTTTTTGTTGCGTTAAATTTGAAGCCCAGCATGTGATTTAACTTTTGTAAGTTAGCCTCAAATACTTGGAACCTGTAAAATTGGTCGGAGTTTTAGGCGTTCATTAGTCATTCATTCACAATTTACATTTTATGAACAATATTACAGTGTTATAAAAGCGAAAGTGGCTAGATTTATTTACCCGACCAGGTTTATTTACCCGACGGACCGGATTTGGCCCGCGGAATAGAGGTTCGCTAAACGTTTTTGTGTTCACAGTTTTGCCACCTAGCTGTCATGAGGCCAAGTCAAAGTAAAACAGGTCTGCCCGGCAAAGGAGAAAAACTGAATTTGAATGTTCGAATTGCTTTGGTATCAAGTAACCAGGCTCATTTTGAAAAACTCTGGTCTGAGCTATAGTATCTTATGTCTTTGCTTTACTAAGAACATATAAATAAGATCAATGAAGCGTAACTGAACAGCATCGCCACTGTATCTTTTGGGCCAGGACTATTCTGTCTAAACACGATTCAGTAATTCATTGCAGTCAACGCACCAAAATCACATTCTGGTCGACCAGGTTTTTTACATTTCATCGGTTTGTTTTATCGCAATATTAAAGAATGATACAAGTAAGATTCACAACCAAAAATACTATTCGGATTTTGTAATTGTATTCTATATGTGTTTCTGCGGTTCTTATATTTGAACATTGTTTGCGCTACCTCTGCAACTTGCGAAGCCCTTATTTGCAAATTCTAATCTCCAGACATCGTCAAACAAAAAAGTACGTGAGAATCACGACGATTAAACAAATTAATCTTAAGTTGAAGCCAGCGGGCGCGCAGCAAACTTGCGCAGTGCAAAACAAGTGAATGGAGGACATTTTGTGGTTGCGTAAAATCAACGTGAGACGCTTTGTTCAATGACAGAGAATAATTGCCTCTAAATAAGGATGGCGGAATCGAGTCTGGATTCGAATAGATTCCGATGCATTGGAATCGATTCTGTAAGTTAAAACTTGGGTTGCAAACAATGTGTAACGTTTTATGGCAAGTCCTTCACATATATGTATAAACTGCTTTACTGAGTTGCTACGACGTCGCAAACTTCACCATGTAAATATTTTTTTTTTTGCTAGAAGGCTTTTACGTTTATTTATTTTAAAAGTCTCTGTGGGTACTGAGGGATTCTTTTTTTTTTGTGCGATTTTGTCTACTGTGACAGATTGAATACCTATACTTAGTTTCAGCCTTCTTATCCTTCCATATATTTGAACATAGCTAGCTCTCTTGCTTGATTTCATATGGTATTGCTTAAATGGGTATGTTTTCTCGGCAAGATGTGCCAAAGGAAACGAGATTCGAGAATCGGAATCAAAAATCTAGAAACTGGATAAGAATCGAATACTTGTAAGTAGTCATACTTGGCATCCTTACCTTTGAAATAAATTATGTGCATTGTCTGAGCGTTGCCTCGTTTAAGATATGCAAAGGTGTACATAAAGTCTCTTAACAATTTCAATTTTGTTACGAAGTCATTTATTTCAACCAGGTTTGTTGTTTTCAATTGGTAATTGTTCAAGTATTTTTACTTCGTTAGATACATAAGTGATGCCTAAAACAATATTTGGTATGGACAAATTCCCTTAAAATTTCAAGAATACATGCTTTGGTTAAAACGATTTAACGTATTTGGGCGAAAATCAATTTCCCTGATACGTCTTCGAACTATAATTAAACAAGTCTAATCTAGTCCTGCTAGGCAAAACATTGTACAAGTCGCTTTATTGGGGGTGAGAGAGAATAAAATTGCATTTTCAGTAACTAACGCGACGTAAAATACGATTTAATAGCGCCACAATGATGTCCCTTTTTACGGTGAAAAGAAAACTGAAATTCCTAATTTTTCTTTCTACCTGATCGTTTACCAAAAAAAAACAGTACTCCTGAAGTATGCACACCAAGATGTCGCACAGCCTGAACCCCAACCTGTTACACAACCTGATTTCAGGTTGTGCGCCATCTTGGTGCGCATACTTCAGGAGGTCCCTTATAACTCTATAGCTTTGTAGCATTCCAGTTGAATGGTATATAGACCTACTTCCAAATCTATTGACATAAAACCAACGTACGCCCACTCAGTTTATGCGGAACTTAACTGGCGTCTGGAATACAAAGTTCTCAATACAAACTACAAATGTTTTATGGGACCGGCAGTATTTGAATTGTCGATCAATATTGACGAGCAACCGAGCACATCATAAACTTAAAATCATATCGTTTTTTCCCGAAAATAAGACTGGGTCTTATTTCAATTTTCTTCTGAAAAACAACACTAAGGCTTATTTTCGGGGGATGTCTCATATTTTCATTCATCAAAAACAAAATTACAAATTAGAGAATAACGAGATTTCCAAATATACAAAATGTGAAAACCAATATCCATTTACTTATAAATAACATGTTTTTATTTTATTTAAAATAGCTGCAACATATAGATCATCAATCATTTAAAACGTGTACGAGATTTTTGCTGTCGTATAGGTCAAAAAAATTCTCGTTATAGGTCTTATTTTACGGGGAGGGCCTTTAATTAAAGTCATTTTAAAAATTCAGGCTAGGTCTTATTTTCAGGATAGGTCTTGTTTTCGGGGAAACACGGTATGTCTTTTCAATATTCGAGTGTAATATTATATAGACCTACTTCCAAATCAATTATCTGATTTAAACTTCCACTGAATATCATTTTCAATTCCTATTTTAAACTGTCTTTTCACGCGTAATTCAAATCTGAATTTTAGGGCTATATTTCTGTACGTTATACCGGTTCAAATTCATGATAGTACTGTGATGTAGGGTATGCTACTAAGTATATATTGACATAAAAACCCAACGTACGCCCACTCAGTTTATGCTCAACTTGACTGGCGTCTGCTATACCAAGTTCTCAATAAAAACTACAAATGTTTTATGGGACCGGCAGTATTTGAAGTGTGATCAATAATTCGGAGCAACCGAGAAATCATAAATTTGAAATCATCACTTACAATTTGCCATTAAAAGTGCATGATGTTTATATATATATTAGGTTAAGATATGTTCCTAAGTAAAGGCAATAATTTTAAAAACGAACTAGTTAAATCTTGGTCTTGGCACTTTGGATCCGATATTTGAACCGACTCGAACAGTAAATTATTCGCATCAATTCACACGAAAATTTCGAATCGCCGCCCTCTTGTTTTTATTTGACCGCCAAAGGTCGAGGGGAATCCCTCATTTTTTTTTTGAATCCATATTTTTAAAATGCAATTCTGAAATAACTCTCTTCTTTTAAATGCTATGTTCCCCAGTTTTTCATTTTAGGCTGGGGTCCAAATTTAGGGCGTGGTACTGGTAGATATTTTGTTATTAGTGATGAAAGTATTTGTATAAGTTCTATTTTTCTGAATATTCCTATAAAAAAAAGGATCTTTACTTGGCCCATTATTCTTTCTAGCTTATATAAACGACATACCTAGGTGTCTGGACTCATCTGAGTCAATCATGTTTGCTGATGACACAGACTTGATTCTCTGTGGGAAAAAATCTGGAAGATCTATTCGCAGTTGCGAACCAAGAACTAGCCAACATTCACAGTTGGATGCTGGTTAATAAACTGTCTCTTAATGCCAACAAGACTAAATTTCTACTATTTCATCCTAATAAGCATAAAAATTTGAATCGCTCAAAATCTTTATCACTCAATGACAAAGAAATTGAAAGAGTGAGAGAAATAAAATTCTTGGGTGTTATCTTTGATGAAAATCACAAATTACACATGTTCACCAATCGCAATCTGGTGAAGGCATTTTTATCGCTGTATTATATATAATATATATATATATATGTTGTTTGCTTTGACAGATGGTAACTTACATACTTGGATGGTGTTTTTTTTATGAATAGCTGTTCACTTTCTGACAATTTCATGGTCATGCTTCTTTTCTTGGTGTGGGATCATTCTTATTACACTTGTGTGGCTTTTGTTTTCTGCACGAGGGGTGGTATAACTATAAGATACCAGGCATTGTAACTGGTCGAACTGGTCGATTTGATTCAATAGTTCAGGTGAGTGAACACGTACCACTTCTTTTTGGCAATACCTTCCATCTTATATCTTGTACGTTTTAAACCTTGTCCAAGGTTATGTTTACTCTACTAACTTATCTTATGTGCACACTCTAGTGTCCGCTAGCGCAAAGGCGGGAATACAAAGTATTCGAAGTTGTTCCCGTATTCAGAGTTTGATTTGACAAAATACCGTACAGATTGTGTTTTATTTAATTTATTACTGATTATTTTTGGCATTGCGAATGGTTTGGGACTGGTAGGCTCATAACAGCAATTGCAATTTATTTTGTGGAATAAATTCGATAATGTCTGGAAGATCTAGGAAACGAAATTCAAGAAGATCATCGGTGAGTGTTTAGGTTCTGAAGGCAGGAAGGGCTGCATTTTACTGTTTTACTAAACACAGGGGTTATGTTGGGATTTACATATTTATCCCGGGAGAGAGAGGAAAGGCGGTAAGACTGCTTAACCATATGGCGAACCCCGGCCTCTCGACCGTACCGTAGTTGCAGACACAACTGGTCAACATAATTTTTAATGTCAAATTGAAAAACGAAGTGAACACAGGTGAGGACAGCTCGGGTCTCATGTAATTTCTTACCTAACATACCGGTACGGTACTTCTAGTGGGTGTAGCATGACAATTTTTTCACGTATCAATCCTGACTACACCATCCAAAAATTACAGAATTACGTCATTATGACGTGACATTGACGTAATACAGCCCTTCAAACAATACGAACTGCCATCCAAGACGTTATGGTCCACAGTTATCGGTATTTCTCTTGTTTTCTTTTTGCAACGATTCCAATAGGAGAGAGATCGATAACGTGAGTCAGTTCTTTATCGTAGGCGCCAATGCCATTTCGGGCGATCGTACGTATATTTGGCAAGCTCTATGACGAAATTGTGATGTAGTAGTCACTAGGGCTGTCCAAGCGAACCGAATATTCAAAATCGAATCGAATCACAAATTATTCGAAGCGTTTTTCGGCCAATTCACGAATCGCTAAAATTTGGTACATAATGCGCCTCACGGCCACCTTTGCACCGCGTTTTTCACCGGGCAAGCAAACACATGTTTCTATCGCTTTCTTTGCTGTAAAAAGGTCTCTCCTATTGCCCGGTGACATGTAATTATCCATTTCATGCATGGTCATAAATGAAAAGTTATCGGTAACAATGATTCAAAGATGACGTGTTTTGAGAGAACACAAGGAGAAAAGGGAAAATTTTGTGTCAGCAAAAACGCCATTTCTGTAAATAGAATCGATTTGTAGCTGTTGAGTCAGTAATCATAGGAACATGGTACAGGACTGAAACACGTTTTGGAGGTTCAATACCTTTTTTCAATAAAATTTGTAATTTCTTCAAATGGCAATACTTCGTTTCATCCATTTATTACTATGACAAATAATTGCACTATTGTGAGTTGATGGCTGTTGTACAGCAACAATATGGTCATCAAACTAGCTCTGAATTTGTGAGTTCCCGAAATGCAATGGCAACAGTTATATCTATATTAATATTTGTTTATCTTTTACTGAAAATTACACAAAAAAAATTGAGTTAATAATACTTATGATAATAGGATTAAAATAGCAACTACGGGCATTAAAAGAGTCTGTGCAATTTCCAACTCTTAAAACTTGATAGTTTTCGAAACCCTAATTTTTTAACCAGTCCAAGGAGGCTTGTGATCTCCTTTTATAACTCTGGAAACATATTTATGCAAAATATTTGCAATAATTTAGATATGACTGCACATACGTTATCACAATATTAAAGAGGACGTTTTTATTGTACATTAGAGACAAATTTAGAATTGCGCAATATTATTCGGTTCGATTCGAGAAAAATATTTGGTTCGATTCGAATCAAAAAAAGATTCGATTTTGGACAGCCCTAGTAGTGACGTAATTCTTTGATGGCGTAGTCAGATGGGGGTTAGGATTGACATATCAAAAAATGTTATGCTACGCACACTAGAAGTACGTTAGGTACGAAACTACACGAGACCCCACTGCTTCTGAATCAGCAAATAGATACTGAAATATGCAACATATTCTATTTTTTAGAGATTTCAACCATCACAGCATCAAGGTTGTGAATGTTCTTTTATTTTTTGCCTGTATTTTATCATTGTTGTTGTTGTATTACAAACTGATTGCCTGACAGCCGGAGATAAAATTCTTTTCTTCCATCATTTAATTACTGAATTAATCATTTCAACTTCACAAGCGGGAATGAATCTGGTTCTGCAATGAACCAGTGAACTGTTTAAAACTGTTTCATAAATTATATAAATAAAGCGTTACTTATGACAGTATGATGAATACAGTAGGGCACAATTCTCCAATTCTTAGTTATTCCCACCATTTGGTTCAATAAAACAAACACTCAATTTGTGTTTGAAAAGAGGGTGTCTATCGGCCGTGTCTCAGCTGTCATATGACCGAAATTGTTTTTTTTTGTTAAAACATCTCTAATGTTGCGGTAAAAAAATCTTTCCATTGGTGAATCAAATTTCCCCCCTCGAGGTATCTGGGGTTGCGTTTCCTTTCAGTTTGTTGCGCAGTGGCGGCGATTTTTGGCGGTCTGAATGCAGCCACAGACTGTCTCGTAAAGTGGGGGTTTGCAATCACTGTTATAATTGATGTATTTTATTGTGGCGGTTGTTCTTGGAATCGAAGAACTGTGCCTACTGACAGACTGAAATATAAGCAACCTATTTTTATTGCTGTACTTAACAATGTGTTTGTACTGATAAAATTTCTGTTATACAGATATAGGCTTTTTGTCGACTTACATTCCACAACAGAGTAAGAATATAAAACACTGCGTATTCATGTTTCTATGCCCAATTATGGAATTACTACAATAACATGCCTGGATATATCTGTGAAGGAGACAATGGGTTTAACTGCTTACCGTAATTATTTCTTTTTTAGATCTTAAAGAAAAGTCCAAGCAGACAGGCACTTGACGATCTTGATACCAATGTTGATGTAACAGAATACACAAGGGTAATCATCAAATCATTCGCCTTTTTCAGTTTTTATTCACTAGATCAGTAGATCTCTGGTTGAAACCATAGATGTCTAAAATCGCCAATGTCACTACAGGGCTATAGCCTATAACCATACGAATGCTGTCCATGAAAATCCCGTTTTCAAGTTTCATACAACTGTACAAGTAAATTAATATTTCTTATCCAAACATTCTTGCAGTAAAATCGTGACCCAGTGGGAAGGATATAGAACAGGGTGGTCCAAACTGTGAACCCGCGGGCCATATGTGGCCTGCCGCTTTATTATCTGTGGCCCGTGTCACAGTCGGAGAGTAATCAAAAAATCGCATTTTGTGTTGTTGTCGTAATAAAATTATTCAGAAATTTTTTTTGACATATTGTTACATCACTAATGTCACTGAATTGACTAGTGTTATGGCTAGCCAAGGCAAATAGCAAAGTTGAATGATGTGCTTGGCAGTCTAAATTATTATCTGGCTTTCTATCTTTTTGGTCGGGAAAATATGCTAACAAAATAGGCATCATAGAAAACTAAATATCGAATGCGGATTCTATTAGCCTGGGATGGCTATGTCTAATAACTATTTGTTTGCACAATAAAAGTGTTTGTTTTATATTGCGCTGTTCACTTGTTCTTGGCACTATTGTGGCCCGCGAACAATGCAAAAATAATTTTGTGGCCCGCGAAGCCGACAACCTTGGACCACCCTGATATAGAATAAAATTACATGGATGGGTTTTTTATACTTACCCTGAGGAAGTGAAAAATCAACAAGATTAATGATGCATCAATAACTATGATCCAGTTAACAGTCCATGTTTGGCATCAGGGTATTGCAATACTTAACCAGGACTTTTTCGCCGGGGAAAATGTAGCGCAGCGCTTCCCCGACTTCAATGCTTGTGACCTCTTTCAATATATTAAAATTCCGCCACCCCCATTAAGTCTGTATTGTTATGCAAGCGCGTCTTCTCTGATTGTATGTATTATTTTGAATGTGTGAGATTTTTGTTTTGCACTAGTTTTAATAATTGTGTTTTGAATCAAAAGTTTAAAAATAGTACTTTCTGTGAATTTTGTGTACTCGTTGAGACCCTAAAATTTGTTGCGTGCCCCCCTTGTGTGTTTTGAACGGAAAGTACAGCAATCTTCTTTCACCTATTTATTCCCCGAAAGAATTCAAACCTACACTGGGTACTCAGAAACTGTGGAATATTATTAATATTAATTTAGTACTAATGTAAACCAGACTAGATTTCTATTCATTATAAACAGAACATTATTATAAAGGTCTATGATAAATACAGTAGCGCACAATTATTCGATTCCAAGATGTCCTGACATTCCATTCAATAAAACAAACATCCAAATTTGTCTCTGAAACGAGGGCGTCTGCCGCAACGGCAGATGCGTCAGATTGCTCCGCACTTGTCTCAATAATAATCTAAATTAATCGTGACGTGTATTGGCCTTCACATTGATAAATGTCTATTTCTCTATTTCAGTTTGATAATGTCACTAACACACAGACGAAATATTCCAAACGAGTGAGTTTTGCTGACACAAATCAGATTAAGTAAGTAAATTATTCTAAGTTCAAGAAGTATTCAAATATTATGTTATTTAATTACAATGCAATTTTTTATTTTACTCAAAATCCTGCTCCCAACAGAAGGCTTCTTCTGAGTGAAAGACGTATACCGGTAAATTGTTACGTCAAAAAATATATCTTGAGAACCAAGTCCAATTATTGCCAATGCTTAACTGATAGCTTATTAAGCTCAATAGTCATGTATATTCACTAATTGTTGCTATCTGAAGTACAAAGCCGTCCTAATCTGGAAATCAGAACTGAGATGAATAAATTCAAAAATCATAATATGTGTATGATAAATCCTTAATTTTAGTAAAAAAATTTAGAATATTTGAATATAAAATTTGTCATTCCGAGCGTAATAGGGTGTTATTCAGTTTTGGCTATTCCAAACATCGGCGCTCCAGAAGTATGTGTACCTATATGGCGGTAACTAATTTTGTTCGCCCACTTTACATCTAGTTGTGTGAATTGACAAAAGCCTTTAGGCAGGGGGTATATTCAACTGGCTAACACAGACAGTCCCCGAACTCGAAATTAAACTAAAAGGAAGAAAATCAGAATAAAATTATGGCCTAACTCTAACCTAGTACACACACTACAGGGGACCATATCTTGCACCAAGATGTTGCATGGACTCTCATTGTAAGCCTCACAACAAGCAGATAATAGCCAATAATTCATGTGGAAATTTAGTCAGGGTATAGGTTTTTATCGTACAGTATTTCTAATTCGTTAATCTTCTATTCAGAGAAATATTCCGTGTCGCTGACATTGCAAAAGACTGGCACGATTCCTCTGCGTCTGATAATAGTAAGTACATTGATTGCATGACTGTTGTTAGCAGCAAAATTCAAATTTTCTAACATAATTAATTAACTTCGAGGCTGAATAAAAAAAAATTTCAGTTTTAAATTTTCAGTTTTATGTATGTCTGTTGAAAGCACGGTACCAAGCTCTCAACTACAAAGAAAGTGTGCCTGATAGGAAAGTTTAATAAAGTGACACTTTTTTTGACACAAATTTTTCAATATTTTGATTTATGGCTGGTTCAAAGTCTGAATAAACCTTATCCCAAGCAGTTAGAGCGCATATCCCACAGAGCATGGCGCTTTGGCAGAATCTCATGGTCTAGTGAGAATGACGTCATCGGTATCACCGCGCTCATTAAAATTTTAATGAACGATTATCAAAAATCTTGACCATGTTTATCATGATAAAAATATCAAGAAAGATGTAAAAAATATTCTATCCTCAAAACGGCTCACGTATACAATGAAAGATATCTAGAAAATTACAAAAAATGCAAATTTCTGCTCTGGTGATCACGTTCCCCATAAGAGCTAATGTTAAAACTGTTTTTTTTTACATCACTTTTTTTTTGCGCGTAGGATGGGTTTTTAATGAATAAGGTCTATTTTTGGTCACTCAGGTTGTAATAATTCAGGTAGGCCATAATGGAAAAATTCCAAACTAGTGGTTCTCAAACTTTCAAGTCTTGCGCCCTACCTCAAAAATAAGTAGCTAATCATAAGAGACAAATAACAGATAGTAAGACGAAAGTATGTTTTATTCAAAAAAACATGTTGGAAATACTTGGATGGAACGTAAATAATAAAAATAATTGAAATGTTTTAAAAACAAACAATGCGGGCAGAATCAAATTTAACACATATTTTTATTCCTAATTAGCTTCATGCCCCCCCATTTGAGAACGATTGTTCCAAACTGAAGTGAATCTTTGCCTAACAGGGTGTAGATCATTGTGATTGGCAAGCAGATGAAACTATATGATCAAGCCATCTTATCAACTTTCCTCCCCCCCTTGATAAATATAAAAATATTATCTCAGGTCTTTCCAAGTTGCATGATCCGAGTAACCTCACTACACCTTTGATAAAAAAGTCCCGCGACCTGCCAACATCTGCAGACGGAGGAAGCAAAGATATAGAGAACTTAATGAAAGGTCCAATTGTTGGACAAGAAAAGGGATCAAACAAGGTATTTTATTTTTGTCATGTCTTTATGCTTGGAATTTAGCACATCATTCTAAGCTAGAGGTGGGAAACCACGGCCCGTAAGCCAAATCCGTCGTATTGGCGGGAGAGTAGAAAAACGCATTTAGTGTTGTTTCGTCATAAAAATAATTTTTTCGCGAGTTTTAGTAGGTTTTTAGCATGATTTAGCTTGATAAATGACAAATAACAAAGAGAGTTTGTTTTGTATTGCACTGTTTACCTATTCTTGACACTGTTGTGGCCCGCGAACAAAATGAAAATAATAGTGTGGCCCGCGAGGCCGACAACCTCGGACCACCCAGTGTTAAATAATTCAATCTCGCTCGCCTGATGCTGACACAACCAAACTAATACCAAATTTTGATGTTTCAACTAAAAAAAAAATATCAAGGAATTTTTTAGGATTGCGTTAAAATTTAGTTTTGGCACAAGGCTTATTGTTACTTATCGATTTTAATCGGTAAGTATGTTGATAGGTATTTGTCTGTTAGATGGACACGATATCTCACGAAAGCGAGAATAAATCTGCTCCAGATTTTGCATGTGCATTTATCATATGTCGGACCAGAAGCCTATTGATTTTGAATAAATTATATCGTATAATTAGCGAGTTATTAATTAATTAGTGATGGGACACAAGGTGTCACTATGGAGTAGGAGCACTGTTTTGGGGGATCCCCTAACTTTCGATCGATAAGTCTTCTGTCTCTGACCGATATTCTCGTTTTCCACTTTGCTTTTGTAACACTTCTGTTCATAAAATGTAACTTCAACGTCCCACTTACATGGTCCGCCAGTCTAAGTGGCCAACATGTATGCCATTGCACCTCCAATTACTCTGATTGTGATCAGGTTTGCAGGTTCAAATCCCATGAGTGGTAATTTTGTGCAAGAGTCCTGCTAAACTCTTATGGGGGAGTTCATGTAACCAATAGTCCCCCACCATTAGGTCCATGCATTCTATTCCCGAATCGGTACTCCCAAAGTATGTGAACCAAGATTGCGAACACCGGAATGTAGTATGTGTACCAGGTTAGGATTAGATCATAATTTTATTCCAATTTTTCTTATTGTAGTTCTATTACGAGTTCATGGACTAGCCAAGTGACTCCCGTAGTATTTGTACCTGAAATTACAATGCCTAACCCTAACGTGGTCAACATACTACGTTCCGGTGTCCGCCATCTTGGTTGACATATTTCGAGCGTACCCCAAATCTAACATGGAATGGTGAGTGACAAGACACCATGGTGCGCCTATATGATTAAGCCATCATATCAACTTTCCTGGAGATAAATATGAAAATTCCGCCACTATGAATGAGCAGTGCTTATTAATAACTACACTTCAAAAGGTCATTTTTCTTGTCTGGTTTTTCTGGTACCTTTGAAGGGTACTGACCATGGCTCTATGCAAATAGGTACTAGCTTTGTTTTAGAAAGCCTGGTATCTCTCTATTTTGCCATGCAGCCTGCTCAACTTATTGAAAAATTAGGTGAGGAGAAGAACATGGAATTCAAAAAATAATTAGATAGTTTGGAGCTGGAGCCACTGAAAGTTTTTTTCATAATGGTAAGCTTAGCTTCGATAACAAAACTTCATGAGTCCAAAGTACAGCTGCAGCTCTGGTACCCAAGCCCTTGTGGCATCTGAATATCCCGACTTAATTTTGTTTTTCCATTTCCAGCTTAATGAAACGTCAGAATCCTGTGTAATGGACATGACAAATATCAGTGATGTCGGAATAAGAATCATTGAAACAGGCAATGAAGCGAAACCTGACGTTCCGCAAAAGTTACCTTTCAACCCAGGGTTTTCGTTTTTTGATAATTCGAAATTAGATTTTGGTCAGACGTCTTCGAAATCTCTTGAAGATAAAGAGAACATAAGAGTTGAAATATCAACAGAATCTGAAGGTTACTACACAAAAGATTTTCTTAAATCACTGCAATTGATAGAAACGAAGCCAGACGAAAAAACAAAACCTAACGCTGAAGAAAATGTGACGCGTCCGCACATAAATCCGCCTTCTTACGCCATGTGTCTTGCTGGTGTGGCAGGAAGGAGATCCATATTGGCTACCCCTTTGGAAACATCGAAAAACGAAAATGACGCTTCAATGCCGGAACAAGTTACATCAGATTCTAAAATTGTAAAATCTAACCCAAATGTGCCGATGGACTTCATGTCCGCTGACGAAGATTTGAGTTTTACGTGTGTCGATCCCAAAAAAACAGAATTTGGTCGAAACGACTTAATGAATAACATGCCTGCTCATGATACTACGAGTGGCGAAGATCTAAGTTTCACTTGTGTTTATCCGGGGAGAGTAGCATCGTCACAAGATAAATTAACGGAAAACATGACTATCCTGGATCCCTCCAGTGGTGATGATTTAAGTTTTACTTGCGTGAATCCAGGGAATTTACAATCTACAAAAATTGAACAAGAAAAGGACTCTTCAATCTTGGAACCACCCAGTGGTAACGATTTGAGTTTTACATGTATGGATCCAGTAAAAGCACAAGATAAAACTCGGAATGATGCGTATCCCTTGGATTCCTCTAGTGGAGAAGATCTTAGTTTCACTTGTGTGAACCCTACGGTTGCAACGGCTATGTCTAACGCAAAAGTATCTAACACAGATGCAATGGATTTTACTTGCACGACACCAGGCATCTTTAACGCGGAGACGGATTCATCTGAAAATGATGACATTTTTGTGCCAGACAATCAACCTTCTTGCTCAAATCCTGATGAAAAAACGCGCTGTTTCGTTTTCGGTTCGGACGAGATGGACATCACTAGAACAGCAGATAAAACTATAGATTGTGGCAAAGAGGACATCCTAGTTCCTGATACTCAACCAATGAGTGGTCTCGATAATGACCCCACAAACGAGGAGATTCTAGTTCCTGAATCCCAGCCAATGAGTGGTCCTGAGAATGACCTCTCAAATGAGGAAATCCTAATTCCTGATACCCAGCCAATGAGTGGTCTCGATAATGACCCTATAAATATAGTTGGAAGTGGGGATATTGTAAACGAAACAGTTATGGAAATTGGGGCTGAAGATCTCTCCCCTGAACCTATTGTCGAAGGAGGTATAGGCAGTAATGGAGGCCCAAATGATCTAAATAACAAAGACATTCCGGACACACAAATAGAAACTATCCAAAATGGATTCAAAGCAGACTCAGCTTCAGAGACGTTACCTCAAATTCGAATTGGCTCTGATACCCCACCGAGTGATGAAACTGAGGATATTGACGTTTGGGAAACATCGGCTTTTAAACGAAAAATGGCTCGAGCAAGAAATTCTATCGGATTATACAAAGCGAGACAGGAGCGAGAAAATTTACTGAAAGAGAGTTTGTCTGAAATGAAAAGCCCCCCTGAAGCTATGGAAGTATTGCAAGAAAAGATTATTTCTCACCCTACTCTTATAGTGGAAGATACAGATTTGGGTGTAAATTCAAACCCTGTATTTAACGGACCAACGATTCCAGTTATAATTGTCCCTGAAACACCAAGTTTTTCAGAGAACGAAACCAACCAAGAATTGCCTGTCGTGAACTCATCAAATTTAGGAACTCAGAAAACTGCTATAAAAAGGCGTCAAAATACAAGTATTTTCTCAAGTGCGAATACAGAAAAATCGTCTCCTAATTTAGAAGCAACCAGACCTCATACTGGCTCAGTAATAAATCCAGTTGTTCCTTCGAAAGTTCCAAGAATTTGTACAGAAGAAATAGGAAGTGATTCAAATATAAAAGGAATAGAAAAAAGCAAAGCTGGTAACTCTGGGAAAGAGATAAGCAAGGAAAACTGGCTGGGAGTTGGAAACATTCAAACTGGCATGAATTCAAGTACCCTAAGTCAAGATTCAGTCCAATTACGGTGAGTCTTACTTGTTCTAAGTTAGGATTTACATGTTTATCCCAAGGTAGAGGGAACGGTGCTCCCGAAGTATGCGAACCAAGATGGCGGACATCGGAGCGTAACAGGTTAGGGTTAGGCGATAATTTTTTTCCAATTTTCCCTATTTTAGTCCTATTATCAGTTCGAAGACTAGCCAAGAGCCCCCCGTAGTATTTATAGCTAAAATTATGGCCTAACCCTAACCTAGTACACATATTACATTCCGATGTCCGCCATCTTGGTTCGCATACTTCGGGAGCCCCGAGGGAACTCATTTTTATTACCTGCCTGAATCAAGAATCTGACTCATTGTACAATAAAACCTTTTTTTTTTCCAAAAATTTCATCCTCCAACTCATATTTTTATTTAAAATTTGTCTTCTTACTTGCTAGTTGTTTCGATCTAATTTGAAAATAAGAAATCTCAGAGCCCTCTCTTTTAAAATTCCTGGCTATCCCCCTGAATCAAGAATCTGAATATCACTGTTTTGTGAGACCCGGGATTTTTTCGAAATTTTTCATGCTTTCAACTCAGATTTTTATTTAATAAAATTTGTCTTACAGAATTGCAACTGCACTAGACAAGTCAATAATGGAAGAGATCAACCGGAACCAGATGCAGAAAAAGGTGAATATTGCTTTGCTCTATTAGACTTTCATGTGAATACTGATTTATCCCGGATAGATATGACTTGGATATGGTCTGTGCAATTGGCGCACAATTAACCTTCACAGGCTCGATCTCTCTGGATTGCATAAATCTTTGTCATTGCAGTGTGGTTCACTCGACTGCTGGTGGATTAAGATTTTCTCCGTTGTCAAAGTCTGTGCATATGAAATAGTTTACTTGTTTAAGACCATCCACGCTGTCAACCCAAACTGATTACCAGGTTGGCATATGATACTTTTGACAATTTGGTATTTTGATTAGAAAATGTGTAATTCCGGCCATCTAGGCCAGGGTTGGGCAATCCCTGGCACGCGAGCGGGCCTCGGAAACGAGATCATTCTCTTCAACATAAAAATATTCCAAGACAAGAATGATCTGACGAAACTCGGTGTTTGTTTATTCATTATTGTTTGTTAACAATTCGGTATTTAAACTCTTTTTTATCCCTTCATGACATATGGCTACAAAGAAATATATTATGACGTAACAACTGAGTGAGCTCTCGACAATTTTGGTCGGCAAGCGGAAGAATTTTAGTAATAAATTAGCCGATTCTGGCACGCGAACTGAAAACGGTTGCCCATCTCTGATCTAGGCCAATAAGACCCAGACCTGTTGTCCAATAAAAAACTAATCAGGACAGGAGCGTACTCATGGGGTTTGCTGGAGCCCCACCTTTTAAAATGTAAAAAGGCATCTTCCTATTTATACATAGTAATTTTTTGTAGTTTGAAACACTTTTTTAGACCCAAAAATGTCTTAAAAACCCATGTTTTTCGGACGAATTGTAACTTGAGATACTTTTTAGACCGTCAGTCTTTGGAAAGCATGCTAGCTGTTATCTAACTTGGCAAAGCCATCGTCCCCCTTTGAAAATTAGTGGCTACCCCCTAAATCAGGAAACGAATCATCGCTAATAAAAAGAGCCACATGCCGAAATTTCATCTCTGATAAACCTAACCTGCCTTTTTTTTATCGCAGGACCAGAACATCACGGTTGACGAATTTCTACAGGACTATGCCAACATTAACATTAAAAACCTAAGGGTATGGTATCTATATATACGCAAGATAAAGTATCACTTGATACCTGTTTTTGGTTATTAACCCTTTTTTTCCGATAGACTAATATACGAATTGCGGTACCTGCTGCTGCCGCATTTTTGTATCCAACCGTTTACTATTTATGGTTATAATGCGAGTCTTAATTTATTAAAATTATTTATTATTAAAATATCAGTATCCAGGGATCACATAAATTTTAATCAGTTCAAGGCAAAAAAAATATTTTCAAAATTTTTAACTTTCATTGTCTTGAGAAAATGGTATCAAATAAAATCCAATAATAGTACAAAGGGCGCTCAAGAAGTGTGTGTACCAATATAAAAATAATTAATTTTGTTTGCCTACTTTACATCAAGTTGCATAAAGGGACTGAAACCTATGAGCAGAAAATTATTCACTTGGCTAACACAGACAGTCCCGAACTCGTAATAGAACTAAAATAAGAAAAATTGGAATCAAATTATGGCCTGACCCCAACCTGGTACACATACTACGGGTGTACCAGACAAAGATAGTCCTACATTTAGGCTACAATTTTGCTTTTTTAATTTTCATCATGCAATGTGGCGGGGAATTCCCACTATTCAAATACCTAACTAAAAAATAGAATAGGATTCGGTATTCTGGATTCGATTTAAGTATTCTAGAATAGTAAATTATTCTACACTGCCCATCTCTAGTCATATGACCAATTCAACCATTTCTCAAGAATAGCTCTTCAATTTTTACCCGTTAATGCATCTAATTTCCTACAGAGAGCAAGACAAAGTATTGTTGTGCCATCGTCCGCAACTGAGCAGCCGAAAGGATTAAAGGAAATGTTCAAAGCTGTAAATTGGACCGGAAAAGAAGTCGCCATTAATGAATGTTTCGTGAATGAATTGAAGAAAAAAATAGAATGGTATGTTGAGGTTCTTCTTTGTGTATATATATTTTTTTCTTGCTCTGAACAGAGTGTTGTGAGAGCGGCAACTGATATATGAGTACCGGTAGCTACTAAATTTGGGAGAACCCCCTTTTGACATTTTTGTAAGAATGAAAAAGGTATAATAATGTGTGCTTGTATTTTGTTAAAATCGCTGATTGTTTTTGTCAGTGTGATCTGTTATTCAGGCCGTAAAAAACATCTTCATTTTGGTGTTTGTTCTCCCTAAATCACAAATTTCTCTTCACATATGTCTGGTGCCACGAAGAGGTCCATAATTACTATGGTACGGTGTGTTTTGATTTTTGTTTGTGTATATTTTTTTATTAATTTATTCGCATGAAAAAAATGGAATCATTCCGGGGGGCCTATATGGAAGATTGGCTCATTATATGCGTAAATATACCTACACAGTAATAAAAAGTGGATTAGATCGAGTTGCCAATGAAAAGATTTTGATTCTTCCAAAAATAGTAGTCTTTTATACTGCACTATCTTTCAGGTTGGAAGGAGATATTGCTAAAATTGAGGAAGAAATGAATAAAAACAATCCAGAGATTTTCAACAAAGTTCGAATCGGAGGAGACGAAAGTGAGGAACTCTGTGAGAAGCTGCAGAAAATGTTCTCATGTTGCAAAATGTTGGGAAAGGTACATGATAGAATTAGGGCTTTTGTTGGAGCGGGAGACTAGCTTAACATATATAGACTCAGCTATGGACAAAACCGAATATTTTACTTTTCTGAATACATTATAAAAAAAAATTATTTTCGAATATGGAATATCGAATACATTTTAAATTGGGCTGAACAGGCTGATTCCCACCACTGGTTGAGATATTGTACGTTTCAATCGACTTGTCTTATGACGCAAGATCTCTAGTTTTTAAATAAAAATATTTGAAATCATTCCTAAATGCTCCATATCAAATATATTTATACCCGTATTCCAATATTCGGTTTCTTATGGACATCCCTGCTTCTAACCATCTTGAAGTTTTTTAAATTTCAAAGGTATCATATTGATGCAATTATTAATAGTTTGTTGGCTTCTACACTTGCACTAAATGAAACCTGGTTAAGATATATTGAGAACTGACTACATACCAAAATTGAAATTGTGAAGGGACTTTAGGAACACTGTTTATAATTAATATTATTTTGTTTCCAAGGCATATTGGAAGAGAGATGCTTGCAAACTGTACAAAGGATTACATCAAGCTTCGAAACAATATTTAGAAGAAGATTTAACGCCTGTGACTTCTAAGTTAGGATTGCCGCAAGATTTAATAGACGCGGCACTGAAGGAGATAGAAGAAGGTACGGTCTTTTATTTTTTAACGTAGAATAGGATTCACACTTTTATCCCGGGAGAAGCCGAGGAGACAGCTCAATCATATGTAGAACAACAGCATACTTGGAAGATGTTAATAAGCTTATACAACGACGTAATTCTAAGTAACTTTTTCATTGTCGTCCATATACATAAATTAATGAAAACATTGACTCACTGCAGATTCTTCAAGTTTTTCCTTCTACATTAAAGCCCTCTTCACTCAGAGAGATCATCTTATATACATATTCATAAAATCTGCCCATGCTAAATTATTTTATCATTTTTACTAGCAAACAAAAACCTGGATGAAATGATTGAAAATTACGAAAGCAGAGAAAAACCTCCAGCAGAGGAACAAGCTAATTTGTATGAAGAAAACCAAACGAAGCTTGATGAATTGGAGAAAGGTATAGTTTCAAATTGTATTAAATATATATCGTAATGATGATTCCCATTTTTTGCACAAGCACCACTAACTAGGAATCCCGGAGTTTTTAAACGAGGGGGGGGGGGGTGTCACAGTCACTGCTCGATAACCGGTTTTGGTTCCCCACGACTCTCCTTCTCCGGTAAAACTTTGTAGATAATCATTTCCTCGTAATTTGTGCTTGTGATATTTTTTTTCACTGGTTGGAAAAAATAAACTTGACTCTACAAATTTGGCTTGTTTCTGAAATTTCTGAATTTTAAATAATATGGTGTTAGTGTTTCTGTATCTTTTGCTTTAAACATTGCGTTGCACACGCAGCAATTTCTAGGCAGGGTCACAGCCAGGAATATTTAATAAGGGGGGGTGAAACTTCTAATTCTGAGATAGACCGAAACAGCCAGCTGGTTTTCAAGAGTGTTCAGGCATGTGACTCAAACCAGAGATTTTAACTTGCGATGACAGCATGGTGAAGTTTACCAGTGGTTCCCAATCTATTTATGGTTCGTACTTCGTAGCCACCTTTTGGAGGCTTTTATCACCTAATGCCCCCTTATTATCCCAGTGGTATTCTGACTGGTAGATTCCAAATTCCATTATGTTCAAACAATTCATGATCTACGAATTGGAAAACCAGATGTTTTCTTGTCAAGTGAAAAGTAAAATCAGTTTTAAGCCAAGCATTGTGGCCCCCCCTCCCCTTAACTGCTTTGGGACGACAAATTTTCGGCGTTGTGAACTGCTGGTCTAGACCATCTTGCCCGCGATTGGTCTTTTTTACTAGCTGAAAAAAATAAACTTGACTTGCCTTTATTCAGAGCATGAGGAACTCCAGAATTGGAAGCTGACATCCACCAAAGAAAAATCAGAAAGACAAGAAAGGAGACAAAAATTGATAAACAGGATTTTAAAGGTATGTGGTCATGTTTACATTACATTTACATGTGTGAAATGCTATTTTAGATAATGTTCGGGGTTCACAATTGCCTACCCAGCGATTCCTAAACTTTCAGGGAAAAAACTCATGCGCACCCACGCGAACAAAAAATTGTTGTCTCTGAATTCCTGATCGTTTATGTGTACTTTATGTCTATTGTAAAATGTAAAATTGTAAACATGTAGGTTTAAGGAATAAAGGAAAAAGTCAATTCTTATTTCTGCCTGATTTTCTTTTGAGATACTAAAAAATCGGACCTCCTGAAGTATGCGCACCAAGATGGCGCACAACCTGAAATCAGATTGTGTAACAGGTGAGGGTTCAGGTTGTGTGACATCTTGGTGCGCATACTTCAGGAGCACCATTAACTGAAAATAATTAGATGGTTTGGAGCACGTGCCACTAAAATTTCTGGCAGCTCCATTGAGCAAGGCTTCATTCAGCTCAACCAAAAATGTAACGGCACCAGGCTTCCTCTGGTTGTGTGTAGGATTCAGATCAGGGCGCTCCTGAATTATGCGTACCGAGATGCCATACACTGGAACGTAGTATGTGTACCAGGTTAAGGTTCAGGTACAAATACTACGGTAATCACTTGGCTAGTTTCCGAATTTGTAATAGAACTAAAATAAGGAAAATTTGAATAAAATTATGGCCTGACCCTAACATGATACACATACTATGTTCCGGTGTATATTTTCTTTACAGGGGAATAATGAAGAAAACGAGAGAAGGAAGAAGCATAAAGAAGTAACTGAAGCCCTAAAATCATGGCGAAGGTATGTTTTAGCCTTATAAGCAGGGATTCCATAGATCTGGAACCCAAAATAAGAACTGGAAAAATTTCTGAATTGTGAGTAGGAATAGCTGGCTTTCCTATGGCTCCAGGTTAATGTCACAATTACAGACGTCACAGTGTGCAAAGCACTCACCCTTCAAGCTCCGTTTAACTTTGAATTCTTTCCCGTACTCATTACGAAAAACGTTCTTACGTTTGCTCATTTTTAAATTTACGCTAAATTAACCATCACCACGACAAAACCTAAGGATCGCCACACTAACAATAAGGACACACAAGCTAAAAATAAGCAAAAAAATAAGGACAAACCTTAGAAATGAGGACGGTATGGAATCCCTGCTTATAAGTTATAAACCAGCTTGCTGATCTGAGATCATTTTCACCTGTCAGGGGTGTAGCCAGAGGGGTGGTTTGGATAGAATAGGATTTACATATTTATCCTGGAGGAGAGGAAAGCCGATAAGACGGCTTAACCATATGGCGAACCGCGGCCTCTCGTCCGGTTACCAGTCCAGGTCGGGTATGGAATTAGTTAGCCAGTTATTTGTTTTCGGAAGCATGGACTTGATGGTGGAGGAAGCCGTAACCGACCAGCGGTTACGTGAACCACCCTACAGCGGCAAGGAGTCCAGCAATCCTCTCGCACATGATCATCCCCGCATGGGATTCGAACCTACAAACCCACGAAGGGTAATCAGAGATGCGGTGGCAAGCGTATTCCTAACGCTCAGCACGATGCGCCACACTGCCGAGCCAATGTGGTTTTGGGGGTCGGAAATTCCCCCCTTTAAATGTTAAAAGCATCTTCCCGTCTCATAAATATTAATTTTTTGTATCTTGAAACGCTTTTTAGGCCCTCATGACTTTTGACAACACAAGTTTTCTGGCGTTCGGCTCGCAAGCTGTTTCGATCTAACTTGGCAAATAAAAATTTTATTCATTTCATAACTCAAAATAATATGGTGCCTAGTACCTAGTGAAAGTTTTTGCTAGTGACCTCATTTTGGGGAATCCTGTTAAACATTAATATTCGATTATTATCATATTTGCTTCAAGCTTCAATTATATTCCAGGTACTGTCAGTGGAGGATAAAAATTCACTCAGAGAGGAAATTGGAATTCAGCTTTCTTTATAGATCATTATCTCTAACTGTTGAATTTGAAAATGAAGTTGGGAAATTTGAAGCCGGGAATAAAGTTGTTTCTTATTTGCTGAAAACCAATACATTGCCAGGTATGTGCAAACATTCAAAGGAACATAGGAAAGTATTTAATATGCAGTATAACCCAGCCTTGGACAAAGTAGGGCCCGCGGGCCAAATCCGGCCCGTTTGGTAATTCAATTTGTCCCGCCTAATGCTGCCACAACCAAACTAAAACCAAATTTTGATGATTTAGCTGGAAATAGCTCAAGGAATTTGTTGAGATTGCGATTAAATTTAGTTTTGGCAAGAGTCTTATTGTTTTCCACTGTTGCTTTTGTAACACTGTAAATATTGTTGATGAAATGTAAGTTTTTACGTCACACTTACATGGCCCGCCAGTCTAGGTGGGCAAAATTTTTGGCCCCTGGTTCAAAAAACTTGCCAATCTCTGGTATAAACCTCTACTTACGAAATTAATTCATTCCATAAGAAGAATATATATACGCATTTTACCCAATAAATACCTAAGTCTGCTTCAACCCTCACAAAACTCGGACATAATATTTATATACCGTATATGCTCGTTTTAAGGGCCCGTTGGAATAGCCGCCTGTGTGAACAGAACATAAAAATAAATAAGGGCCGGTGCTTGAATACCCGCCCGATCTAAAAGCTCATTTTTCAGTGGTAGAGAACAATGGGAAATAGATAACATGGTAGATAACACTCACGCCTTAGGTGTCCAATCACATAACAAGTAGCATTGATTACGTAACACCGTGGTTCTCAAACTGGGCGTCGCGACTCCCAAGTGCGTCGTTTCAATATTGATAGGGCGTCACAAAACTTTTCTTCTTTTGCGGATACCGTAATTTTTGTGTATAATTTTACTTTAAAAATAACAAGCGCCCGTGCTTGAATAAGTGCCCGTTTGAATAAGGGCCCGGTTAGGGAGTTTTGTTAAAATATATGGGCCCAGGCTACAAAGCGAGCAAATACGGTAAAATATGAAAATGGTTGAAATCTGTAACAAATACATGTTAGAATTAGATTACTACATAATAAATAGAAAAAGTACAAATGGAAAAAAGAAAGATATGAAAAAATATGGGATAAAAACTACGAACGCTAAAACTTGTCGTTCACTGAATTTTGCGAGCAACTGAAACTTAGTGAGACGCATTGTACGTGACCGCAGGAACAAACGGGCCAATGAGATGGCCGTAAGTTGCTGGGCGTCAGTCAATGGCAGCGCAACACTGGTGCTTAAATGGCCGGCAGCTCTTTTTTAAATTTTCGATTTTCAGCCTTTCGTATTCAGATGCATCTTTCTTTGTTCAGTATAACACTTCTACAAAAAGACTTTGCGAACTTGGAAATTCCATATTCGGTGTCTTTCGTTAATAAAAGTTCTATTGTATATCTAATATTTATTTATCCATGTCTGATTATCTTATTTTCAGGAAACGTAATTCGATCAGAAGTAGAAAATTTTAAAATGTATCACAAGTTCTTCAAAAACTGTATCGATTTTTCTCAATTGAAAGAAAAATATCCAGATTTTGCTGCTTTGAAAATGGTAAGTGTGCTATTGTGGAGGATATTGTGTATTGAACTGTGAGTCCTTTCTCCTTGTTTACTTCCTACTTCGGATCCGTACGTGTCAGTTCTCAGTTGCCATAATGATGCTTTCCTTGATTTAGTATATTTGTAAGCTTTCGTTATTTTATAGTCGAATTCCTGCAGTCAAAACAAGATTTCGCTTAATTGAACAGCAAATAATTATTGAAACCAAAGCTTACAAATTACTTCCATGCAAAGAGATTATGTTATTTTTTTTTATGCTTAATATTTAAACTATTGCTCTAAACAAGCTATCTGTTATGGGAGTGCTACTATTGTGGCTCTCCCATTTCGATTTGCCAAAACATTGAAATTAAATACCAAACTTACAAAACTATATAAAAAAAAATAAAAAAATAAATGTTTTTGATTTTCAATTTCTATCACATCTAACGAGGCCATTACTTGTTTTTGCATGACGACGGCAAGGTTAAAGATTTATTATTCTTAAAAAAACATTGAGATCCAATCTAACGAAATGAATTTTACGAGAATATCGGTCAGAGACCGAAGACCTATCGATCGAAAATTAGGGGATCCCTCAAAACAGCGCTCTTACTCCATAGTGACACCTTGTGTCCCATCACTAATTAATTAATAACTCGCTAATTATACGACATAATTCGCTCAAAATCAATAGGCTTCTGGTCCGACATATGATGAATGCACATGCAAAATCTGGAGCAGATTTATTCTCGCTTTCGTGAGATATCGCGTGCATCTGACAGACAGATACCTATCAACATACTTACCGATTAAAATCGATAAGTAATTACGACCATGGGGGAACCATTACCTGTATGATTTGGACCCTTTACTTGAATGTGGAATTCTACATTTCTGTTATTAGCTAGTAGCCGACCTAAAAATGATCCTAAAACGGTGAATTTATATAAAAATTCATATATAAGCCGACCCTACAAATTGTAACATGCCGTACGCACCTATCACAGCAAATAGTTGCAGAAGAGAATCAATGAAAATGATAACCATTATTGTTATTACTTATCGATTTTAATCAGTAAGTATGTTGATAGGTATTTGTCTGTCTGTCTGTTAGATGCACGCGATATCTCACGAAAGCGAGCTTGAATCTGCTCCAGATTTTGCATGTGCATTCATCATATGTCGTACCAGAAGCCTATTGATTTTGGATTAATTATGTAGTATAATTAGCGAGTTAATGATTAATTAGTGATGGGACACAAGGTGTCACTATGGAGTGAGAGCGCTGTTTTGGGGGATCTCCTAACTTTCGATCGATAAGTCTACAGTCTCTGACCGATATTCTCGTATTTTACTTTTATTATCAATCATCTCAGATAAGCTCACAGATTTTATCGCTGTAATAGCGAACCAAGCGCTGCTTCGCGTGTTGGTGTGCACGCTGTTATCATGAGAACATAAGCATGGTTAGAGTTGTAGCTGTTGGAATTAGCATTATCCATGACTAGATATAAGCCATTTTGCACCAAATATGAGTCATTAAAAGGCAGTATTTAATATGTCACCAGAAAAAAAGTCAATCATATTATGCTTGTAGTTAACGTTGGTCGAGTCAATGACTGAATTTAAGCCATTTGTGTCATCGGTGGCTAAATTTAAGCCATTTCCACAACAGCATAACTTAACGGCTATATAGAAGTCAATAAAGAGCTAATGAGTATACTTGAGTCGTATATATTTATCAGTCAGTATTTATAGCCAAAAGTCACTGGCTATATTTGCGTCACTTTTCCAGGAATTTGGCTTCTTTAATAGATTTTGACTTGTCCGTATATTTTCCTAATGAACATAAAAGAAGCAAAGAATCCAATTGTGCCGGTGAGAATCCAAAATGTAAGAACGATAAGTAGTAAGTAATTTTAGTAGTAGTAGTAATTAACAATTTTACTTTATCACAGCTCCTACGACAAATGTCCATTCTCTCCTCAGCAATTGATGAATTGATAGAAGACGTTGACTGGATATCATGCCAGTTTGGATATTGTTCATGCCATGTTACTTCCGAAGATTGTTCCATTACTGTGTGGATTCGGCCAACAATGACTGGAGTTGATGGGTAATTGGCTATAAAATAAAACGAGCCAATTCTATTTGTGCAATTTAGAAAAGCAAAACAGCGTGTCCATAAAGTCTTAGAAAAAATTCAAGTTTCATTTAAATGAAGTAAAAATACTCGAACAATTACTGATTGAAAAACAACAAACTTTGTTATATTGTGAACTGACTTCATAACAAAATTAAAATTGTAAAGATACTTTATGGACATACTGTACATGGGGACACCTTGTACATTAAAAATTTGTTGAGAACAAGTCAAAATATTTTCATGTAAAACTTGTGATTTTGGTTGATCGTCAGATAACTCAGCCAGGCTGGTTTCGCTTAATTTCTGATAATTTAAAAAATACAGAATAAGTTAAAAAATGTCCGTATGGCGTATTGTTTATTTTGCATAACCGAATTCGAATTTGGCGAATATATAATGATTTACAGACAATATAATTTAAATCATATTACTTACCTTATTCTCCACGGCGCTCCAGAAGTGCATGTACCATTGGAAGCAACTAATTTTGTTCACCCATTTTACATCAAGTTGTATAAAAAGGACTGAAGCCTATTGGGCAGGTGGTATATTCACTTGACAAACACAGACAGTCCTGAACTCGTTATAGAATTGAAATATAGAAAATCGGAGTACAATTATAGCCCAACCCTAACACTACAGGAGTTTGTTCTAATCACAGTGTTTTTATTCAGTTTCAACATAAAGTTGTTCTTTACAAATCATGACTCAGCTCTGGGCGATGACTTGGTACTTTCTGTTCTTAAAAACGGATGCCAGATCTCATCTCATGAATTCATACCTGGAAGAAGACAGTTGAAACATGTTGGGTGAGTTTTGACTTTATTACTTATCGATCTTAATTGGTAAGTATATTATTAGGTATTTGTCCGTTTGTCTACATGCGATATCTCACGAAAGCGAGGTTGAATCTGCTCCAAATTTTGCATGTGCATTCATCATATCTCGGACCAGAAGCCTATTGATTTTGGATAATTTTTGTCGTATAATTAGCGAGTTATTGATTAATTAGTGATGGGACACACGGTGTCACTATGAAGTAAGAGCGGTTGAATCGAAACCGCAGACATACACACTCATACAATCATCGAGACATGATAAGGTTAGAAGTAAAAAAAAGAGAGACTTATAAGACGTGGACTTATAAGATACGCTTCCGATAAAGCCCTTGAATGATATCAGACAATGCATACGGTTAGTGACTATTTTCATGCGAATCTTCATGCCCGTCATTTCATCCAGAATCCCTGTGCTTTCGCTTTCGATGTAACTGTTCGTGTAGAGAAGCAGCTGTTAACTGGGGGTCCTTACCCCCTCAAAAGGGCCACAGATCAGTTGCTGGAGGGCCACAATGCTAGGCTCAAAGCTGATTTTATTTTTCACTTCACAATAAAATTTCCCATTCTTCCTAGTTTCATTGCTTGATAAGGTTGTTACCACGGTGTTTTCACTTTGTTGAGCATGAATTGTTTGAACATAATGGGATTCGGAATCAACCAATCAAAATTCCACTGGAATGATAAATGGGCGCTAAATGTCTCAGACAGAAGGCCACGAGCCATAAAAAGGTTCTGAACCACTGGTATAGGGCCTTGTTCATATTGAAAACGCTTAACCAGAAAATTTTATTCTGTTACAGAAAAGCTGAGGTTGCTTCTATGCTTTCATCCGTGGCACCTGGGAGACATCACCTGAAAAGATCAGTCCAAACGGTGTTGAAAGGAGCCAACAATTCAGAATGAAGTTCCAAACTCTTAAAAGTTTATTTCTGACTGCTTCAGCTTTGGTAGAGTTCAGAGAGTTTATTTTACATGAAATGAAGTCACATTGACAAAATAACTCTATTTTTGATAGTTTGGAAATGAAAATTGATGTTTCTTGTTAATTTCATTGAAAAATGAGGGTGCCCCAGGAGTGTGTGTACCAATTTTGTTCGCCTACTTCACATGAAATTGTGTAAAGAGACTGAAAACCTAGTTACTCCTGAAGTATGTGTACCAAGGTGACGGACACCGGAACGTAGTAGTATGTGTACCAGGTTAGGGTTAGGCCATAATTTTATTCCATTTTTCCTTATTTTAGTCCTATTACGAGTTCGTGGACTAGCCAAGTGACTCCCGTAGTATTTGTGCCTAAAATTATAGTCTAACTATAAATGGGTACACATACTATGTTCCTATACTATGTTCGTCATCTTGTTTTACATACTTCAGGAGCGGCAAAGCCTATGGGTATATTCACTTGGCTAGTACAGACAGTCCCGAACTTATAATAGAACTAGAATAAGGAAAATCTGAATAAAATTATGGCCTAACCTGATACACATACTACAAGAGTGCCAAAATTAGGATATGTGGTCTGGTGAAATAACTGTTCAAGCATGTTGAAAATGTAAACTCTTCAGCTTCTACATAAAGTTATATTGTCAAAAATATTCAGCTCAAATATTTTGGCTGCAAATGTTGTCAATCTACCATTCGTACAAGGTGTCAACCCCTAAATATCTTCTAATTTCCTACTCGATCAATCAAGGCATGTATTTCTATTGTATAGGATGTTTTGATAATATAATTGATACATACTTTTGTTTGTGCTAGGATCTTTAGATCTATACTAATACAAAGTAGTCATTTATGTATTCGGAGTATTTGGTAGTTTCAGCTTAGATTTACTGGGTCAGTGGTTCTGGGGACCGGGGGCCCTTGCCCCCTCCAGGGGGGCACTATGCCAGACGCAAAACGTCCCCCTTCCTAGTTTTGTGGCTCGATAAGGTCAAGTATAAATACTGCTGTAAAGATATACAAAGGGTTGATAAAAGCCTTCGAAAGGGGGACACTAGATGTAAAAGGTTGAACCCTTGTTTCAGAAACTTTCAGGTGTAATAGATGTGGGGAATCAATTCTTTCAAGGGTAGACTGAGATGAGTTAGTAAGTCTGGCAAGCCCTAACTTCTTGTCCAACAGCTCCACCCAGCGATGTTAAGAAGAGTCCAATCTCTTGGAGAAAACCCCCCTTCCTGTGTGATTCAAAGGGTAAGTAGTCACTGGGGCTAGGCATTTCGAATCGAATAGTAAATTATTCGAATCGCCACCATCTTGTTTTTTTCTTTCCGCCAATGGTCGAGTTGAATTCATGTCGCCGTCAGTCCCGACATCTCATCCAAATTAGAAAGCTTCGAAGAACGCAAAAACACGTTGGAAATAGAACAAAAAGATCGAATGTATTTGGACTGTAGAAACAGAACATTGTATAACGACTGTGGGTCGGGCCTTCTTTCAGAACGCTTTTCAAGGTAGAATATTTCGACTTCTTTTATAGGATTTACCGGAAAGTTGTTAAGACGGTTTAATCATATGGCAAACCACGGCCTCTTGTCCGTAACCTGTCCTCGCACATAACTATCCCCGAATGGGACTCGAACCTGCGAACCCACGCAGGGTGATCAGAAATGCGTGGCGAGCATATTTCTGACGCTTAGCACGATGCGCCACACCGCCGAGCCAAATTAGTTGATTTTGATGCCCGATAAAAAAGAGACTACTCTTGCATACATTCTCATAAAACTTTGAAAACAATCCTAAAATGCCATCGCACTGTGCACAGCACATAAAATCTAAATAAAAAATTTGTAATTTTATTATAAATCGACTTTTTTGTGGTATTTGCACTGGAATTTTCTACGACCCTGTGGCACTATAGTTGGATCTTTTATTAGATATTATTGTTCTTTTGTTATTGTCAAATAAATTTTAGTTTTTATTTTTTGCATCATATTTGGACTTTCCAAAATTCAATGTCTGAAATAAATAAATAAACGGGGTCGAATGTTGAAATGCAAACCATGAACCCGTTTCGCTTCACTAACGCTGCAGTTAGATAGCGCTTTTTGATTGGTGTATTAAAGGGGAATTACCTTTTCGAATTCGCTTTAAAGCAAAATATTGTGGTCGCTTTGCAGAAAGTCGTAATTTATTCGCTAACATTCTGACATTGGACTGTAATACGGATATTCGACACATTCAAGAGTGTATATTCAGGATATAATGAAGCCAAAGAGGTAATACGAATTCTGAAGGTATTACGGTACCGGTAACCTTGCCAAAATAGGTTGTACAGTCTAGTAAATTATTTTTGATTCTAATCCTGTAAACTACCCTACCTCACCATACTCAAAATTTAAAGTGTTCTAGCCTAATGATACAGCCAGACAGTGTATGCCAACTGTATTTGCATGTTGGATGGGATTTTTTATTTTAATCTTAAATACAGAAATATATATTTTTGGTGTAAAAGTTTTTTTTCTCAACTTTAATTATTTTTTCTGTTTCCAGTGGTACAACTCGACTTCCAAGACCTGAGAACAATGGAAGGAAATCTCTCATTGCAAGGTACATAATTCTTGTATATTTGGGTCTGGTCAGTATTGTATTTTCGTACTTTTTAGCACGGCACAGTTCTCGGTTCTGAGATTAATTAAACCCCACATTTAAAGACATTAATTATACCAGTGAATGCCAATCCCTCTGTTACAAGACAGTCTGGCGCCTCCATTTCGACACAAAGCCGATTTCTGGATTTTGATCAGTCGAAACGTTACAGAAATATATTTCAGTATTTGTGACAGTGTGTACTAGAACTCTCAAATTGTATGAAATAAGAAAGTTGCTAAAATTTGTGATCTGAAATATAGTTTTCTGAGAAAATTTTAAGGGACTGGAAATATTTATGTCGAGAAATAAATAAGTATTATCAGTTGGAATGATGTCACACTAACAGCATCCAAGGTTATTGTACGCTTAATACAGTACAGCACACTATCCAAATTCCAAGCGAGGTTCGTCTGGGGACACGTCAGATGCTCCATATCGCGCCATGCCTGTCTCAATAATAATCTTAATTAATCGCGGGCTTGTCAAAATATAATTACGATCGCCCGAACTGACACTATACCAGACAGTGAATGAGGCCCGATTATACCCAAGTAAAGGTATTCAACTCTGTTTCGATGAAAAGCGGGATTAAAATTTTATTAAGGTATTAGGTTAGTTCTGAACAGTATTCTCTTGCTGTTCGCTGAGCAGCATCACTTTTCTGCTTCATAAATAAGTTGTATTCAAATTTTACAGGAAATCAGGTTTGCCTCTTTCAACAACTTATGGAAGTAAAATCTCAAAACTAAAATCAAAGGAAAGGAAAGTTGTTTCTGGAATTGTTCAGAATGTTTTTCAGAATAAAGGTAATCTGATAAAAATAAGAATATAGAATAGGCTGAATCCAATCAATTCCTAATTAGCACTATCTTAAGGGCTCTCAAACTTATTTTGTGCCTGCTAAAAAACCACTCATATTTGCTGAACTCGATTCTGCAAATAAATGGATAGCAGCTTGCGAAATTGCAGCAGATATTGTCTATCTTCATTGTTACTTAACAATAGAGGCAGACGGTACGTAACAGAAAGGAAGTGACATAGAAAGGTGAAATGAATTTATTATTATATTCATATACATTTAAAATAAGAAACAATAAAACATTTATGATAAATACAATATGTAAAATATTCAATCATATTTTAGTTATGTTTAACACAATTCTGTTAATTTTCATTGCGCACCTTTGGAAACTGCTTCACTAAATAAAGATAAATGGTTAAATATTCCACCATGTACAAATATTGGCGTTTCTATTTTTCAATTGGCTTTTTCTAATCAAGAAGTATAATATATAAATATAATGTACTATAATAATTTCTTTAACAATCGACTATTTTTGTTTTTTAGCTTCCAATTCATCCAGATTGAGTTTACGTAAATCAGTGAGATTCAAAGATCCATCGAGTCAAGAAAAGGTAAGAATAAAATATTATCAGCCTTGTACAATTTATTTTAATAATAAAGTCTAACCTGACAATTAGGAATTTTAGAATTCTGCCTCTCTGAAAATTTCTGGCTACTCTCCTGAATGCCAGTAAGACTCAGTGACTGTTTATCAATGTTCTTTGACTGTTCTGAAACAAACATCATTTTTATATAGTTCAAATTTTTTTCTAAAATCCAGTCTACCAAGTGTATTATACCTGTGGAGGTGTACAGACTCTTACTATTGATCTCAGAGCGGTTCAACCATAATCTGTTATTTTTGCATTTTTGTAATGTTTTTTTGGGTTGTGGTTTCGAATTTTTCAGAGTTGAAATCAAAATTTGTTCTGGAAATCTTGAAATCATCCAAGTCGAAATATTTTCATTTGAGAAGTTCAAAGTAGATTTTTGGATCTCAACTCTAGGGATCCTTGTTCGCAGTCGTTCACTCTGTGTGTTTAACTGTAGTGTCTAAATTGTTGGGCCAATCTGAAGTTTTCTACATGGGTTATGCTGTCACCCTAGTAATGTGCGTTTCACGAAACGTTCGTATTGGTTTTTTGTTTCCATGGCATCAGCGACAATATTGAGAAATTTATGTTTTTTTGCAATTTGTCACGATTATCTCATAAACTACCTTGAAAATAAAAATGACAAGGTCGCAACCCCCCAGCAAAAGTAAATCTTCTTTCGAACGAGACATTTTTCATTTTTTCAATCCATAAACTTTGGAAACCTTAGGAATTTCAATGAATAGAATTTAATATTCGCCGCCCTAGGCTACTCACTCAAGGATACATACTAGACGTGCAGCTCTCAAAATGAACTTGGAGTTTTGGTATCCTGGTCACTCTAGTTACTAGGTGCGCTGCCATTTTTTTGTGGAATTTAACAGTTTACTGAAGTGCGGGCTAGAAGTGCAGAACAACAGAAACCCCACAGCCCTAATTAAGGGTTTCTGCCACAGTAATATGATCCATGTAAGGCGACTAAATAAATTATAATTTTATAATACAGATTACAAATTAATCTGAAATGATTTAATGTGACTATATTTGAGTGAAAAAATTAGACGAAAGCTATTACTAATACATACCGTCTTCACTTATATCATCATGAATATTTTGTATTCCAGAAATCAATATCCGAAAGGAAAACTTTACAAAGTGTAGAAAACTCACAAGTAAACATAAAGGAGATGGAAGCTGACAATTTCTCTTCACAATTTATAAATGGTATGTTTGTGGGCTTCGGGCCTCTGGCGCTGGGTATTGCGAAAACTGATCATTTTGTCACCATTTATGAGTTGAAATTTTTAAACTAGCATGTGCTAGTGATTGCCACCTGTGCCAGCTGTATTTATCAAACTATTACTGTATATCCCCACATATAAGCCGACCCACAAACCGTAACAGGTTGTACGCACCCATCACAGCAAATGGATGCAGTGCTATCAGAGTTATGCGTGTATAAGACGAGTTATGCGCTCATATGTGAGGGTATATGGTAATCTTCCAATCAAGAATATACTTGAATTGTAAAAAAAAGCAACAACTCTACCATAAAAAATGTTGGAATTCTTGCTTGCTTAGCTGTATACAGCTTGTTGTATGTCTAACTTTAAAATCTTTACCCAATAATCGTTAAATCAAAGGATAATATACTGGGCGCTCCAGAATGTACCAATATGGAGGTAACTGGTTTTGTTCGCCTATTTTTTATCAGGTTGTGTAAAGGGACGGAAGCCTATGGGTGGGGGGTATATTCACTTGGCTAACACAGACAGTCTCCGGACTCGTAATTAGGGCTGTCCAAGCGAACCAAATATTCGAAATCGAATCGCAAATTATTCGAATTGTTTTTTGGCTAATTTTCGAATCGCTAAAATTAGGTACCTGTACATAAAGCGGAAACCACCTTTACGGGATGTTTTTCATCGGGCAAGCGGCGGCGCTCTGAGCTCAGACCACTCTCGCTCCCGGCTTAATTGGTTTCCCGATATTTCTCTCGCCTTCATTTTGTGATAAACATGTCATTACTAATGCCCATCCGGTGGCACGTGATTAGCCATTTCATGCATGGTCATCATAACAAGGTATAATTGGTCATGACGTTTTTGAGAGAGAACAAGGAGAAAAAGGAGACAATTTAGAAAACGATAGTTCTATAAATAGAATCGATTTGAAGCTGTTGAGTTAGTTATCACAGGAACATGGTACAGGCAACTCAAAGCTGAAACAGGTGTTTTGGGATCCTTATGATGGCAATACCTTCTTTGAATGGAATTTGTAATTTCTTATGATGGCATTACTGTATTATCCATCTATATACCAAGACAAATAATTGCACTCTTGCATTTTGATGGCTGTTGTACACTAACAATATTATAGTCGTCAAATAATATTGTCATCAAACTAGCTTGGAAATTTTAAATGCAATTTTGAACTTTAGCAACAGTTTTATCTATATTGATGGCTGTTATTATTTTGCTGAAATTTACACAAAAAAACATAAGACTAGTGAATAGGATTAAAATAGCATTTACAGGCTTTACATGTCCTATTAAAACTGAATCCATCAAAATTGAGATTGCAATTTTTGAATAGTGCAATTTTTACTCTTAACACTCTTAACACAGTTGTCGAGACCCAAATTTTGGAGTCCTCCAATTTTTTTGACCAGTTCATACAAACGTGTGATCTCCTCTCATAAATCTGAAAACATTGTATTGCAAAATACCAGCAGTAAGTAAGATGTAACTGCACATACGTTACCACAACATCGAAGGGCAGGCGTTTATTGTATAATAGAGATAGATTTGATATTGCGCAATAATATTCGGTTCGATTCGGCGAAAATATTCGATTCGAATCAAAAAATTATTCGATTTTGGACAGCCCTACTCGTAATAGAACTAAAATAAGGAAAATCGGAATAAAATTATGGCCTAACCATAACCTGGTACACACATTACGAGAGTACCTTATACTGGAACTGGAACTTTTGATATTTTTAGATTTTGAGTTCAAATCAGATCCTGATGCTCTTGCCAGTATCTTGAATGATGAAGGAGTCAGTTCGGATTTACTGAAGAAAACTCAACTTGCAGAGGTGAATTTATTTGAGTCTTGAAGTGACTCGAGGTATCTAAATTGGATGACTCAAGATTTGACATCATTCTACTGCCACTGTCAGTGGGACTTAGCTCAGTGATTGACTCAACTCAAGATTGGGATGATTCATGACTGAACTCTTGGCAGGGGCATAGCCAGGGAAGTTCAGAACACCTATTTCATGATGTAATGAAAAAGCATTTTTCTCTGTATTATACACATCAATTTATCATAGGTTGAAACTGGTAAAGCATTGATTACTAAGTGTTCTCAGCAGACTAATAAAGGTTTGCTCATCTAAAGCATTGTTCATCAAAATTCTGGTTTCTCTGTAGAGTTATTAGCTCAAGCAAAAAAGCAAAATCTCTTCAATCTAGATTTCGAATTTTTGTCACAGGGCAAGTCAGCGGATGAATTCCTTCTGGCTGGAGGTCGACCTTCTCTTTGTAGAAGAGTTCCGATCAATAGAACATCTGATGTTCGATCTTCTATCCTTTCATCTCGTGTTAGTATGGTGCCAGGAAGAGTGGTGGCCCGAACTTCAACAACTGGTAAGTGAGATTTATTTTTGGTTAGAGCAGCCCTTAGGGGGCATAAAGCTAATCAAAAATAAAAATATTTGTTAGACTTGAGCGCACAGCTTCACAGTTTGGGAACCATTTGGGCCGAACTCATGCAAAGCTAGCTCAATTATAGCAAGTACACAACCGACTAGTGACTGATCTAGTGAGTGGTTGCTATCAAGATTATTCATAGCTGTCCTTTATTTTCGGTTCGCGACCGACTTTTATTGCCTATCCTAATGTTGCCATGCCACATCCTAGAAATGCCACTGCATGGGACCAGTGAGTTGTGATCTGTAATGCTGACATTGTTTAACCCGTCGCTTTGACCACAAGGCCACAATGTGTGTGGTTGTAACGTTAAGGAATACACTCGCCACCACACCTCTGATTACCCACAGAAGAGTGGTTCCTATGTCTTGCATAAAAGCATCATCTTTTTTATCTTAGGCCGATCATCATTCATGAATCCTCGATCAAGCGTGGTCCGACAATCAGGTGTTCGTAATTCATTGTTCACTTTTATCGAACGAAGATATTCACAGAAGCATCAAGAGGATACGATCAGACCTACAGCCCCACCTGTGAGGAATTCAATGAGAGCATCAGGTATTTCAACTATTTTTATCGAAGGTCCGCAAGCGAAACTTCAAATTTATTTGGGTCCGGGCTTTCCAGAAAATATATTTCGGCATCCTTAAACGCGCACTTCCTCGACCGACTGATGATTAGTAGCAAATTGAAATTGTTTAATATGGTGTTATAGTTCTTTTCGTATATATTCAAAACTATTAAAGTCATTTTGTAATAGGAAATTCAAAAAGTGGGGCTAATGATCCAAAATAAATAATTAGGTGCGGTCCAAATCCAATACTCGAAAGGTTCAGACCGCGGTCCGCCAGTTGAATAGCCCTGCCATAAGAGACATGGGCAAACTACGGCCTGTGTGTCAAATCCGGCCTTTTGGGTGAACTGACCCTGCAATAGAGCCTAGGCTAGAGCCAGAACTACTTGAAATTTCGATGACTACAGCTCCCAGACCACTCAAAACAGTTTTCAAATTTAGAATTTTCCAAGCCAAATTTTAAAATTTGAATGATTTATATCATGATTTTGAGTCACGCTGTTGTCAAATTGCAATTCATTGCAGTGGTCATACCAAGAACCATTAATGGCTATAAAAGAATCTTATCCCACATAATATAATGAGTAATAATTCTAAAAATTTTACGTCATTTCTACAAAATACTTTGACTCTACGTCCTTTTTGTCCTGCTGTGCGCAGTTTTTGCGTCCCTATACAATGGCATATCCTTGCTTACAATAATAATCCTTTTGTATCATTCTAGTAAAACCAAACCAGCCAAAGAAGGTTGAATTCGCAGATGAATCATCTCCAGTTGTTCAGAAGAAAACAGAAAAAGATTTGAGAATGTCATCAGTAAGTTGAGATTTATTTAATATATAAACCACCACTGAAAAAGCAACAATTTTTTCACTGAGTGAATGAAAAATCTAGCTTTGCATCACTCAATGATGCTGATTCCAAAATGTCTTTGTCGAGTTGAGACTTTTCTGATCTACAAGCATCACTGAAATCACAGTAACTGATCATTTGACTTCAGAATAGATTAATAATGATGTTTCAGGAGTGGGCAATTACTTTGCTGAGTTCCAGTTCCAGATAATAGGCTTGCTTACAGGGCCGAAGGCTCAATATTAAACTATGAATAAAAATAGTTTATTTGCAAAAAATTAGCATCTAGTGTACCAAGCGTCACAAGCGCAAGATGAAACACCTTGGTGGGCTAGTTCCAGCCCGCTGGCTGTAATTTTCCACTGTGATAGTTATTCCCTTATGGTGAAAATGGATGTTTTCTTTCAGAAGACATTGGTATCTGGTTTTGTGCCTTGTTTTGAGTGTAATTGTTAAAAACTATGCGCATCTAGGATATTATGTTTTTATATCTGATCAAAAAGAATTAAAAAATGAAGGACCGCAAAAATATCATTCCCGACATCGGGAATAGGAAAAGGGATTCAATCTTAGGATCCCAACCCAAGTTGAAATAGCTAAAGAAAAAAAGTTCTGCCAATATATACAAATATTTGCCAATGATTTAATGAACGCTAAACTTGTGCGGCCCACGTGCCAGGGTTTAGACCACCTTGTTGTAAATAACATCGTTATCCCAATACAGTCTACTTTGCGTTCAAGAATTTAATAATTTCGATCATTTTTTACTATACTCTTTCTAAGGCTCGAAGAATTCTCTCAAGTAAACCAAACCAGCAGAACATTGCTGCATCTCCAGCTTTGAGACTACCTTCGTCGCCAAACCCTTACGCTAATTCACCTGCAGTGAGAGTGAAACGATCTATAAGAAAAACTCCAGGGAAATGTAAGTTTCATGTAAGATCAGTGGGGCGTAGACAATTTTTTGGGCGGTATGTGAAGCCGATTAAAAATAAAAATATTTGTTAGATTTGATTTTTTCCGCCCTATGTTTTCATTTTGAATATTTACTTACTATCTGTTATTTGTAGCTTATTGTTAGCTAGTTATTTTTGAGCTGATGCACGAGTCTCGAGAAATTCCAAAAATTGGGCGCGGCTTAAAAAGTTTGAGAACCACTGTTTTAGATAATCACACATTGGGGGGTGTTTCAATCAAATGCATTTACCGTTTATGGACGGATTAAATGAATCTCAAACTTTTATGATCTCCATCCAAAAACACTAAACACTCTGCGCTCTTCTGCTCTTTATTTAAAAAATACAAATTTTGCTTTCAACATGTTTCCATCAGTTGTTTTTGTTTGCCTCGTTCAATAATAAATAACCAACAAACGAGAGTAAAAGAATAAAAGCATTGCACTCGAAGAAGTGCACTCGAAGAATAAATAATCAATTATTAGAGACATAATTTCAATCAAATTTTAATAAACTTTTTCAGCTTGTCTTGTGGATGATGTATTCAGAGCACCTAAGGTGAATGAAACACCAAGAGCCAATGTGAGTATTTGTTTTCCAATAAATTTCTTCCTTTTCCCATTTGAAATTCTTTATTCCTTTCTGACTATGCATTAAAGCCATTTTATTGTTCAATTTTAAAACAATCCGATGTGTGCTAGCGATATGTCAATTTGAATTTGATTGACTCTGATAACCCTAATAACAATATCATAACTACACCAAATCCGGCGCCTCCGAAGTATGTGCACCAAGATGGCGCACAAACTGAACCCTAAGCTGGTACACATACTATTTTCAGGTTGTGCGTCATCTTGGCGCACATACTTCTGGAGCTCCCCAAATCCAAAGAAATACCGGTATCTCTCTGGTTGGGGAACACCTCTTCATGTAGAGTACTGCTAACAGTTTAACTCAGGGGTCGGCAACCTTTTGTAACTCGTGGGCCAAAATTGAAGCTTGCAAGTCATTGGCGGGCCGCACATATTTTTAGAAAGTTCAAAACCGAACGGATGAACAATCACATTTTTTCACACAGATCAGAAGCTAAATTTTAAGCATCGCGCAAAAACTGACCATTTGAATATTTTCTGTGCCATTGAACCATTTGGACTCAACTTTTGGCATCAACTTTTCTGCGTTTTGCTGCCATTTGTCTAATTATATTTAAACTAAATAAACGCGTAATTGTGAATTGTATACTTGTTAGGTTGTAATATAATTTGGTTTACACGGTCCGCTCAGGTTGTTTACGACTGTTTTATTATCTACTTTAATCGTGGGTGAAATCTTCCACGAGACTCGTTTTTCGAGTTTATAAAAGGAAATGAGGCCTAAGTGGAGAAAGAAGCGCATGAGGAGATTGAAGCTTAAGCGCCGAAAGATGCGACAAAGATCCAAGTAGGCGGATGAGGAGATTGAAGCGTAAGCGCCGAAAAATGCAGTCTCAAAATGAATTCTGTTACGTAAAGAGTATAGTCGTCAAAACAGCTGTTTTGTTACTATATATCAGTGAAGCGTCACAGGCCGGATTATATTGCTGCGGGCCGTAGGTTGCCGACCCCTGGTTTAACTGCTAGCAGTCAAAGCATTAATCCTAGCCCAACTTTGTACTACAATTCAAACTCCTATGTCCACCATCCAACCCATGGTGTAATAAATTGAGTAGGAAATGCTGAAACGAAAAGATTTTGCCCTTTTTTAAAAAAAAAAAGCCCCTTACGTATCGTTAGATTTCAGTGACCACTTGTCTAGAGCCTTATTTATAGCAAAAGGTTTTAATGAGCGTGACAAATTTTTTTGTATTTATTATTTTCAGGCTGACATAGCAACAACATTGTCTTTCTCAGACGATGAAAACCAATCTCCAACGCAACCACAACCAAAAGGTCAAATGCCAAAGGTTACGAACCCCAGGAAGTCAATTTCAAGACTCAAACCAGTCGCACAAGTCAATAAACGCCAAAGTTTACAAAAGCCAACATCAACACAAATCAAGAAAGCTGGTATTCCGGCAACAAGCCCAAAAAGCAAAACAATGTCTTGCAACTATTCACGTTATTCTTCTGTAAAAATTCAGCCGCCGAAACCAAAAATAAAGGAAGAAAATATCAGAACCCTTTATGTCGAAGCAAAACTTGATAAGGGAGAAGAACTAGTCCAACCAAAAATTTTGAATGATGAGGAATATTCAACAAAAACTGAGCCGGAAAACATTCCCCAATCTCGAAGCCAACCAATACAAAAAAGCGGAAAAAATGAATTCTTAAATCCAAAAACACTCAATGATTTTGCCAAGAATTCTCAGCCTGAACCAGTGTTCAAAAAACCTGCAAAAGTCTCTTCAAAGATTCCATCGTTTGGTTTCAAAACAAAGAAAACAATGGTGGATGCAGATGACGTCCTGGAGCTTATCAATAAGAAACTAGCAACAGTGAAACGGAGAAGTGTGCAGGTAAAGAAAGATTGTTTATAACATATAGTATCTCAAATTGGATCTTCGGTTCACCTGCCTCGGAGAAGTTCTCTGGGGGCCATAAGCAAAAGCCTCCAGCTGGACCCTCCAGCACAGTGTTTCCAAAAACTCTTTTGGCTGCAACCCCTATTTTTGAATTTCAGACCCCCATCTCATATTCTATCAATTTCTGTCCTTAACCAATGAGGAATGATGATGTTTTATTTACAACACAACGACAAAAACGAGAATATCGGTCAGAGACCGAAGACTTATCAATCAAAAACTAGGGGATCCCCAAAACAGCCATTTTACTCCATAGTGACACCTTGTGTCCCATCACTAATTAATTAATAACTTGCTAATTATATGACATAATTTGCCAAAAATCAATAGGCTTCTGGTCTGAGATAAGATGAGTGCACATGCAAAATCTGGAGCAGATTCAATCTCGCTTTCGTGAGATATCATGTGCATCTAACAGACAGACAGACAAATACCTATCAACATACTTACCGATTAAAATCGATAAGTAATGACATTTATGTGATGGATGAGACTATTTCTCACTGCACAATTTATCAATTCTCTCAAACATCCAAATTTTAAATTAACCTGGAGATTGATTTGTTTTTAAGGCTGAATTGTCTTCATTCATGAAAAGTCTTGAAAAATCTCTGGGATCTGTCCATGAAGAGGATGAGAATAACACAGAGGAGAAGGTAAAATTTTTATTTCTTTCATGGGGAAAGCCAGTAAGACGACTGAATCATGGGGCGAACCATCATCTTGTCTATTTACCAGTCTGGGTTAGGTTTTGGAAAAGTTACCCAGTCAGTTGTCACAGAGGCGCTCCAGAAGGGAGCATCAGTTTTTGCTCAATGATCAGTGCAATTTAATAAAAAACTTCTGTTTTTTGTAGGAGAAGACTGTTGCACCCCAAGTCAAGGAAGAATCCAAGCTTATAGAAGAAGTTTTTTGCAAAAGGTTTGTACTCTGTTTTGTGTACTCTTGTAGTATGTGTACCTGGTTAGGGTTAGGGCATAATTTTATTCCGATTTTCCTTATTTTAGTTCTATTACGAGTTCGGGGACTGCCTGTCATAGGCAAATGAATATACCCTGTCCATAGGTTTCAGTCCCTTTACGCAACTTGATGTAAAGTAGGCAAACAAAATTAGTTACCTCCATATTGGTACACACACTTTTCGAGAGCCCTGTTTTGGACATTTCTTGCCACAATATATGAACAACTTGAAAAAAAAAAATCTCATCTATGATGTCTTCTTATATCAGTGGTTCTCGAACTTCCAAAGGTTCTCGGCACTTTTTTCAGTTTTGCTTTCATTTGATTGTTATCTGGTATTTTATGCAAAATGTTCAATAAAAAAAAAAGGGATTTTGAAAGCAGAAGATAGGTATAGTTAAAGAATTGAAAAAATTACAAGCAATCACAGTCAGCTTTGAATTGAAGCAGTCATTGTGAATGGTACCTAGCGAAGGCTTTTGCTTGTTGCCCTAGATCAGGGTTGTGCAAATCTTAATACAGGTGGGCCAGATACAAATAACTGGTTAAAACCGCTGGTCGCACAATTTTTCCTTGTTTTAGGCTCGCAGGTTGCACACCCCTGCCCTAGAGAAACGATCTGAGTCCCCATGACAAATGGCAACTAGTGAGGGCCTTTTTGCTAGGCCCTTTGGTCTCCAGATGTCTACTTTGGGGGGGGGGGGGTGTAGGTGCCAGTTTGAGAAACCATGATATATAACAATAACGAAGCATCAAATAGAAGAAGTAGGTATTGCTAAATATTTGCTAAATTTATTTCCCTTGTTTCTTTGCATTTGTGGTTTCAATTAGGCTACTAATGACCGCTACTTTTGAGCAAACTTCACCACAGAAAATAATTAAACAAATTATGTTTATAGGTCTTCTCAAGGTGAAAGCATGAAAGAAAAAAGAGGATTGAAGCCCTGGAAAGAGGTTCACATTTTTATTATTAGTTTAAAGCTCGTGTAACGCTTTGAAGGTTAACTACTTGTGGGATATCGTTCCAATTCAACCTATACCTATACAAATTTTATTACTTATCGATCTGTCTGTCTGCTAGATGCACGCGATATCTTTCGAAAGCAAGGTTGAATCTGCTCCAGATTTTGCATGTGCATTCATCATATCTCGGACCAGAAGCCTATTGATTTTGGGCGAATTATGTCGTATAATTAGCGAGTTATTAATTAATTAGTGATGGGACACAAGGTGTCACTATGTTTTGGGGGATCCCCTAACTTTCGATCGATAAGTCTTCGGTCTCTGACCTATATTCTCATGTTCAGATTTTCATCTGACCTTCAAATTCTCTGCATTAGTGCCGTTTGTTTGATCATATTTACACAATATACACATGATAATATAGACTCTCAGATTCAAATATTAACTTGTGAAACTTCTTGACCGTACAGAAAAATTCCAGGGAATCCTGAACCTACTTTGTGGAAATAATATAAATCTCCATACTTTCAGGTTCTTGCTGCCGAGTCGTCGCCAACATGGAGGGATATTTTCAAGAAAGAAAAAGAATCTCCAGATAAGGTGATTTATAACACAATTCAACAAACCCAGTTTTTGATTAAGCTAGTTCTTACTAAGAAGCCAAATGAAATACGAATGATTCAATAATTCAGTGTATGACAAAATGGAAACAACCTGTGAAATCGAAAGAAAAAGTCATGACAAACTCGAATCACCTTAATCCCATTTTATCACTCGTAACTTACAATTTGCTGCGTAATGTGCGTAACTCCGCTGTGATGCATAAACAGTGAGGAGTATTGGCTATATGCCTCCACCTTTCATTGAATTCTCACAGCTTCTAAAAAAAGTTCTGTAATCACTTGGATTCACGGGAGCCAGAGCCGCAGACCTGGTGTTAATCGCTGAATTAGGAGCAGTAACTTATGAAACTATCTCATTTCTCAGCACTAATTCGTTTCCTATAAATAATATAATGTGGATACAGAACAACCAAATATCTTTGCATTGGGCCTAATGCACCTAACCCAAGGCCACACAGACAAAAAATATAATGAACTCCCCTAAAAAAAGAAATTATCTTTCAGACTACCGAAAAACAAATTCTGGTTTCTACTTGTTACGCCATGAAAATTTTGCTCTGGGTTAAATATGTCCAACCCTGGAGCAGGGCTACTCAACTTGCGGACTGCAGTCCGAATCCAGATCTTTTGACCATAAAATTTGGACCGCGTCTGCTTCTTTATTTTGTCAGCATGAGCATCGTTTTATAGTTTCAGATGATTTTGATACAATTTAAATACACGACTATACAGTTTGTCGTACTGGTACCATTGTGCGAAATTTATGTTCATGTTTGTGAGTCATTCATTGTACTTGTATTACATTTAATATTGCATTTGACGTTTTGTTTATTAAATGAAATAAATTTTCTGTAATGTCCGGACCCCAGTAATTTTGAAGTTTTGTAAACGGACCATAGGTGGAAATAGTTGAGTCCCTGCCCTAGGCCACCACTCACTTAGACAAAAAATAAAACTCTTTCAGACTACCACGACGGGAATTCCAATTTCTGCACCTCAAACCACATCACCTACGACACAAAGTCAAGAGCCTGCTCATCTGGATCAACTTCGCAAAGACTACAATCATAGTTTAGAAGAAATTGATCGAGCTGCAGTGGAGACGAAGAACATTGAAGACAAAATGAAACAATTGCAAATGATGAAGCAAGATTTGAAGATGAACAATGTGCAAGGTAATAGAATAGACTTTCTGTTTATTCCGGGAAGAAAAACATTGTTTGGTGGGTGCTCCAGAAGTGTGTATATCAATATGGAGGTAACTAATTTTGTTCGCCTACTTTACATCAAGTTGTGTAAAGAAACTGAAACCTATGGGCAGGGGAGATATTCACTTGGCTAAAACTGACAGTCCCCGAACTCGTGATAGAACTAAAATTGGGAAAACCTGAATACAATTATGCCCTAACTCTAACATGGTACATCTACTACAGGAGTGCCGTTTGGGGACTCGGTTAACAACTTAGTGAGTTGTATCCAAAACTGAAGGAGAGCCAGTAAAATTTCTCTACCATGTGGGGGACTTGGACCACAGTCTGATTACCTAATATGCTTTTGAAAAAATCTCTTTCCGGTTCAACATTGGCTACCCAATTTATGGCGTGCAGCTCTGCTTTTATAAGCTTTTATCAACATATCTAGGATTGTTTTTAAGGCATTTTTATCAGTTCCTTCATCAGTCACATTAAATAGTAAAGAATACTAACAAACTGGAGCAAAAGAATAGGTTTATTGCAGGCAAAGAATTAATGCAAATTATAGTCAAATTACGGACCTCCAGAAGTATGCGCACCAAGATGGCGCACAACCTGAACATAGTATGTGTTTACCGGTTAGGGTTCAGGTTGTGTGACATCTTGGTGTGCATACTTCTGGAGCACCCAAATTACATTATATCAATGTAGATGTCACGGAAGAAAACTAACTAGTGAAGACCTTCGCTCGTGGCTCTCAAAAAAGCTGTTCATCTGGTCCCTTGGTGGACCGAGGGCCCAGTTTGTAGGATAGGATTTACATATTTATCCCGGGGGACGATGAGACGGCTTAATCTATATAGCGAACCACGGCCTCTCGTCCGGTTACCAGTTCATGTGGAGTATGCGATTAGTTAGCCAGTTATTCGTTGGTGGACTTGATGGTGGAGGAAGCCATAACCGACCAGCTGTTACGTGAACCACCTTACAGCGACAAGGAGTCCAGCAATTTTCTGGCACATAATTTTCTCCACATGAGATTCGAACCTGCGAACCCACGCAGGGTTAATCAGAGGTGCGGTGGCTAGTGGTGCCAAACGCTTAGCACAATAGACCACACCTACTCCGAATATTTCAATTTTCAGATTTCAAATCGTAATTAAAACCTTCCTATTCTCCATTTTCAGCAACAAGAACTCAAGCCGAAAGTTTTCTACATCCAGAGATTACACCGGCTAAGGAAAGAATAATGAAAGCTCTCGAACCTCACATGCCAGCAGATTTCGCTAAACCGAAGCAGACAGCCCACAAATATTTCGGACCAATCATTTCCACGCCAGATGACAGCACAGAGCTTGCTTCGCGAGCAAGTTTGACGAACATTGAGCAAAAGAAGGATATCACGGCTGAAATGGCGGTTTCAGCTCATTCTAGCATTCCAGGAATGACGAAAATGAGCGTCAAAATGTCAAAAGCACAACAAAATATTCAGCAAAACATAAATTCTAATAGTAGACTGTTTATGCCCACTAAGGTTTCTCATTCCATGGACAGTGGTAACATGAAACCTTTACTTGATGAGAATAAGGCTAGCAATTTTGAATGGGTTAATACTAACCAATCACCAGATGTCCATACTGCTGCCGTAAGTAGAGAAAAAAAAGACACTCAACCGAAAATTCTGCCAGCCAACTTTCCAAATACAATCAAACTGAATAAAACCACTCAACCAGAAATTCTGCCAGCTGACGTTTCAAATACAATCAAACCAGATAAAACCACTGAACTGGAAATTCCGCCAACTTCAAGTCCAAATACCATCAAGCCAGATACAGTTAAGTCAATGTCTTGGGAAAAACTTGGCAACAGTAAAACAAGCAAAATAACAAGTGGCAGAATCGGCCTGAAATCTCAGCATTTGGATAAAGAAGAAAAATCAGATTTGGATTCTGCCAAATGTGATATAATACCGGTCTCTTATCCTGCAAAAACGCTCCAAATTAGGAACAAAAATTCACCTATTTTGAAAGAAAAATTGAGTCCAGCTAGTTCTACCAAAAACGGAGATGAAAATTTTAGCGATGTATTTTCTAAATCGCCGAACTTTGACCCTAGTTTTGCGGACTCGAAGCCGGCGACGCGGAAAACAACAATACGATCAAGTTGTAGCTCAACTGGATTTCTAAGCGACACTATGCTCAAAAATGTGACGTTTCTTAGTCCAGGACTTTGTGAAAGATTTGGAATGACGTATGAAGAAATGCATAAGTTAGGAAATGCTACATTGTTACCAGATCAGGATCAAATAAAAAGTCCTGCAACCTTGAGTAACAAAAATGATCCAGTCACTTCTGAAAAAATGCTGAGTCAGCAAAAATCAAATTCTTCATCGCCAATCTTAACAATGAATCAATTTGAGACTAGGCCTTTGCAGCAATCAAAATCAAATTCAGTAAATGTCTGTGCTTCTAATTATCTCTATGGACAAGCATCTAATGTGGAAGAGTTACCAACATTGGACACATTGTCTATTGTAGGCATAGAGCTTAGCAAAAATCTATCTGCAAAGAACAAAACCTGCCCCAAACAGGAGAAAAATTTGCCGAAATTTTCGACAATTTCAAGCATCTTGAAAGCTCAAAACCAGCCCAGACGTCTTAATGTCAATTTGAGCGATAATTCTTTGATTCCACAAGCAAGTATTCTTACTCCAGCATCAGTAAAATCAAGTCTGAATATACCCATGCCAGATTTTAATGCTGGAAATGATTTATTGGCATTAGAAAATGACGATAGCATTGGTGTACTGAGTAAACCAGATTTAACGCCGCCTACGAAGCAAAAAAATGTTCGATTCAAAGATGATTTTGATTTGTTACGTCTCGACAGTGTCGATCTGAATTCGAATGAAATTTCACTTCAAGATAATAAAGAAACAAACATATTTTCACCTTCGGAGAGTGGTTCAAGTTTTCAGAAAGATACAGACATTCTTTCCCCATTCGAGCAAAATGAGAGTCTAGCAAGATTTTTTAATAATTTAAATAAAAGTAGCCCGTCGTATGCTCCTGTCCGTAATCTTCTAGATTTCTCATTGGTGGAAACAGAGCTCACGTCGACGAACCATGGCCAAAACGCACCAATCAGATATCTCCCAGAACCTCTCCTACCCATACCATCAGGTGGCCATAGAAGCCCTGCACCTTGCAAACCCTCCTCATTGGTTGAGCCAGAGGTAACATCAATGGAGCATGACAAAAATGCACCAATCGGATTTCTACCAAAACCCCTACTCCCCCAAGCATCTCCTGGAGCCTTCCATACAGAAGATATACAAAAATATTCAGCTGGCAATACAACACAAATGTCTGATCTTGTTCTTTCGAATGGCAATTTTTCATCTAAAAATCAACCTACACCTGATATATCTGGCATTGGGTCGTTGGAAACTCAGTACCTAACCCAGCCCTCATTACCAGCAGAACCAGAAATTTCGGGTACAAGCCAGTTAAAACCGGTTTCAAAACCTGCTATGAGAAAACTAGAAATTTCTGGCACAGACCAGTTGAAACCGGTTTTGAAACCTGCTGTCTTGCCTCAACCTACACTAATTGAGAACAAAAGTGGAATACTTTCCGCTGGAGCAAATGATAGCGACCATTTGTTGACGTCAACCATCAGAACGCCTAAACCAGTGCATGGTCACAGACAAGGTAATACAAAATTCTTATTTTATTTTACAAATTTTGTTTTCTGATCTGTGATCACAGGAAAATTCACATTTGACTTTGGGTTTAAAACAAATTCAACTCAATATTTACTCCAGCTCTGAAATCAAATTTTGATAACGATTACTTCGGCATGTGCAAGCCTTCTCTGATAGATAGTTTACCAGGGGTGTGCAGCACGCAGGCCACAACCCAGCATGCCAAGACATTTAATGTGTAATGTGTGGCACTTAACACTTGTTGCCGTCAAGCATAGAATACTAATGCGACAGTTTATCTTTAAGAAGGCCCTCACGTGGGTAAGAAATAAAAATACATAATAATTTTTGCTTTTGTCGCTACATTGAATCTTTCGCCGTTTTTCCTGGTGTATTTATAACTGTAAGGCTGAGTGAAAGCCGCATTCTCTGTTCTGCATCTCTAATATAGAAAAATGGTTTGGAAAACGCTCTGCTGTAAAGGTTGAATAAAATTGCTATTACTTCATGTACTGCTTCAAATTTTCCACAGCACCTGAAGCACCCATGTTAGCTGCACCAAGACCATTACGGCCTCCTCCACCACAGACTCCAGCTGCATTCAGACTGCTGAGATCAAAGAATAATCAAAGGTAGAAAATCTTCTTTTGTATGCGTGATTGATAGTTTAATATTATTTCATGAATCTTATATTTTTGCCTTGTTTTTATTTTATTTTTATTGATTCCAAATAAATTCCAGTACCAAAATGGAATTGGCATTTTATATTTTTTCTTATTATTTTATTTTCAAAATTAGATTCCCAATTATTAATGTCCATTTACAACCATGTCCTTATTTCGTCACTGCTGTGGCTCAAGTTTATTCGAATTGTTTTTGTAGCTGTCTTCACAAATTTTATAGCTTTCCTGGTCACTAGTATAAATACTGCTCATTCAGCTGTGAAAAGGACAATTTGTCCTTGATGATATGTTTGACAAGTAGTCTGTCTGTGTTATTTACTTTAACAATAAACTTTCGTTCACTTATTAAAATACTAATTTTTTTTTAATACAAGGCAGCTAATACATCAGAGTCATCAAATAAAGTAATTTTAGTTTAGTTTACATTAATCGGTAAATGAATTTTTTTTTCTTTTATAAATTCGTTTGAGGGGCTTCGTAAATAACAGTCAACATCTTCACAGCCTCCGTAACGAAGTTTGAGAATTACTGGTCTACTGCACTTGTCAATCTCAGCCATGAAAAGACTCGGCGGTGTGGCGCAATCGTGCAAACGTTAGGGATACGCTCGCCACCGCATCTCTGATTACCCTTTATGAGACCGCAGGTTCAAATCCCATGCGGGGATAATCATGTGCGAGAGGATTGCTGGACTCCTCGCCGCCGTTGGGTGGTTCACGTAACCGCTGGTCGGTAAGGCTTCCTCCACCATCAAGCCCATGCTTCCGAAAACAAATAACTGGCTAACTTAATCCCATACCCAACCTGGACTGGTAACCGGACGTGGTTCGTCATATGATTAAGTCGTCTTATCGCCTTTCCTCTCCCCCTGGATAAATATGCAAATCCTATCTTATCTATATTGCTTTTTGTTTTACAGCTCAACACCCAAAAAGTGTCGCTTCCAATCTTTACCAAGCCAGTCTCCTTCTCGCGGCATCAAGAAAACTCCTCGTAAAAGATCTTCAATCCTTGCTTCGTCTCCGAGTATCAAAATCATTTGCAAGAAACGATTTTCTGAGGCCTTGTTAGATGAGGAGGTTGCTTTGCTAACTTGTAGAAATTTTAGGTGGGTGGTGGTTGGAGTCAACTTTTCTCATTTTGAAGTAACTTTTTCGGTACTCCAGAAGTATGTGAACCAAGATGGCGGACACCGGAAAGTAGTATGTGTACCAGGTTAGGGTTAGGCCATAATTTTATTCCAATTTTCCTTGTTTTAGTCTTTTACGAGTTCGGAGACTAGCCAAGTGACTCCCGTAGTATTAGTACCTGAAATTATGGCCTAACCCTAACCTGGTACCACTTTTTCTTTAAAAGGTGCACGGTGCGCCATAAATTTATACACTTTCAGTAGGTTCCGGCATTTCTTTGATTAAGAGAATAGGATAGGCCTAATCATATGACTAACCACCAGCAATAAGTCAATGATGACGTAACAATTGTAATTTTTTCAGATGCTCAGATATTCAAGCATGGTTGTAAACATGGCCTCGGTTTTGCGTGTTATTTGTCAGTTTTCAGTTGTGTTTCCGAAAATGAGTTATAAATAACTAGGCTAAAATTAGCTATAGTACCTGTATGTGGCACGTGTTTGTATATTCTATTAAAAGTAATGGTTTTCAGCATGCAAATCAGTATGTAAGTTTCAACTCACCAGAGCACTTGCAAAATAAGCAATCAAAATTTTGCAATAGTAAAGTATGGGGAGAATTTTTCTGGGGTCAAAGGTCGGGGAAACATTCATTGACGCACAAAGAGCTGCCAGTATTGGAAAGATTGGAATCTCTCTTGCCCTGTATCGCCTACCGAGTTCCTTACACCCTAGTGATAAGGCAAGGTAGCGACTTAAATAAATACCTAAACAATTTCGATATATTTTTAGAAATACAGTAATGACACCAAGAAAACAAAAACTGAAAGAAACTTCAACTAATCCACTCGGAAGAGTTCTTATGGAAGGAGACGATACTGTGAGTTGAATCAGACGTTACTGAAATTTTTTATATTCCATTCTGAAAAAGACTCTCTACGAGCAGAAATTGCCTGTCACAGCCTAAAGCTCTTTGAACCAGGGGCCAAAAATTTTGCCGACTTAGAGTGGCAGGCCCTGTAAGTGTGACGTAAAAAGTTACATTTTGTGAACAATATTTACAGTGTTACAAAGCAAAAGTGGAAAACAATAGGCCGGGGTCGAACCCCTCCACCCCCCCCCCCCTTTGGATTTTTTTGAAAACTGAAAAAGTCGCTGATAACGTGTGCAATTGCAAGTGGCGTAATCATGGCGACTGTTTGGCGTGGATTTTGAGGCGATGAACTTGTATTTTTGATTTACTAGTGTACTTTATATCTATGTTCATTGTATGAAGTAAAATTGTACTATACGGAATTTTATATCAGATATCAAGATTTTACTAAGGTCGTAAGATTGCAAAAATACCTATCAAAGTTAAATACATCAGGCAGCTTGTCTCATATTTTTATGTCCACAGATCGCCATGGTTTTTTACTGCAGTACTGTTATGATTTTGACGTAAACCTCGCAGTCGCAACCGTGAGTTACGTTGGACACAATTAAAGGACATTTTGGAAACTCGTAGTTGTCATGAATGAAATATTTTACACGGCAGAAAATTCATTATACGCTGAAAAGGCGGCTCTATTAACGAACGCGTGATCGTGGTGACTGTTACAGACGGCACTGGGAATTTCCAATTTTGAAACCCCCTCTTTTGAAAATCGCTGCGCGCCTGCCTGTAACTGTATAAAGTATCCATTTCTTTACTTTGTATTTTGCAGCACTTCATTCCTCTCTCTCCAATTGCGATATCTAAACCAACTAAATCATCAGCGATGGTCGGATCTGCGTTTTCAACTTTTGCTAAAGGAACATGAACATGGTTTTAGTTCAGAGGGAAGATTACTGAAGAACCAGCTTTGTATGTGTTGTCATAGCCCAAATCATTGACTGTTGCCACATTACAGTACAGTATGGCTTGCTAATGCTAAATTTCCCATATTAAAAATACTTTTCAAATGTAGAAAAAGTGGTACATGCGTTGTGTATGTACCAAGCCGTAATTTTATTCCGATTTTCCTCATTTAATTCTATTACGAGTTTGGGGACTGTCTGTGTTAGCAAAGTGAATATACCCCCTGCCCATAGGTTTCAGTACCTTTACACAACTTGATGTGAAGTAGGCGAACATAATTAGTTACCTCCATATTGATACACACACTTCCAAAGCGCCGAAAAGGTATTTAGAGAGAATATATTACTGGAAAGGTCTGCATGGTCAAAGTGTTCAAAAATAGTGAATCATTGTTATCAAAGCTAGGATAAGTGCAGAGCGTTATTCGTGTGATCGTACCCGACATGGTAGATATTATAAAACTCTTACTTACCTACAAACATTGTCTTGATGTTGAGATTCAATCATTTACTTTTGTATGTTGTCATCAGATTATCATTTTTACTCTTTTTTTTTTAGGGCTTGCTTTTATTCTACTAAACCAGTGGTTCTCAAACGTGGGAAGCGCCACCGCAATGGGAGCATAGACAGTTTTTTGAAGGGTTGTGAACAGGGCTGGGCATTTTCGAATACCTTGTGATTTCAGAATCGAATCGAATACTTGAAAACATATAATTTTAAGCGACTTTATTATAGTAATTGATCCTCTCAACAAATGATTTACTGAAGACATAGAATAAATCACCCAGGTAGATTACTGAGCGTTCACACGGAATAACAAACACGTTTCATCAATAACTCACTACAGAAGATAGTCATATGTTAGAATTTCGTTGAATAAATATGACTCTAATGAAAAAAAAATTGGGGAATTCACCTCGACCATTAGCGGAAAGATGAAAACAAGATGGCGGCGATTCGAAATTTAGCTCTGAGCGATTCGAATAATTTACTATTCGATTCGAAATGCCCAGCCCTAGTCGTGAACAGTGGCATATCTACTTAAAATGGCACCCATGGCAGAGTCTAAAAATGCGCCCCCTTGATATTTATTTGATAACTTATAACGATTGTTAATGAATCAGGATACTTCTACGTGATTATTTGAGTAATATTCCCAATTTGAAATTATTTCATTGAAACGTTTTATTATTAATACTTTTTGTCGTTTTTGCGCCCCTGTTCAAATGGCGCCCATGGAACGAGCCATGGCTGCCACACCCTAGATACGCCACTGGCCGTGAAGTTAATCAAAAATAAAAATATTTGTCAGTTTGTATCTTACCCGCCTTATTTTTTGGATATTTACGTTGCATCCACGTATACTGTATTTTGAATAAAACATTGTTAACCTTCACTATCTGTCATTTGTAACTTATTGGTATATAGTTATTTTTGAGATGAGACTTGTTAAATTCTAAAAGAAGGGCGTGGCTTCAAAAGTTTGAGAACCACTGTATTGGACTGATTGTAGAATTAAGTCTGTTGTGTGAATCTTGTATTTCAAAGACATTTTTGTTAATACAAACATCTAAACATCGATCTAAATAAAGATCAAAATTTTTTTTTCTGATAACATTTGTGGTGTTTGCCTTATTACACGGTGAAGCTGTGAGTATTGAGTTTGAACAGCAACGACGTCATAGTTAGGCCCGTCGCGGGATTTATCAAGGGGTATTTTAGAAAACGTTTTTGCGCTTTGAAAAAGGTCAAGCCACTAATAAACATGAGAGCTACGCCCAAATATATGGACACGTCTGTTCGCAGTACAGTACGGTTTACCGTACCGTCAGATCACAGTCTACAAATATATTCACACCAAGCGTAGCAGTACAGTAGGACACAAAATGGCGTCCGATGTCTGCAGAACGTCTGACGTCATAGTAAACAAAAACAAATCTCACAGAGCTAACAGAAATATTTAAAATGAATAAAAGTAATAGCCTTCTGGGGAAAAATTTTATCTTCAACCACTGAAAATTTCAAAGCAATTGGTCCAGTATTCGAAGAGAAAAGCGGATTTTTAATATTTCCACTAGGTGTGTTATTCTGTGTCAAAGAACAACATAATATTGAAACGATAGTTATGTCCACTACGTGCCCAAAAACTACGATTTATGAGAGAGTTCTACCTGATTCGGTATTACGTTTCTTAGATTCGACAAAAAGCCTTATTTGTAAAAAGACATGCCACCTTCTATGCACATCTAGATATGTGAAGCTCCTGGTATTTTTAAAATCTTGGGGCTTAGAAATGCAGTCAAATATTCAAATTTGTACAAAGGCGAAACGACTACAGCTGAGCATTTCGAATCTAATAGTGAACGAGAATATCGGTCGGAGACGAAGACTTATCGATCAAAACTGCGGTTTCGATTCATGACTCTATAGTGACACCGCGTGTCCCATCACTAATTAAAAAATAACTCGCTAATTATACGACATAATTTATCCAAAATCAATAGGCTTCTGGTCCGCGATATGATGAATACACATGCAAAATTTGGAGCAGATTAAACCACGCCTTCGTGAGATATCGCGTGCATATAACAGACAGACAACGATAAGTAATTACTCGGATCGACTCTGACAAAACTCCGAATCACCGCCATCTTGTTTTGTTGTCCGCGACGACGAATCTCGCATTATATTTTATTTGTGTCAAATTATTGAAATGCAATTCCGACATATTAGTTTTCTTCTGAGTGAGCTATTGGTGAACCCTATTGAAAACGAATGTTCTAATCTAGAGAAAGGTGGAGAACACTCCAACCTACATATTATTGGTTGCACCTAAAAGGCTTACCTAGACCTTGTCTTGGGGGAATGTATCAAAACCATAACATCACGTTTTTTTGTACGTTTCGTTTGATTCCATTTAGGTTAGGTTGCCCCACCTCTTTCTATTTATCTCGTGTTGCTCGAGAATGTTGCTAATCTAATGGGATGAACAACAACTTAACTTATTCTGATTAGCAGTAGGCCTATTCCACACGTTCGGTCATGAGGACCGCCCGAATATTGATTATCATTAGCATTCATGTTTATATGTTTCACCACTTCAAATATTTTTTCTACCGGATGGGTGAACACGTATTCATGTACGGTTTCAACCTTATTTTCAGGATTTTCTCACCGCCCTTGTTACTAATCGATCTTGGTCGGTAAGTATGTTGTTTGTTTGTTTGTTCGTCTGTTGGATACACGCGATATCTCACGAAATTGAGATTGAATCTGCTCCAATGCATGTGCATTCATCATATCTCAGACCAGGAGCCTATTGATTTTGGATGAATTATGTTGTATAATTAGCGAGTTAATAATTAATTAGTGATTGGCCACACGGTGTCACTATGGAGTAAGAGCGGAGAAAACGAAACCGCAGTTTCTGTTTTGGGGATCCCCTAACTTTCGATCGATAAGTCTTCGGTCTCCGACCGATATTCTCGTTACCTTGTTGACCTGTTTAAAATTTTTATGTGTTGTCATGTTTTGGGAAGAAGAGCAAAAATAGGTGATTGATGATTGAATTTAAAATAGTTCTGGAGTAACAACATTATAATACCAAAGATGCTTGTTCAGACCCTTACTCTGAGCGAATGTAAGTAACCAGGGCTGGATCATGCCTTTTAGAGCCCCTAAGCATAGGCTTACTATACGTCCCGCTTTTCAGCGTTTTGTCCCGCCGTCCCGATAAGTCAGCCAAAATTCCCGCTTTTTCAGCATAATACACAAACATGTTCTCGTTACTATTGTTTCTTTGTAGCGCAGCGCTAGCCTACTTACTGAAGGTAAATGCGTTCGTTTCCCACTGATTCCCATTGATGGCAGGCGTATCGCATGTAAAACCAATACTAATTAGTCTAAATTCGAATTATTTGTACCGGTATCGTTATCATCAATTCCTTTCTATTTTTCGAACTGAACGTGATATTTTGACAGAGAAAATGCGCATGAAATTTTAATAACAATATGGTCAATAAAGACAGCGGAGACAACTTTGAATGTAGGCCTATGTAGTAAAATTGGAAAATGTGAAGTTATAAAATCACAGCTAAGGGGTCGTTGTCTTTCGAGGCGTCCCGATTTGAAGTCACAAAAATATGGTAACCCTAACTAAGCACTTAAGATTTTGGTGCCTTATGTATAAAAATGATGCCATGTTATATAAAATTGAATAAGCATTTTCAATATTCATTACTGATTGAAGGTTAATTTCCTTTTTTTGAAAACAGTTATCATACTTACAAACATTGACAGTGAGGTTCAAAATGATACTTGAGAACTTTATTCCAACCGGAACAATATTGAGGTCTGTGACGTCTGGTTCGAATTGTTACATTAACCCTGCTAAAACGCTTAAATCAGGGGTTCGCGAACCCCCAGGGGTTCACGAGAAGATTTCCATGGGTACTTGGATGACAGTCTAGTTTTTGTATGTTGCTGTTTTTTAATTTTCTTTATAACTACCGTGGGAAAATGCGTGCCCATTGAAACCAGACGCCAATTGAAACGTAGATTTTCCCCGATCTTTGCATTGTTGTGATTGTGACGCCACGAAGTGAAATTCAAGTCTTTGCGTACAAACTGTGAAATCTTTAAAGACAGCGTGCTGCGAGCATTGGAGAAGTGATTATGCCTATTGAAATATGGGAGAGATTTTAGGAATTCATTAGTTAGGCCAGCGTTTCCCAACCTTTTTTGGTCGCGGACTAATTTCTCACCGACGAAAACCTTTGCGGACTCAAAGTGCGTTTATTGCAACCGTATTCTGTGTGAAGAAGCGATAAAACCAAACACAACGGAATTTGAACTAATTCCAAAATCAAAATTTCGCCGCAATTAACGCGTCCGTTAAAAGGGCCGACTTTTTAGTGTATAATGGCCTTTTCTGTCGCACTATATTCAATCCATGACAACGACGAGAATTTAAAATGTCTTTCTATGTTAATTGTGTTCATGGTAACTCGCGGTTGCGTCGACTTACGACAAGATGATAGCATTACTTCTTTAAAATGCCACAGCAATCTGCTAACATATTATATTTAGTTTTGATACATATTTTTAGAGATCTTGCAAATTTGTTATCGTCGTTAGAAAAATCCTACTATCTGCTCTAAATTTCCAGAAAGTACAACTTGATTTAGTAATTATTGAAAATATATTTAAAGTATATAAGTAAATCAAGAATACATATTCACCGCCTTGCTTTATTATCAATTTAATGGTGATCATTTTAATCTGCAGTATTTTTGTATTGCCGCATTTCAATTTAGAAAATTGGGTTGACACCTACTAGAAAAACAATTATTCCTCGTTGTTCGAACTCGCGAGAAACACCACGCGTGTGCTCGTGTTTTTGTCGGAAATTCGCAAGTGAGTTGTGAAATCCAATCGTTTTTACCTGTCGCGTCACCTGTTACCAAATTTTCGCATAGTGAATTGCTATTCTAATAGTTGAATATTCGAATATATGCCCAGCCATACTCAGTAACTAGTAATAAATGACTTGATTAATGTTATGTGAATAAACTTTTATGTTTCATGTGAATTTTAACGTAAATCGTAACTTGGCTGATAGTTAACTTCCGCAAAAACGTTTGCACCCCTCAGTGAATTTCTGGCTCGTTGCGGACTCATTCAAACGCTTCGCGGACTCATTTGAGACCGCGGACTCGGGTGGGAAACACTGAGTTAGGCAGACGACAAGGGCAATAATATCAACAAGACGATTTAA